GGGCTGTCTCTGGGCAACACGAGCTTTAAACTCCCTCCAAAGATTTTCTATGGGGTTGAAATCTGGAGACTGGCTAGGCCACTCCAGGACCTTGAAATTCTTTTTACAAAGCCACTCCTTCCTTGCCCGGGCAGTGTGTTTGGGATCATTGTCATGCTGAAAGACCCAGCTACGTTTCATCTTCAATGCCCTTGCTGATGGAAAGGGGTTTTCATTCAAAATCTCACGATACAGTACATGGCCCCATTCATTTTTTTCTTTACATGTATCAGTCATCCTTGTCCCTTTGCAGAAAAACAGCCCCAAAGCATGATATTTCCACCCCCATGCTTCACAGTTGGTATGGTGTTGTTTTGGATGTAATTCAACAGTATTTCTCCTCCAAACACGAGTTGAGTTTTTACCAAAAAGTTCTATTTTGTTTTCATTCAAAATGCAGCAGCTTGAGTCCTGACTAGAACCAGGAAGTACGACCACATTAGTCCGGTCCTCAGGTCTCTGCACTGGCTTCCTGTGGCTCAGAGAATAGACTTTAAAACAGCTCTGCTTCTCTCCATGGCCTCGTAACAAAATATATTAGTGACATGTTAGTCCCATATGAACCGGCCCTGACTCTGAGGAGCACAAGGACTGGACTCCTGTTAGTGCCCAGAGTCAGAACTAAACATGGGGAGGCTGCTTTTCAGATTCATGCTGCTAAAATTTGGAACAATCTTCCTGAAGATGTGCGACAGGCCTCCTCTCTGACAATGTTTAAAACCTGGTTAAAAACAGTTCTGTTTAGCTGTGCATACAACTGAGGGATTATGGGGTGCCGATTGTAAAAATTCTGTTAAAATTTTTTAGCTGAACATTTTTCTACATTTAGCTCACTTTCCTCACATTTAGCACATTTTCCTCACATTTAAGACATATCTATATCTAAATATTATATCTATATCTAAATGTTAAATATTATATCTAAATATTATATCTATATCTAAATGTTATATCTATATCTAAATGTTAAATCTAAATGTTAAATCTAAATGTTATATCTATATCTAAATGTTATATCTATATCTAAATATTATATCTATATCTAAATGTTAAATGTTATATCTAAATATATCTATATCTAAATGTTATATCTATATCTAAATGTTAAATCTAAATGTTAAATCTAAATGTTATATCTATATCTAAATATTATATCTATATCTAAATGTTAAATGTTATATCTAAATATGGGGACGACAGTAGCTCAGTTGGTAGAGCATTGGCCTTTGGGCCTGGAGGTTGTGAGTTTGATTCCCACCATGGGACCTACTCCAACTGCTCCCACTGATGACTGCTGTCGTTGTGTCCTTGGGCAAGACACTTAACCCCACATTGCCTGAAGCCCCCACTGAAAGATCAAGGCTGTTTCACAATTGCCGGAGCAGCCATCTTCCTGTGGACTCACCCCCTGCAGAAGATCAGCGAGGGACTGGTGCTATGAACGTTGGGTGGCAGCTCTCATTGCCACCCCCCCGACCCAGAAATGGACAAAGGGGTTGAAAAATGATGATGATATCTAAATATTATATCTATATCTAAATGTTATATCTATATCTAAATGTTAAATCTAAATGTTAAATCTAAATGTTAAATCTAAATGTTAAATCTAAATGTGTCGCCAAGTGTAAAGCTAAATATATAGAAACCACGCCCACTGCAGTGGCTTCAAATCCAGTGGGCCCGCCTTCCGTGCCGTGTGGTGAGAACCCTACAGGATTACACAGGAATCTCACGGGACTCCACGTGGCTTAGTTTACAGTGAATACACTCTGGCTCCAGCAAATAAGCAAGAATCTTCACAAAAATGCTAATTTTGTGCCGTGGCCAAGGACGATGGCGCCGGAGACCCAACATGCCTTGAGCCGTGACGTCGGTCCACGTGTATTCCTATGTTCAAAACACGCGGCACCGCCCCCACTCACCACACGGCACGGAAGGCGGGCCCACTGGATTTGAAACCACTGCAGTGGGCGTGGTTTCTATATATTTAGCTTTACACTTGGCGACACATTTAGATTTAACATTTAGATTTAACATTTAGATATAGATGTAACATTTAGATATAGATATAATATTTAGATATAACTTTTAACATTTAGATATAGATATAATATTTAGATATAACATTTAGATATAGATATAACATTTAGATATAGATATAACATTTAGATATAGATATAACATTTAGATATAGATATAACATTTAGATATAGATATAACATTTAGATATAGATATAACATTTAGATTTAACATTTAGATATAGATATAACATTTAGATATAACATTTAACATTTAGATATAGATATAATATTTAGATATAGATATGTCTTAAATGTGAGGAAAATGTGCTAAATGTGAGCTAAATGTAGAAAAATGTTCAGCTAAAAAAATTTAACAGAATTTTTACAATCGGCACCCCATAAGGGATTGCATATTTTATATTTTTATCTTTCTTTTTAATGTACTGTGATTATTTATGATTTTAATGCTTTATTTTTGTTCAGCACTTTGAGTTGCCTTGTGTATGAATAAACTTGCCTTGCCTTCATCTGACCATACGAGATTCTCTCAATCCTTTTCTGGCTCATCCAAATGCTCCCTGGCAAACTTCAGACAGGCCTGGACATGTACTGGCTTACGCAGGGTCGCAGCTCACTGCAGGTCATTCACTAGGTCCCCCTTGTGGTTCTGGGTGTTTTGCTCACCGTTCTTCTGATCATTTTGAGATGAGATTTGCATGGAGACCAAGAATGAGGAAGATTATTGGTGGTCTTTAATGTCTTCTTAAGTCTATTTTGTCTTCCATTTTAAAATAGTTGCTTTCTCCACACCAAGCTGCTTACCTGTTGCAGATTCAGTTTACCAGTGTGGTGCAGGTCTACAATAAAAAAAAAAACATAAAAAAAAATCTGTCTCTCATAGTTGAGGTGTACCCTATGATTAAATTTACAAGCCTCTCTCATTCTTATAAATGGGAGAACCTGCACAATTGGTGACATTACATTGTCACACATGATTGGCAAATTAAGAGGGGGGGGGGGGGGCAGAAGACAGTGGTGGCCAAAGGGATATGATAGAACAGTTGCAAATGCTTCCCAACAAACATCATTCATGATAATAAAGAACCACAAAAATACATGTGGAAAAGATTTATTACAATATTTTCCAAGATTACCATTAATAAATATTTAAGTTTACATTTCAGAGAAATGTATGAATTATAACCTACACGGAACAGTACACAAAGAATACACATGTTTTAGTAATAAAGCTCAAATCTAGAAAAGTTTTTATTTTTTGAACAGCAGTTGATACAACCTAAGACTGGAGTTTAGGAAATGATTGAGTTGAAACTTATGGAGAAAAAAAAGAAGGATCTGAGGCTCGTCTAAGTGTCGGCCAATTTGTTAAAAACATTTCCATCGGCCTAAGGCACAGGAAGAATAAAAGTCCAGGTTTAAAAAGCGCAAGGTGCGTTGGATATTTACACCTATGTCTACATCTCTAGCACAAAAAACAAATGTTCACAAAGCCACAACCTAACGGATGGGGTCAGATCTGTACATTGTGCAAAGCTCAGGAACTATTCTAGAAATTAATGGTAATAATTTAACACGCAACAATTTTACCTGAAATGAGCTGCTACTTTGACTTACGGTATATGGTTGTTCCTTTGCTGAGACGTTTTGTCAATTTGAGAAAGAGCAAATGAACCCTATGTAACTTCAGCATACATTATAAAATTGCTTAGTACAAAGTTATTCTATGGACTTTTTTCTCCAGCAAATCTTTATTTTTGTATTTAGTAGTGTGATTGAGGAAGAAAATATAGAGCTAGAGATTGTGCCTTTCGTCCAGCAGTAACAAGATTTTGAAACAAGACATTTATTTGACCAATGACTTCAAGTTTTGAAAGTCGTTCAATGGAGGGAATTGCTACTTTCTTTCTTTGATTAAAAAAAAATTAAAAAATGGGAACAAAAGAGACATAACAAAATTCTAATGGAACGTAAAGAGTGTTGGGCAGAGGAGGAGATGGGAGGTTCCAGCAGCATCGTCAGTGGATTGTGTTTTGTATATGTTTTGAATGCATTGCAAATGTTTGCCTCGAAGTGAAATCAGGGCTTGGCATTAACTATTTTGCTCACTGGCCACTGTGGCATAGATGTTTGAATAGTTGCTGATCAAAAGGGATTTCAACCACCACCAACAATAATTTTTAAGGATTATAAAGTACTTTGTAATAGTTCAGTGGCTATTTCAGCAACAAAAATATGCACTTCCGGCTACAACTCTAAGGATCTACAATACCTCAATGCATCCCTTCTGTAAACACACTTTCAATTCCTCTTCTATTTCCCGTTTTTTCCTTTGTCTGTTCAAAACGACAAACACTGGTCAAAATACAATAGTATGTCTACATTTTCAATATCTAATTATCAATATTACTGTATGGGGTCTTCTACTTTAGGTTGTAAGCTGAGAAAAGCGTTGATTCTACGCTGCTACGTGGATATTTCTTTTAAATATGGCTTAGAATAGACAGTAGCAGTAACAGTAGTAGAATCAATATACAGTCAAGGTCAGGAAGCATAGATTTCAATTCGTCAAAGTGAATAATGACGGAATGAGTAATTACCCAAAAGGACTGCCAGCATTTGGTTATAGATAAAGGGTGCACTGTGTAACCTATGGCCTGTATATACCCCTACCTGTTTTTGCCTGAAATACTTCACAGAATACCATTTCGGTATGTTTTCACGCAAAACTAACAACCAGTGAGATAAAGGCTTTGATAGGCCCGATTAATGCCAATACAAGGGAAAAACAATCCAGGCAAAGAACAGAATGAGGATCTAAAAGGAGTATTCGCTCCACCAAATCGTTACACAGTGCATATTAATGTCAAGCCCTGGTGTCGTGAAATGATGCGTGGTGAATGAGGTGAGGTCACAGTTGCTCAGAGTAAAGTATCGTCTGTGCATCCGCCCTCGAGTCCGTAACGAAACTCCTGAAGGTTCGAGACGCCGTAGAAGTGGATGAACGCCGCCGCCACCACCAGAACGTGGAAAATCTGATGCGAGTGGAACTGCAATGAAAGACGAGAGTGAGGGAAGAGAAGTGGTGTCAGGACTTAGTGAAAGAGTTTTACCAACAACCAAAAGGCCTGCATCATGAAAGAAAGTGATTACGGTTTAAGATTGTTTTTTATCGGCTTCAGCAATTTCACTAGTCCAGATCAGGAGATGTTGTGTGTCTAGCTGCCTCAGGAAGAAAGAAATTTGATTTGACACAAACAAAAAGGTGGAGCCCGGCAACTTTATAAGAGAGAGAGGACTACTAAATTCAATGAGAAATAAATCCAACAAAATGGCCAGAAAGGGTACAGTTTGTAGGTTCTCCTCTCTCCTCTTTCAGGTTCAGATTCAGATTCAGATTCAGCAGATCCGTGTACTCTTGTTTAATGAATAACAATAACTAGAAACTGACCCAGATGTCACACTTCCCGGGGAAGAACCGCTCCGGGATCCTGGCGGCGTACAAACCGGCTCCAGTGATATACATGGCCCCCATCAGGTAGAACCAGCCCATCTGTCCCACTGTGGTCGCCTTTACGAACCCCTCCTCGATAGTGAAGTGCATCGTGGGTACAATCCCACTGAGACCCAGCCCCATGAACACTCCTGTCAAAACATCCGTGTCATACAGTTATAGGAAAAGGCTGCTGTTTAAACCAATTGTTCACATTTGAATAAGAAAAATACAAAACAGACCATTATAGTAAAGTGTTCGTGTTAGTACAGTACTTGCTGGACTATAAAGTATATCTGTATATAATTAGAATTTGTATTTATTTGTTTGGATGAACACATTTATGAGATTATAGCCATGTACAGTAAATATGTGCCGGCCATAAAGCGCCCCAGCTAAATATAAGTCTATGAATATAAGCCTCAGGTTTTTATGTTGTAATGTAACACTGACAGCTGATAGCACACCTCATGTGGTGAAGCTAGAAGCACATATCTCCAACAGCAGGAGCCTGAATATCGGAGTACCCCAAGGATGTGTCCTGAGCCCCCTCCTTTACAGCCTTTACACACAGGACTGCACAGCTACACACACTAACAACTCCATCGTGAAAGTTGCAGATGACACAATGTAGTAAGTAAGTAATTTATATCATGCATTGCTGATAACTCTGAGGCTGCCTATAATGAAGAGGTGGCCCTGGTAGCAAACTGGTGTAAGAAGAGAACAGCTTGGTCATCAACATCTCCAAAACTAAGGAGATGGAGGTGGATCTGAGAAGAGGGACGCACCAAAAACACACCTTTAAATCCAACTAAAGACAAGTATTGGTTACGAGTCATTTCACTACCTATGTTATTGACATTGTTAACATTGTATGTGATAATAAATATCTATCCATCTACCTGCAAAGCCGATAGACGGCCGTTGTAACTGGACCCAAAATGATTTGAAATTTCAACATACTGATGATCAAAGCAATCTGGTAAATCCAATCAAATAATGTAACAAGAATAATACTAACATTTTTAAAACCCATGAGACAATTCGAATAAATCCAAATACATAAAAATTCCCGCATTGCAATGAAGTCTGCAGGGTTCAAAGAAAGTAACGAGTTATAGTCCAGAAAGTCCTATACTGTATATGAAGCTAGACAGAAGTGAACAGCACAATGTAGACTCCACAAAAAAAAAGGACTGGTGTTTTAATTTTTCACAGTGTGTGTCTGTGTGAAGGGAGTTATCTTTGAGAGTTCCTACAGCTGGCGAATGTCCAGCGAATTTGAAAGCATCTAGTACATGTAGCGAAAATACTTACATTTTCTCAGTTGGGGTTGCACAATTTGGGCAAAGTCTATGTTTCTGGGTTAGTAAATAAGATGAGCCCCAAAGAAAAAGGACAATAGTCATAAAGAATTACATACAGGAAGGTAAAAGCATGAACCCACATTGGCTATTTATTGTTATTTTTCCTGGGGTCCCATGTAAACACTCTGAGTGACTGCCTTTCGGTTATTGTTCTGTTGAAAATTGTACCTGCTCTGGTGGGGCGGTGGCGTGGTGTGGAGAAGCGATCCCACTGCGCCACGACAATGGCAGCGATGCCGAGGACACAGACGACGGTGAGGTAGATGAGGCGCGGCTGAGGCGAGCAGTAGAAGGAGTAATACAACCAGGGCACAAAGGAGCCCATGATGAGCAGGGCAATGCCAGAGTAGTCTAGTCTACAAGACAGAGATTAAACAGCTCTTTCAATTCAAAGACAGAAACATGTTATAAATATGTAAAGTTGAGATTAAATAATCAACAAGTTTGAAAACAATATCCAAAACAACGTTACAACGTTTGCCGTTTCTTACTTGGAGAAAGTGCGCGACACCTTCTCTGAGTGGCAGTAGACGGTGTGGAACAGCCAGGAGAAGCTGAGGCAGAGCACGGCGCCCAAGAAGAACATCCCAAACACCACTTTTTCCTGTAGCGGAGCCATGAAGTACATGTTGGGCCGCAACATGGTGAGCGTGCCCAGGAAGATGAACAGGATCAGACCTGGAAACCAACACGTTTCTTGACTTCAGATAATCAAATCGCATTACTAATCACTATTCTACAGGCTGACTATAGTCTTCAGTATTGAAACATATATGATCAAATTAAATTGACTGAAGGCTTCTAGATGGAAAATATTTACAAAAATATAATATTGGTATCGACTCAACTAAAGAAGGAAAAAATTCCTGCTCCACAATATTTAGAAAAAGGAAATTAACATTGATTAATTGCACGTCCCTAACCACTATCACAACTCCAGTGCTGTAATACCTAACAGATGAGTCCATATGTTTCCGGTCTCTGTGTGGATCCTAAAAATGCTCCCGAAACAGGCTCTGAATGAGGGCATGGGAGGCCTGTGACCGTGCAGCAGGTAATCGTTGTCCTTCAGCCACTCTGGGAGAACATGGAAAGGGATGACCCGCCAGCGCCCCTCCCAAACCTGTGCATAAACAATAGAAAGAAGGATTTAGCCCCCATATATTCCATAGTATGGCTCATCTATCGTTTCTATGCAGTTTATAAAGGGTCGAAAGTGAATAGTAAGAAACTTATGTGAGATACATAATGACCTGTGCTTTTATTAGCCCCTATAACGCATTAGTAGTAATATGCATGAATATTAAACCTTAGTTAAATACTCTTTATGCCTGGAAACGGCTGCAAGTCCTAAGTAGCTCTGACAGTTGTTGTTTTGTGCTTAGTCAATTTTTATTTGTCTTGCTTTTTTCTGCCTGAGATGTCGCTGCAGTACAGTGTTCATGGTTTTACACTGGTCCAGACCGGAGCAGAGAGGATTCATGGTCCGAACCAAGCGGATCAGGTGAAAATCCACTGGAGGAATGCTGTCTTTTTGAAAAAGGCTAATGCAGCATTTAGCATTTTACTTTGGACTAGAGCAGAGAAAAGGGTCCGAATCAAGCCGGTACTCCATCTTTTGACCTGTCCTGCTCCACCCAGTGGCTACTCCACCTCTGCTGCTCTGACCCGTCCTGCTCCACCCAGAGGCAACTCAATATGGGCTGCTGTGATCCGTCCTGCTCCACCCAGAGGCTACTCCACCTCTGCTGCTCTGACCCATCCTGCTCCACCCAGAGGCTACTCCACCTATGCTGCTGTGACCTAAAGGGCTGTTGCTGATTATTACTTTTATTATGTTTTTAGAATGATCAATTATTTTTGCTGCTACTGGACACCTGAATTTCTCCTATGGGGGATCAATAAAGTATCTATCTATCTATCTCTATCTATGTATTCATGATAAGATGCTTTAAAAATGAAATAATCGGTGCACAATTCCATAAACTATATTAGTGGACCTATAAGACGAATCAGTTTATAATTTAAGGCTATAAAACAACAGCTTTAAGAGCTGTTCTGTTCGAAGTATTTCTTTGTGTAAATGCAATTGTTAAGTAGTGACCCAGGTTTGAGTTTCAGCTCAAGTAACACACTCTTGCAATATGTATGCTCCACAACCGACAGGAATGTAGACGTTTGAGATGTTTTTCACCATTGAGAGAGATAAGTCACACCGCAGAAAAATGTTTCCTTCTTTTTTCTTCTGAACCACAAGATAGTTACTGATATATTTTAATGTATTAATTCTTTTTTGAGATAACTAAAATTTGCCATCTACATCCTACAGAAGTCAGTCATGTTTCAAGAATGATGTGTATTCATTTTGCAGTTCATACTTCCATCCATCCATTTTCTTCCCCTGAATCCATTTCTGGGTCGGGGGGGTGGCAGTCAGAGCTGCACCCAGTACACATAGCACCAGCCCCTCACTGATCCTCCTGCAGGTGGTGAGTCCACAGGAGCTGAGATATTTCAGTGGGAGCTTCAGGGAAAGTGGGGTTAAGTGTCTTGCCCAAGGACACAACGACAGCAGACATCAGTGGGAGTTGTGAAGTAGGTCTTTTGGTGGGCTCGAACCCACAACCTTCGGGCTCTAAGGCCAATGCTCTACCAACTGAGCTACTGTCGCCCCTTCATACTTGTAAAAGGAAAATGGTGTTAACTGAATATTATTTTAGAACATTAATATAATCTTATTAAAGTTACCTTTAATAAGATTATATTACATATATTGCATACATTTTCAACTGACACTGTGTGGATTTAGTTATACAATATTATTTCATTGTTTTAAAAAACAAGCTGGGACACTGCACAGTTGAACATGCAGCACATGCGAGAACGGGTTTCTGGGTGGGTACAAAGTTTCAAGACTTTTCCGTGTTATGTAAAGGTACTTTCACAATTCACGACGGACAGATAACTGTTGTGATTGAATGACAAGAGCATGCAATTACAGCAGTAAAGTAAAAACATGTATTTATAAAGCACAATTCATTTACTCAATGCAAGTAAGTAATCTTGACAGTGGTGTACCAGTTTGTGTTGACACAAAGTCTGAACAAGTGGGTGTTTTGTAGAAAATGTAATCTATTAGGCAGTGTTCCATATACAAGGAGCATAACGAGACAAAGCCACGTCTAAAACTTTCAGTAATCTAAATACCAGGTTATCAACATCCAGGCAATAGGTCTAGTCCAGCCATTCCCAAAGTCAGTAACACCGCGGCCCCCTTAAAAATCTGATGGGTCTGCGCGGCCCCCCTAAATAATAACCAACAAGACGTTTAAAATATGCTCTTCTCGTTATCTTATTTGGGAGAAAAAGCCTCTGCTACAAACATGTAAATGACGCACCCCATTTTGCAACACACAAATGATTACAATTTGATTATTCAAGTCAAATAATGAACACAATTTTTTTAATATAAAAAATATATATTATCAATTTAACATATAATAATTATATAACACTTTTTTTGTGTGATGACCTCTCGCAGCCCCCCTGCAATACCCTCGTGGCCCGACCCCACTTTGGGAGACACTGGTCTAGTCAATAAAAATGTATAATGTATAATGTATATTGCCCAGTTGTCAATTCACCAACAACAGACTGGACAAAACAACGAACACAAGGATTTACAATAATAAAACACAAGAGTCATTGGTCCATCAGCTAGCATGTCAACCCATGTCTTTAGAATCTTAAGAAACCTGCAACCCCATAAATGTCACTTAACCCCACGTTGAACAAGGCTGTGTCACCGCTGACTCACCACCTGCAGGAGGATCAGCGAGGGACTGGTGCTATGAGCATTGGGTGGCAGCTCTCATTGCCACCCCCTGACCCAGAAATGGACTGATAAAAGGGTTGAATATAATTGAATAAATGAAATCGTATATCACCTCACAACCTTTGACAAGCGGTTACAAATGCAATGGTCTCACCTTGTGCACAAACTCCTCCATCTTCTCCATGGCATGGTGAGCCTGAAGCGGTAGAGTCAGCACCTCCCCGACTTCATCATCGTTATCCTCGTCGTCGAGAATACCCGCCCCCTTCAACAAAACCAGAAGAAGGATCAGGCCATGTGTTCCGTGACTGACAATGCAAATGGTTATATCCAGGGGAGTATTTGAGAGATTAGTAACGACATAGACTTGATATAAGTGTTATTGGACGTAATAACAGCCAACTGCAAGTTGTATCAGCCAGAGGTGTCCAGGGTGCATGGGGCCAAATTATTGTTTTTTTAATACTCGATTAGAATGGGTTAAAAATAGTTGCTTATCAAATCAGTTGAGTACACTTTCACATGTCAGGCGGTACTACCAATGTAAATCTATGTTAGAATTATTTGTTGTTCTATGTGAAATATTTTATGCAGAAAAGAATCAAAAACATCAAAAAAGGAATAAACACATGGATGATTTATAATATGCACGCCATCTGTTTCTGCAAACTGCAGAGTAACTTCCTATTGTTAGTTAAATGATTATTTTTATGACATTATTTCCGATATCATTTGAACCTGAACTTATTTCTGTGCAGGTACTAGAATCCAGAGTTTGTCCCATTTAAGAGTTGAAGTGAAAAAAATGGCCTTAACTGCACAGCTTGTCAGTAAGTCAATGGAAGATTTGTGAAAAACAGGACACAGTAGAAGCATACTTTGTCACCACATACACCAGCTGTTATGAAGGGTTTTTGAGCACTGTCCTGCACCTCAGTCGCCCCTCCCTTGGCTCCGCCTTCCTCCAGCAGCGGCCCCAGCTCCATCAGCTCCACATCGTGGTCCTCACAGATCTGACAGTCTGCATCACTCGCAGACCCGTTACGTGCGGACATAAGGAGACTGTCTGCGGCCACTCAGTGTCTGTGGTGCAGACCAAGGACAGTTCACTCCTGAGGAAAGAACAGGATTTTTGTGAGCAATGGCAGCAAACAGGCGGTGACATTGAAACACAACTTAATAACTGGTACAATACATTATCCAACAAGTAGCATACTCTCGATAGAGAACACAAGCAATTATTGTAGAACTGTTAGATGTAACTTTAGTCACTGTCACTTTATCTGCACGGCTAAATGTCTATTTTACTATAGTATCCATAGTAATTTTATGAAATGTTATGAAGATTTTTTTATACACGCCTTTCCTTTACCGCCACTCTTACAACTTGTTTGCACTGAGAGCCAAAGCAAATTTCTACTTTGTGACTTCCTTACGAAGGCGAAAAAAGAAAGAACTCTGATTTTGGGTCAAAATACACTACGAGCAATGTAGTTCACGAGCACTGGTAAATGACCAAAAGATCGTGGGACAAGTGGTCCAAATCACTTATTGAGAAAGACTTGAAGTAGAACTACTGCTCCTTCACAACAAATACCCAAACCTCTTATGCATAATCTGCACTGTTAAATGTCTATTAGGTGTAATAGTAGAAATGTATTAAGATTATCTATTCCTTTTTTTTTTTTTCATTCAATTCAATGTAATCTTGTAAAGCCCTAAATCACAACAGTAGTCATCTCAGGGTACTAAAAAACCCGTTGAAATCGTCAACACAGATCAGAGAATCAACCGTTAAGACACAAAAAATATAGAACACATGGTATTCGTCCAAAGGGATAAACCAATGTCCATGAATGTTGACAAATATCCATACATATTTTAATAACTTGGTTGCACCATTAAACAAAGCAAATTCCTGGTTTGAGACTTCCCATTACATACTATGGCAATAAAACGAATTTTGAAATGCAGCCAGCTCCTGGATGATGTTCACCTTGAAAAAAGGACACTCCTAAAATGTACCTACCTTCATTTTAAAAAGCCACAAACACAAGTTACACAAGCATGTAATCCCACGTCTGTCCTGCAGCCCTTCATAGTGGAAAATAGGCATCTCTACTTCTATCTGAAACAGTTGTTCTCTGGGAATCATTATAGAAATTATCATCGGATTCACGTAGAACAAAAACAGTAAAACCAACTTAGAATCCCTTTCCAAAAATCTCGAATACACGCTTTCTCTACTGGGACCTATTATAAAACCATAATAACATGTTTATAATAAAAGCATATAACATAAATGCATTAAAATAATAAACGCATTGCAAGACTTTAGTTGTGTTAGTAAACAAGTCCCATCTGGGTGCGCAGCATTTACTCAAACCTAAGGCCTCGATACATCATGTAAACAGTAGCGACAGGATATATTTTGAGACGAGGTGTGAAATGTCTTTGTTCTAGCGATGGAAAAAATACATCCAACATCAACGAATCAGATATATCCAGACATTGTTGTTGTTGCTGCAGAAATGACATGGACCTGTTTGTCGAGCTTTACCCTCAAAGCGGTCAAACCAGTGATGCCATGACGCGCACTACTTTATGCACCAAAGCTACAACAAACAATGAACAAATATGACAGGAAACTGATGATTTACAACACATTTGTTCAGTTGCGTTTTCTCGTTATAGATCAATCTACGACACAACAGCGTGGCATTACAGAAGCTAAAGATCGCTATTCTACTGCTAGCATTGCCAAGCTAACACTGAGCTACAACATCCGTGACCGTATTTTTTTAATCATCTTTGGGTTCATTTTGATGAGAAAAGTGTTGGAAAAACACAGAAGCGCATACCTGATAAGAGAGAGCAGCCTGACAGCTTCGTGCGCGGTCCAGACAGGGTTGAATTACCTGACAGAAAGGTGCTGTGTCTCTGAAGGTAAATTATTTATCGATTAGAAACTCTAGCTGCGCAGGAAACGAACAGCACTTCCGTGAACAGAGCTCGTTTCAAAATAAACAATTATTAGGTATTATGAAAAACAAAGAGAACCTAGGTGCATAATATTCATTAAAATCATAGATTGTTGCCATATCAAAAATGGTCATTGTTCATTTATTCTTGTGAATTCCATGCCAAAATAACCCACATTTATATTTCCCCACTGTGGGACGAATACAGGAATTCTTATCTTATCTTATCTTAAACAAGACCATTGTAATTTTGTCAGGTATATTTTTTTTAACATTATTATTGTTTTCTTTTGTGCAATTTGTATAACTTGAATGAATACTAAAATAATAAAATATAATATATTAATCACATACATGCAGGTGGTGGTGTGCGCCACTAGATGGCGGACTTAAATAATATATGCTCCCTTGAGGTAGATATGCATTTCCAAAGTTGTATTTCTAAATTGACAATCCATTAATTTGTTTCATTACTATCGTCAGGATATCAAAACGTTAATGCATATTTTTGATAGTATTTTAAAAATGTTGAACAATTATGATTGTTGAAAAGTAATTCAATAAATTGATTGGGCCGACATAATTTGAAATGCAAAAAGCTACTTGTTCCTATAGTGAAAAGTCTTCATGAGGAGATTTTTATCGTTCATTTTTAGCCTGTACACAGATATACTTACCCCTAACATTTAAATGTAAATAATAAATAAATAATAGATACACATTTGTTTTTTTGGTTTATTTTGGGCCCATTTAGTTTTGTGACAGAAGGATTAGTTGTCATTGTGAGAAGTTTTTCAGGTAGTCGCATATCTAAAAATAGTTGCCTGCCAGTCAATCACATTTTGGAATCTACAGGTTTTTTAGGTTTATAATGTACAGAATTTAAAATAGTTTCACATTCTACATTATCTACATTATAAAGTTTGTAGTGTAATCTAACCTGTGCTGTCAGAATCTTCAGCTCATGTATTTGTTAGTCCATCAAAGTAACTCAAACATGTGTTTAAATGAATGACAATCACAACAGAATTGAGAGACTGTTTGAATTTAAAAAAACTGTAGGCAATTTGTCTTTCTTAAGAATAAGAAAAAGTGACTAGTACCCTAAATAACTTTTAATGGTAAGATGTTTTTCATGGTGCAATAGACAATACACGTCTTGGTGGAACAGGTGCATGAATAACTATCTACAGTTTATCTTGCATTCATCAAATTAATCATTACTGAACAATTCTCATAATCAACCAAATGTGAACTGTTTACAGCTTGTAATATAAGACAAGCTATTGATTTACAGTGACTCTGATGCTTTATGAGTTATGTAAGTCTTATGTAAGTCTGTGTTGTTGTAGTGAGCTTTAAGGGCTGCAACATGTTTGAACCATCAAAGCGATCTAAATTGATCAGGGGGAAAAAAATACTTTTATAATATTTTAATGTATATCAATGCATTTTATACAAAATATATACAACAACATTTTAATTTTACGTTTCAAAATAAAAATCCAAAGTTTATTTTCTTCTTTTTATACAAAACTATTATTTTAGTTTGAAATATTACATTCACTCTTTTTTGCTACATACACAATAAAGCAAACATAACCGAACATCTGCTGTTGTGTTTGCGAATAAAGGCAACAGCATGAGCTAGAGGGCAGTCCTGAAGACCAGGAAAAGGGTAAAATCACATTGTTATTTACATATACGTACATGGCAAAAAACCGACTTTCGGCTACTGAAACTCTGTATCAAAAATAAGGACAAAAGTTGACTGAAAATCCATAGACAAACAACTGGTCATGTGTATTTGTAAAAGATATGAGTGACACACCTCTTGCAGTGACAACGCCCTGACTCCTGTTAAATGTGTCACATAGTTCCAGGATGGAGGAGGAGTGAGAGCGCCTTCAAACTGGTCCTCCATGATAACCAGATTTGGTAACATTCTAATCTAAAACAAAAGTCGCAATAAATACTTAGACGAGTAGATCTCATTGATCTACTATATACATTAGCTAGCTTAAGCAGCATCTACAGGGGGCTTTTTAATGTTTACATTCATAACAAACCACTGTGTGCAAATGCATTTGGGGCCTAATCTATGCCTTACATTCTACTTGAGTGAATTTAAAAGTTTGAAAAATCCTCATACCATCTGTTTGGGCTTTCAGAAGGGCACAACAGATCTCCTTAATAGCAACTCAAACAGACATATTGATGATATGGTCAACAAACAGCTTCCTAATAGGATATCAGTGCATACATCTTTAACATTCACACTTAAAATACTTTAGTCTTTGGTCTCCGCAGAGGGCTTTAAAGCTTTATGTAGAGTAGAGTCCATGGAGGTGTGATGGTGCAGTGGTGAACCCGATCGGGGGGACATGATAAGCGATGAGGAGGACAGTGTCTCCTGAGGTAAGCTGCTCACACATGGGTACATAACCGACATGCCGCCTGGATACCAGCACTTATCCAGCATGGGCAGATACGCAGACGCCGCGGCCGCTGCTGTGGGTGGGATGAGGTAGAAGGGCATGCAAAATGGTGGCTGGTTGGGAGAGAAGTTAAGATAGCCGTCTCTAGCAGCGGTTTCTTCTGTACGTTTGGATTTCTTTGCAGGAGGTTCAGTGCTCTCCTGTTTGATGCGTTCGTTGGATTGGTCCCGTTTGTCCTGCTCTCCTCCATAGCCGCTGTCTGTGTCTGTGTCGCTGCCGCTTAGCTCCCCTGTGCCGTAAGGGTGAGTCCTTTGAATGACGGGAACACAGTTTTTAGCCTGAGGTTGGGGGGACGCGATGGCAGCTTTCTTCTCTACGATCTGAAGTGCTGGTGCTTCTTCAGCAGGAATTTTGTCCTGGTGATGAAGGACCTCTGCTGCGACTTTGTGGATATGGCTTACAACGTGGGAAACACTCAGGTCTCTGCTTTCTTGGTTTGCCAAGTAGTGAAGAACCTCTTTGGCGCAGAGGTGGAAACCGGACCGGAACATTTCCTCACTGTCCACAGAGCTATCACTTTCATGGTCTCCTTTAAAAGGTAGAATGAGAATCAATTAATTAACTATAGAAATAATACACAGGAAAAAGCAGATTATCAACACACCTTTAGAGTGTGGAAGCCCTTTATCTTTAAGTTCTAACAAAGCGGGACTCTAGAGTCACAATGAGACTAATGAAACTAGTTTAATTAAGAGGTGTTTTAAGTATATACTAATCCAATCTGGTTCAATAAAATAACATAAGTAAAAGTTGGTGTTATAAGGTAAAAAAAATAAGACAAGCCAGTGGTAGCACTAAATTGATTTCTTTATGCATGCAAGACTAAATGTTATCAATTTCAACTGTTGAGAGAATGATTCTGTTCTCATAGGAATAAGTGTCTTACCTATTTGGAGGTCTTTCTGCAGGTTGATGATCTTCTGCTGTTGCTGCTCAAGGAGGATGCTTTGGGCTTTCACATGCTTCAGCGTGAGCTCCAGCACCACGGCTTTCTCCAAATGGCCCAGCGTCTAAAACAGGAGCAACTCCGATAAGTATGTTGATCTTACTTATGTAATGCATTCTGCAGCTGAACTGGGGACAGGTCTAAAGCGCCCGTAAAGTCAGGCACTACACACTTGCACATACTTATTCAGATTATAGACGACTATACTAAACAAACAGAAAATCTTCACCTATGGTCTATTTTGCTTTGAAGCTGATATGCGACTGAAACAGTCAAATATGGAATATGTAGAATAATGCATGTTTTTCCTATAATTAAGTGGCTGTTTATAGAAAGAATCCACTCACAGTTAGTTTTAGATGTTCTGGCAGCAGGTCCTTAAGTTGGGCGATGCACTCATTAATTCTGTCACGTCTTTTCTTTTCAATCAAACGGTGTGGCAGTTTGTATGTATCCTGAAGAAAAACACATACTGTGGTTACATTCCATTCAAATACATATTCCTAATGATACACACAGTTTAAAACACGTTAAAGACGCAGTAATTACCTTGTTCTCCTCTCCGCGTTTTATACCTCTTCTTGACTTGTACACATAAAGAGGAAAATCAATTCTATGGAAGGAAAAATGCAAAATTAGTTATGTCATCATTGATCTGCATTGATAAAGTTACAGGTTGTTTAAGATGAGATCACTTACCCTTCCATGTCAGACATATCCAGCGATGGGTGTTTTGGCATTGAGGGAGGGGGTTGCGCACTTGTTATCCGTTCCATGTCGCAAAATACAGAGTTAAAACTTGGTAAACCCGTATCAATAAAATAATCCAAATTTCTGGTCCTGCTCTTCAAAACGCTCAAAAGCGAGAATGTGACGTCAAGGCGCCTGTAATCCGCGGGGAGCTGCTGGGGCTGTTGTCACACTGAGGTCCGGGCAGTTGTGTCTGTCAGAGGAAGGATCCACGCCTGCTTCAATGTGAGAGAGCGGGGTGGGTTTGACTACGTGTTAAATAAACCCTGTGACTGCAGGCACGTCCCCGGGCGAGAGACACACGGTCACATGAGCCTCACGTGTTGGACGGCGCTTCAGCTGCTGCCCTCCTCTTGGCTTCCACACGGCCACACACCTCAAACACGTATCTGCAGACCCGGAGCTGCACTCTCAGGACCGCACACGTTTTTGATATAGAAATAACACCAACGCAAATGGGGGTTTGGAAAATGTCCATTTGCTGTAATTCATTGTTTTTGGGATTAAATGTATTCAATTACATAGGAATAAACTATGTAGAATACAATATCTTCCTTTACACGACTTCTTATCCCTTTATTTTATGTTTAGGCTACCCTCACTCAGCCAATTAGTTCTCAGTTTGTCCATAACATGCTACTTAAAGAAGACTCTTTCTGTTGGGGGAAAAAAAATATTTATAAAACAAACTAAAAAGTAATATACTCCAGTGTTACGTTCAATTTTCGTATCTGTTGAAGCTGATCCCCCCCCCCCCCCCCCCCCCCCTCCATTTATGTTTTTTAATACAATTTGGACCCGTAATTATTGCAGCTCTCACTAGAAACACATGCTCATCCTGCCAACCAAAAATAGGCTGTAAAAAAAAATGCAGCCCTAAACAGGCAGCTCCAACGATGCAGGGTTACCCCCCTTCTAGAACACAGCTCATTGGTGTAGTAGACTCTGCTGGGGCTAAGTCTCGTGTTGCACCATGCTTCACAAGAATAACATTTGAGTACATGCTGCGTTCGTGTTATTGTAGGAAGCCACTTTAAGTGTAGTTATAGTTTATATAACGAAGATAGTGTGTTGCTACAGAGTTTAAGAGTGAATGTGATACAAATACGCATATAATTGGGAGAATGAAAAAGTATATGGGCATATTCCTGGCATAGAAATGTGTATTTGGAAGGTGCATAATCCTGGCATAGAAATGTGTTTGGAAGGACCGAAAGTGGAAGAAGGACATGAATGAAGTGAGAATAAGTGAAAAAGCGTTGAAACTTAAAGGTCTGTCGGTGCCAGAGACCTTTCATTATTGTTATCTTGCACTCCCACTCATTATAGCTTTCCCATGGGCACAGGCACGTGCACCTGCGGGTAGGATGTTCTGCGCGTGCGTGTGCGCCCCTGGTCCTGAGCCTGTCCCATGGTCACAGCTTGTCCATTACACTCCCCTGAGCCGCTCACGTGGACCTCCTCATGGCAGCGCCACAACACGAGCGGATGTCTGCTGGTGACGTCACACGCACAGCGCTCTCGTGTCCTGACGGGTATAGATAGAGCGAGGCTTCCAATAAACCCCACGGGGAACACATCACTGCGGGGCAACAGGAGGACGGCACATGTAGGACAGGATTACATTATTGTTTATCCCTAATAGGACTGAAACATTATTTATATGTATTATTAATATAAACGCAAACATATTCGGATTCTGATTCTGATATCATCTGAAAAAAGACATGTGCACATCCTTATTTCCGTCCTAAAAACCCTCAGTGGAATAAATACAAATAAATTGTATTGGGCCACATTTCAAACATTTGTGTTTTAACAAAGATGACACGATAACATCTGTAACGTTCCATTGCAATAACATCCCAAAAAGAAAACAAAAAACACAAGGGAATAATGCAACAGTTTAATAAATAGTTCTATTTCAATATACAAATGACCTCATCCTAATATTAAATAGATCCTAACATTCAATTTAAGAAACATATTTGTTCTGCTTTCTACAGAGCTATAAAATAAAAGCAACATATATCCCTCTAAAAATGAAATTAAAATAGCAAAATAATACAATTTTAACATTTACAGAATTAATAAATATGAACAAAAAGAGGCACATGAATATGGAAAAAAACTCCAGAGAACATAATAAAAGTGCAGGAAACAATGATGACTTCAAAATTAAATAAATCAAATTAAACAATTTGACATAAAGCAGTCTTTATACAGCAAGTTATCACACATGTGTCACTTATTATTTTAAACATATAAAAATCTAAATATATTGCTTTTGCCCAAACTATGATATCTACCAACTGTGTTTTAGCCAAACATAAAAAGAACAAACACCCAATCAACAAAAAAGTAAAAGGATAAAGTCCTGCTTCTTAATAATTTCTAAATGTAAGTAAATCCTCTTAAACATAAAAAACATAATGTATGATATACCCACATTTCACTGAGTTTGCATAAGTTTAGATATTGCACAAAAACCAAAATGATAAAAATACAAATAAAATACAACTCATGAAAATAAAAATACAGCAAAATAGCAAAGGCCCTGAAAAGCATTGTATTTCTTAATTTGGCACCAATTCATAGAAAATAAAATGGACATTGTTTGAGGGCTTGAGTAGCGCTACACATTGGCCTGGTGACCCTACCTACTGTCACAGCGAACGTTCTATTGGGAGCTCTAAGCCGGCTGCTGCGGGTTGGCGTTCAGGTGCGGAGGGTGTCCGAGGAGGCCGATGCGCTGCTTCTGCTTCCTCTGCTCCGTCATCTGCAAAAGACCATACAATAAACAAATCAAAATAACTGATGCCCTTTCGAAACTTCACTCCTGCAATTTATCATTCTGAGAGATGCAAGTCAATCGTTTACCATCATAATCCTTTGTGACGACAGCAGTGGGACACCCGCACTAAGACTGAAACTAAATTTGAGAGCTCCAGCGCAGGTAATTACTCATTCTCTTTCTTTCTGATTTAAACTTTCAAATGTAAGTTTGTTAAAATTGTAAGCATCAATTTAGGCCCCGGCACTGACAGGAGAAATACAGTCTGTAATTTGTTAAAGAGAAATATGGGTGTTAACACGCGAACATAAGTACAATAAATGACTTTCAAAATGACCTTTAATTCATTTTGAGCAATTGTTTAGTGTTTATGGAGTTGGTGTCGTAATCATGTGCAACTTTAAGCAACAGTCTGTCTGGGTCAAAATGTCACTTCCTCACAGCGAGTTCTCATTTCAAGGCTATAAAATGCTTTACCAGAACATTAAGTGATTGTGTAAGTTTGCGTTTAAGCTCATGAATTTGTTTTGAATTATACAAATATCAAATATTTTTTTCTAGAACAATAAAAATACATTTCTGATTTCATATTTGTTTGTATTGTATAAAACTACAAGTAATTCCCATTTCAAAATAGGCTAAGCAAAGTCAATGTTTGTTTGAAATAATGTATTCCACATGTTCTCCATTGTGTGTTTGGACCAATATCAATGTGTAAATAACATTCAAACTAAATAATAACAGCTTAAAAATAGAAACAAATTACATTTCCCACACTGAGAAATATGAAGATTATTTTATCTTATCTAAATGATGTGCTGTGATCCTGGTTGAATAAAGGTCAATAGATATAACAAATACACACCTGCTCTTTGAGCTCGGTCAGCTGACCCGACAGGTTGCACACCAGCTTCATGGTCGACTCCAGCTTCTCCTGCAAGCTCCGGATCTCGTTCTGCTCTCCGTCTGCATCACTGCTCACCAGCGACATGGCCCGCATCCGGGGAAACCAGTCCAGGTTGTGATCCTGTTGATAACAAACCAGTGTGTAATAGCGTATTTAATTGATTAAGGACAATCATCAGTTATCAGTTGTCCCTGGGCATGCGGGAATGCCATCAAAAGACATATCTACAGCGTGTGGCATAATCAATTGTGTGATCTTATCTCATCTTAAATATCCATAGGCAGGTTCTGGCAAAAAATTAAGACAGTGACAAAAAAAAGACAGATATAAGTTTGTTGCATGCTCTGCTCATCTTTGAGTGTGAGCAATGTCGGCTGGATTTAAACCAGATTTTCAGTTGATTTCTTAAAAGTGAAACATTTGGAACAGTATCCCCAACACTATACAAGAACTCCCAACATGTGAGTGCCTCTATAGCGAGAACAGATTTACCATAGCCCATAAGGCATAAACAATCGCATAAAACAAACATTAAAGTCCCACAAGGCCTTCAGAACAAACATTACAAACACATAAAACAAAGAATGTAAATCAGAGATTTTACAAAAACATTAAAATCACTAGTATAATAAATATGGACAGTGAATTAAAATAGGAGAGATAAAATCCTTAAGCTGTATGCACGGGCAATAAGAACCTGGATTTGAACACTGTCAGAGGAGTCGCCCGTTTCATATTTTCAGGAAGACTTTTCATTTTTTTAGACCAGTCTAGTTTAGTCGTAGCCTGGCCTTAGCTATCCGTACACACCGTTCAATCATCATTTGTACTATGGTGTGGTACGACCAGGCTAGTTTAGTCGCTGTCATGCGTTTTTTCACATTTCCCAGCCCCCGCGGCCATTTTGAAACTACCCATAGACCGCAGAAGTTGTGGCACATTAGTTAGAACGGTGGAGATAGGCGTGAATATGTCCGTTATTATTTACAGTCTATGGGAGGGACTTGTAACAAACAGAGCTGTTTTAAAGTCTATTCTTTGAGCCACAAGAAGCCAGTACCCTTAAGAACTGGACTGATGTAAGTAAGCAAGCAAGCAAGCAATCTTTATTTATAAAGTGCCTTTCACAGACCAGAGTCACAAAGCGCTTTACAATTGTGCGCATTGTGATCTTACTTCCTGGTTCTAGTCAGGACTTTGCAGCATTGGATACCATTACAGTAGTCTTTCCTACTGGAGACAAATGGATGGACAAGAACCTCAAAATCTGCTTTAGACAATGTTTTTAATGTTGTTTTAACAATGTTTTTCAAATGGTAAAAAGCTGCTGATGTTACGGATTTGATGTGGCTGTTAAAATGTAAGTCTGTGTCCATTATTACCCCTAGACACCTGACTTTATCTAAAGATTGTCAAGGTGACAGAGGACACTCGGTCTTTGGTCACCATAAACAAAATCTTTTCAGTTTTGTCGGTTTAGCTGAACGAAGTTGTATTACATCCATTCACGGATCTTCTGGAAGCAGCGAGAGAGTGAGTCTAGTGGTCCATGTTCTCCTGCAGTTAGTGAGACATGGATCTGAGTGTCATCTGCGTAATAGGGATTGGACACATTATTACAGAGTATTAACATTCCTAATGACAGCATGTAGATATTGAACAGAAGAGGTCCCAGGATTGACCGCTGTGGGTCTCCAGAGGGGACTGATCATTGGGCCCTGACTTGCGGACACTGACTTTGTATCAGGACCAACAGCAGACTTACATTTATATCTTCACTCTGTGATGGAGATGTGAGTCCTTAGTGTATGTAGAATAAATATACAAATATTTCATATCTTGGACTCTTCTTCATTTGCACACAAATTTGAAATCAAAGTTATCATTGATATATATATATGTAAGTGTAAGGAATGGGGTTAAACATAAAAACTTTTACAATAACATCTCCTGGGTTTATGAGCATGTTTCGAAACACCCACAACACAAACAAATCCCAATATGGACTAGGTCAAGTAAGTAACTTTGAGACCAGCAAAAACAACATATTTTTAAACCTTAAAAGTCATCCGACTGGTTGAAATGACACAAACATGTCAAACATGCATCATGCTCATGCACATTCTGCATTGTGATTGAAGACTCAACCTATATAATATATTTTAATATAAACAATGTGACAACCATTGTTTTTCCCAAAAAAAAGAAAAGTGTTTTTAAATCCATCTATTTTGACTCACAAGACACTTCACAAGTCCATCTCATGTGAGGGGTACTCGATAAACTAAAGGTTACTTTCTTATATAATGTTCATTTAACTGCATATTTAACATATATATCTAAGCAAGTTATTAGTTTATAAATTGTTCACCTACAATGGCGACAAAGCTCACCGTTTGTCAAATTGATCAATCCTTAATCAATCCAATATATGACAAAGCTTTGTCATATATTTTAGAAACTAAACAAAAATAAAACACTCAGTATAACATTGACCTTCTAGAATTTGATTAGAATGTATTAAGAATTTATATATAACAACTTGCATATTTGTCAACACTATTTACTACAGATAATAGTTTACTAAATAATGTTCCACGCTGGAACCTGGGCATAAGGACAGCGTTCCTTAGCTCCACTATCTGTCTGGCATTTGGCCACTGTTATGGAGCTCTGTTTGAAGTCATGTGACGGCATTCCCTTGTATTTATACCACACAGCCCTCACACATAATAAGCACCCTCGTAGACTTCAGAAGTCCCAGCCCTCACAAAATATGTGGACAGGCATGTATCCCTTTAAATAAAAAGGTCAATAAAACCTAACAAACTGAAGAAAAACTCCCCCAGCTCTCAGCGGTGGCTTTGGAGATGGTTGAGGTGGTGCTGAAACCACATTGCAGACCTGTGTCAGACATCTCAGGGGAATCACACAACACTAATATGATGTGCACAGGAGTCATTCTGAGAGGACCCAACAAAAACAACATAAACATGTTCCACTTCCTGGATGCTGTTTACCTTCTTCCATAAATAATAGAAAAATAAAATAAAGAACCAAAAGATTAAAAGATTAGAAGGATATTAAATATTATTTTTTATTGAAATCTGGTATGCTCAGAATAATTGGAGAAGACATTACAAGTGTACATACCTTATTGATTTGATTTGTCCAACATTTTCCAACAGTTTCCCCCCCCTTTTTTATGCAGGTCGTCTAATCAACAAATTATCATCAGTGTGAAGGGGAATTGCACATATTTCAGCAAAATACAAGATACTCACATAATGTCTCAATTTTATAAGGACTTTAATGTTGTTATAAAGAAATTCCTTTTTTAATGTATATTTATTCATATTATTGATTGCAATGTGTGAGAATTGGTAAACATAAGTGTCCTCCAGGTTTCAATATGGAGACATTTATTATTTTTGTTTTACATAAAAGATCTCCCTCCGGTCTGTCAATATGCTGTTTTTCAAATGTACTTCGCAGGTGTGTTCAATAATATCCTAGCCAGATACACAATTATATTGAATCACATAATTTAGGAGTATTGCTTTAACAACAGAGAAAAATTCTTGACATATGCCATTGATAATATAAATCACATAAAATATTATCTTAAAACTCACATTATTTAGAGCCCCTCAAAGTGGGGGGCATAGATTATAGCATGGATTTTTTTATCTGCAATGTATGGAGTGGTACAGCAGGCCCGAAGGCAGTACGAAACAAAACCTAAGAAACAATGGAGCCATGTCGACTAGTTATGCTATGTTTATGTTCTCCCCATAATCTCATTACTTTGTCAATATCTTTTAAATCACATTTTTTTTTCTCAGTACATTTGACTACTGTATAAAAAGGTCAATTGAGTGTTATTATTAGGAGTAGCCGAACAGGACCAAAAGGCCACTAGAGTTTGAGATTAGCCCTTCTTTCCATCTCCAATGTGGACAAATGCGAGTGTTTCCAGTAAACAGAGAAATGCTGCCAGAAGTAACATCACAGGGTTCAATGGAAACGACGGAAGTTAAGTTCATTATTAAAACCGCACGGGGCATGACAGAGAAACAGGATGCTTTGTGGTCAAAACAGCAACAGAAAACGTCACAGTCATGCCACAAACCACCCGACGGCCCACTCATTACTGATATGTGAACTAACTTAGGATATTTCAACTGATAGCTAGCCATGGATGACGTGAAAGTAAAAAGGAGGCGATACTTGAAATATTTGTTCTATTCCTTGGTTCTTCATTAACATTATTGAAGACAGAAATAGTAAAGACAATCTTTTGGCAACATTTAAGTGACATTTCATCAAGACACAGCATTGACGTCAGTGACAGTCATTGTCAGAGTATGACTCCATCCACTCCTTTCATTTCATCCTCCCTACACATTATTGCAGCATCAAGTAAACAAATGGTAAACAGGGACTTTCACACTCAAGAAACAAGGCAGTTGGCCCAATGAACATCAATTAAAGGGGTGGCAATGAAGACTTAATATTGCCCATCTTCATCAATTGTATTTTTGTTACATTCACAAATACAGTATGGCGGAGAGTAAGTCATTATTGCTCATTTTAGATTTGTAATAATTTGGTAAAGAAGTAAGAATATAAGCCTTCTCTGTTAATGCTCCCTGATAAAATGTCTGATATACACACAGAAGCCATTGTAGAGCAGACAGAGTGCACTGAGGCCAGTGTCAGCCTCCTGTGAAGGGCTGGGCTAATATTGGGGTTGACTGGGTCAGCTGCCGACAGGTCACTGAGGTTATTGCCACCTTGTGTTCTCCCCACGGTGAAGAGCAAAAGAAGGGCTTTGATCCTAAATCAGGTGTTTCTTCACATGACCCAGATTAAGAACCGTAATAAAATAATTCAAGTGCATCTAGTGGCAACACCTTTTTCTCAGTAATAAAATAAAGCATTCAATAGAAAGATGTCCATTTTACCATAATCATGTGAAAAAATATCATATCAAAATTCCTTTTCTATTTTTAAATCAAGACGAGGGGGTACATGACACACTGTACCGGTCAGTGATATACCAAGGAGCTATAATTGATGCAGATTAAGATGAGACTGAGGATTAAAAGGAGCATGGCGGCTTATATTTCAAGCCCTGACCGTCTGGGTTCTAATCCTCCATTCATAAAGTTGGTGATAGTGTCCTGGGCCAAATTAAGAGTGTGTGCGCCTGTAGCAAACAGAGTCCATTTGAATGAGGTAAAGGTTCACTTAATTAATCCCCGTAGGGCAATTCATCCTCTGCAATTGACCCATCCTGGGTTTACGTCAGGAGCAGTGGTCGCCGTAGTAACAGCGCCCGGGAACCCATTTCCAGATGTTGATGCTCGGCTTGGTCAGGACTACCGGAGCTAGAGGATTTAACCTAGTGAGCATGTTTTTAGTGGACATGCTACCTCCACTCAGAAAGACCCTTTTCCAACCGGGATCCGAACCCAGGACGTTTCTGCTGAGAGGCGAGAGTACTATCCACTCAGCCACCGTGCCCACGAGTAAACGTGCTCTGGTTCTTACTCACCATCCATATCACTGATAAGGACTTGGTTGACTAGACTGTCTGCACACGCCTTACCCGGATCATTTCTGCCACGTAGCTCTCAGGTCCTGTGTATTCTGTGGAGTCCTTCACTTTCACCAACACGATGAAGAACAGGTAGTGCCACATGTTGTGCTCCACTTTGATGTGTTCCTCAAACGTCACGGTCTTATTGTCAAACTTGTCCCTTTCCAAACCTGAAAAGGAAAACAAACATTTAAATCAAACATTCTTCAACCACAAAATACAAACCTCCAATTACTATACAAACATACAGCTTTTGAATTTGTCCCCAGTTTGTACCCATTTATTCATAATGCTGCAAGTGCTTATGACAATTGTCCTTACTGTTTAAATTAGTTGTATTTTATTTGGTGAAATACTGCTCCCTGTTCAGTGTATAACTATAATTTTTCAAGTGCAAGAGTAATGTCCAAAGTAAATTTTTGGGGATTGTTAACTAATAATTTAAGTAGAATTGGCATCACTGCATCTTAGTAAAAGAAGTAGTATTAGACGTGACACTTCCACATAACCATGGAACAGGAAGAAGCTCCTCCAGCGCAACACCTGCCATGACTAACCAGCCTTTCTGGGAAGAAGTTTGCTTCTCAGAGAAATCACCCCCATTCTGTAACCAGACCTTTTGTGAAATCAACCCTCTGCAAAAGTTGCATTAAAACATGTTTGTTCTGGATCGGCCTGCAAACATTAAGATTCACACCTGCTGTTGACAGACTGCACAATGATAAAAAGGCGAGGTTTCGATTTCTAGTTAACAATTTCCTCTTTCAGTAAGCAATGCACTTTAATCTGTTAAACTGTGACAAAGGTCATATTTCAATGTGTGGCTCCGTAGCAATTAATAGACATGAACAGCGGATGACCTTTCTGGATGGTTTTACCTTTACTCCGCTTTTCATTGTTGCAAAAAGTGTTATTTAAATGCAGACATTATTCTGAAATGGATGAACTTCTAAAGGATCCAATGGACCAGCTCTGGGGCAACTGGTTTTGACCCTTTCCATTTCTTGTCAATTGATTAAAACCTCATGGAAATGTAAAAATGAAAGCTGTAGCCCCATTATGCACCGTCAAATCAAACATACACCGTCTTTGGTAAAACCAGATAGACGATTTTCGGATGACTCATTTCCTCTCAATTATAAGTGGGAACAATCTCCGCACAGAGGCCAAAACTACAGGCCTTTCAAAGATGTATCAACAGTATCCCTTGTATCAATGTATGCATACATTTACAGACAACAGGAGAGACAAGCTGTTCGGGCCAGAGAACACCTGATGTCCTTTACATGAAATACACTTTTAGTTCCAACATTATACAGTAAATAGTATAAACATTTTAATACAGACAGCACCAGCCGCACATGTCTATAGAGTATGTATAGAATACATATTTTTATTCACTCACCACAAATAAAGCAAGTGGTTTTTAGGATTTCCTCTTTTTTTTGTTTCTCACTTCTTAAGTCAGCAAATGTATCAATTATGACCCCAAAGATGAGGTTGAGGACAATGATGATGACCATAAAGAAGAAGAGCAGATCATAGATGACTCTGGCGGCAAACAACGGCTCCTGTCGAGGCAAAGACACAGCATTAAGAACATTATACTACATTATACAATATCATAATTTATCATTTACTGCCAAAGCTGAAGACACTGTAGGATCTCAAATCCTTTTCCAATAAACACACTTTGTCTATTTTTGAAATGTGTATATGTATTTCTTCACTTGTAGATTGGATCATAATGAAAAAGAAATTGAGATTATAACAAGCAGAGATGTTTTAATTGTGATGCGTATGACAAATATTTACAACTCCAAAAAAGCCATAAAGTGAATTCTGAACCCAACAACTAAAGCCAAATATTGGAAAAATGAGAACAGCAGCTGCCCCACGGCTACTCCACTTACAGTGCTGAGGCGCAGATTCTTATATAAGTCGTGTCGTCACGGTCTCTGTGCGTATATTATGTAATGCAGTTTAAACAATGTTTAACTATAGATCAGATGTAAACATGAAGATAAGTTTGTTTATTAGGTTTATTATAGCACAAAGCAAATCTATATGAATTTACAATCCTCTTATGACAGCTTGAAAACACTTGTTGGTGATGTAAGATGACTCAAACTTTGCATTACATACAGTTCTTGAAAGTTTACACAGCCAGCCAGAGATGTGTTGTTTTTGCCATATTTGGAAGATTATGAATGAAAACAAAAATACATTATTTTCCCAATTGTTGTTAGTTGATACTGATATTGTCAAACAAACAAGTTTTCTATTTTCAAATTTTAACATAATTGAGCCGGGGACCAGGAATTCATAAGAACGTTGCCAAGAAATGGGCAGCTTTACCATCAGAGAGGACAAAGAACCTAATCTAATCAGGGTCATTAGAGTTGGTTTTGTATTTTGAAGTTGAAATGGCAACAGAAACATGTTAATTTGACATTAAAAGGCTTCACACAGCCACTAACAATGAGTGGAAAAGTCTATGCGTTATCATCCATTATCTCAGAAATATGCCCAAAGAAATCCCCAGAAATGTCTGCCTGGGCATGTGTGAAGTTTCAAGAATGTACATGTAAAAGATTAGATCGTTATGTTGATTCAACCATTGTTTTTTGGGATATTTCTACCTCTTTTGAGGCCTTGCGGAGCACATCTCCCACACCCCCTCCGCTCCTCAGGCCATGGCTCAGGACCGTGACAATGCACATGAGAAGAGAGTCACAAGACCTCTCCTTGTCTTCTATGACCACTGCTGAGGGCTGGACCGCCACAACGCCTATAAAGACATAGCAACAGAATTAACTGCCATTTCCTGTGTGGAGTTGAATACGCTGCTTTGTCTGTGAGGGTATTACCCGTTGGACATGCTTTTGATAACAACTGTAAAAATAGGAAGATAAAAATAGAAGAAAAATACATTTACTACACTCAAATATACCATGCACATAATGAAAAGTGTAATTCAATTTCCCATGTGTAAAATGTCAGAGGAATGCATTTATAGATAGGTCAGCAGACTGCCCTAATTAGGCAAAGTGATGGGACATAGGGAGACATACCAGGGGGGAGGATTTGAAACGGTTGACTCATTAGACTTGGTTTGGGTCAGTAAGTTTTCTCAAGTCACCGTTTGTAGCAAAATGCGCAGTCACTGAGCAGATCCCTGAGCAGATCCCTGAGCCTCTTAGTGCTGGAGTTAACTAATCGCTGACCTCTTCACCCCACAAGCCTACACGTCAGGTTTTCAATTTCTCAGCAGTTTCACTTTGCCCTCGATTCCCCCTCCCCCTCACAGACAAAAAAGGGTTAGGGTTAGCCAAATCTGACCTAATCCTATGACCACCAGACTGTTTAATGCTGGAGACTATCTGCGTCCGCCAAAGTCACACATACGATCATGCACACATTCACAGACGGTCATGCAAAAACACTTAAGAACCTCCATAAAAGCACGCACACACACACACACACACACACACACACACACACAGAATGGAACTCTTTAAGCAGATTTCTACACAATTACAACTTTACAGCACCTTCGAATAACGTGTTGCATAACCATAATAAAACAAGAGATTGACTGATTTGTCTTTTTTGTTGTCAACGCAGTTTAAAAATGTTTGACTGGCCAATTTAGGAAAACATGGACACAATTTTTGAGTATTTTATTTCTATTAGGTTTGTTTTTCAATCATCTGGTCATTCTGTATACTCGATTTACTTTTTATGTTATGGGTGTATTTGGAACATATTATAGGTTGTATTAACATTTATGGATATTTATCAACACTATTGGACATTGGATTTGGTGCATAAGGGGCAGATGACCAGTGTTTTCGGTTCCATTTCTTGAGTTGAAACACAGATCCGAGAATCAAACAGTTCAAAGATTGTGTGCAGTCCTCCGATATTAACTACTGTTGTGATTTAGGGCTATACAAGAAAGAATTGCATTTGTTTGGATGCTGTTTTGTAGGAGGTTTTTCTGAACATAATTAGTGTTGTTGTGTTTGGATTGAACAAACTGCAAAGACAAAAGTGTCAAGACACCATAGATAGATTTACCTAACTTTGTATATTAGGTATTACAATACATTTTTGGGTGTATTTTTTCTATAATAAAGGCAATCATTAGCATATTAGCCGGAAAGAGAGAGGTTATGGTCAAAAGCAGATATTTCTAAAACTTGCTCGGCCAATATGTATAATAAACCACTACAATTAAAATAATGGTTAAAAGAAACTTGCTTGGCTGTGGTTCTTTACTTACCATCAGCTACACCCTCAGACGAGCAGTTTTCACCATTTTCTTTCCGACACGCACGTCCTGTGAAGAACTCTCCAACCATACTTGCCCCATGCTCTGCTTACAGGAGTCAAGACAAAACCATCCCAAACAAGCCCATTGAGAGTCATTGCAATAATTTACACATTATGTTCCATACCAAGTGTTTTGTTGGGTATCCTATCCACAGCCAGAAGAAAATCATCTTTGAAGAATATGTATCCCACAATGGAGAAGAGATACACAAGGATGAGGGCCAGCACCGCGGTCAGGACGATGGAGCGGCCGTTGCGTGTCACACTCTTTATCACATTCAGCAAGGTCTCCTCTCGATAAATTAAGTCAAAGAGCTATGCAGCAGAAAGAACATTTGAGAACATGTTTTTAAGACAGAGTTTTCTTCTGTGTTCCTGTTTGCGTACCAGCAGGCTGTAGAAGAAGACGTGGACAAAGACCCCTAAAGTGCAGATGATCAGGTAAAGCAGGTGGTAAAGGAACTCCACGTCCAGGATCATGGCCCTGTAGCCTCTGGTGAACGTTCCACGATTGCCCACGAAGCTCATCAGGAAAATCACTTTATTCAATAACTAAAAAAAACAAAAACAAAAAACACAATAGCGAATGAGTTCCTTTAGGCATTTTGGATTTTTCATAATTTAGCCATGATTTAAATCCCATCATTGACAATACTGTAGTTTTGTCAGTCTGTTGAAGGCAATGGTTAAAACACAATGTCGAGAACTTTACAGGTGAAACTTGTAGAATATTGTTCAAAAGTTATTTCTGTAATTCAACTTAAAATGTGAAAGCAAAATGTAGATTTATTACATGATTTACAAAAGTATAAGGACTTGAGCAATTTTCTATCTTTCCAAGTTTCACCTGTAGAAAACATGTACGGTGAAGCTATACGTCTCCATTGTTGGCTGACAGAACACAGATACTTTATGGCGCTGTGGCATTTCTTACTATTGGTAAATTCAAGCTTCTACAGTCAAACCGGTTTCTTGTGTCTTGATCGTTCACTTCAGTAATGAGTTTGTGTTTACTCGTGCACTTGTCAGAGCTCACTTACATTAAAACCCCCCAGCAGAAGCAGCGTTGGCTCCAAACCCACAGAGAAAATAAGGCGGAGGATGGTGGAGGCTATTAACGCCCGGATACCATGAGGCTGAGGCAGGACAACGACAATCGCTAACGAGACCAACATGGCCACCCACAACAGCGCAGAGAGATGGGGCTCCAGGGTGCCTATTGAACCAGAAATATACAACATGAGCCTAAACAAGTTCAGTTCTGAGGCTGAGCAAGTGTAAAATGATTAGTTGTATTGTTGTAATTCAGAAGTACAATACTTTTTTTAGAATGTGTGTGTTTCAGTCTTCATGACCATGTGTTACGTAAATAACAAATATCACACAACACAGCTCCTTTTTTTAGCTTAGACAGCACCATGACTCAACAACCTAGAGCACTGTGTCAACAAACAATGAATATATCTAAACGGGAGCTTTAAACTCAAACCTTTTGGCTTGAACTGAAGTAATGACAATTTGTAAAGGATTACATTTAGAAAAAGGTCACATTTTTGTAGCGCTAATAAAAAAACCATCAACCTGGTGAACCTCAAGTTGGCTGAGTTGACCAACCTCTTGGAACAATCTGCTTAAAAGGCAAGTATGACTCTGAAAAAAAGCAAAATACCACTGAAACATGTCATGGTAAAGTAATAATAATATATAAATATCAGTTTGATATGGTGCTTTCTGGACAAGGACGCTTCACACAACAGTATTAACTGCCATGGGAAAGACATGTATGTGCCATCGGCCCCTCCGACCACCACCACTCATTCACGCACACACTTTACAGCCACCCCACTGTGTCATCTGATGTTCCCAGAGGTCACCCACCATCATACCATCTTACAATTGTCTGTAATAAGACAACAACTTGAACTATTATCAGTGTACAAACATGTGCATGTACTGCGTGTATTTGACCAAAAAAAGCAAATCGTATCCTGAATGATCTCATATTTTTTCCCTTTTCGGTGACACATCAGCAATTACCGGTGTGTAATTGATGTGTGCAGAAAATCTGACACATCTGACAGATCCGTCGAACTAGCCACGCCAGAGGAGAAAATCATGTAATGGACTGAGACAATGCAAAAAGAGTTGGAACAGAGGAACATAACTACAAAAGATGGACACGAGAGGCGATTGGAATCAGGAACCAGGAGCGGACGGACCTTCAGCAGAGACGAGGGGGCTTTCACCTTGGCTCACACTTGGGACTCACTTCTCCAGAGACCACAGTGTAAGGCGGGCGTGGCCAGTCTGACTGATCTGTCCGATCTGTCAGACTGGCTGCATCCGGTAACAACAGCTGATAAGAGACACATCACAACATCACGTGTCACCTCTGAGGATGGTGGAAGTCTATCGCTGAAACATGTTAGGTAATTAACCAGTACCAGCTTCTTACTTATTAAAGGAACCTTGTAATAAGCCTTAAACAAAGAATCTCTCATTTGTTTTAATACAAGGTGTAGAAAAGCATGTAGAGATTTTGTTAGACCACAATATATGTATGTTAATAAAGTGCTTTTCCGGTTGAATACAGTTTTCATTTATGTGGCCCAAGACCATGCAGGCAATAGTCTTTCTCTCACACACTTGCCCCGAGCAGGGTTGACATGAAGGGGTAGGTCAACCATGCAGATCCCTAAAAGCATCAATGTCCTTCAAAGTGTTTATGACAAGAACTAAACTCCTTTAATGTTGATTTGACAAGTATTACAGGTTTGAACAGTTTTCAAACTAAACTTTGTTAAATGATGACATTCAACGTGGATTCCTTGTCCATTGACTAATAACTCCAATGAATTGCCGAAACTTTAATGTTATCGACATAATTAGAAAAAACATCAATATTTATAGTGATTAAGTATTTAGTCAGAAATAGTATCCATTTTATTACAATTTGCACTCCTGAAGCAATCCAAGGAATGTCACATAACTGCTTTCTTTAAATTCCAAAAATGGTTTTAACTTTTCTTCACCAACTTCCCGATGAACACAGAATACCCCCCAAATAAAGTAAACATGATAAAATAATACCGATTTTAAAAAGAAATTGGGTTTTTTTACTGCTCAAAAATTTTAATTTTTACATAATGTTGGCTCTCTGCTCTTCGCCCCATGGCATCTCATGTGCTGAAATGAGCTAAAGTTATCAGAATATGTGACTGTGCCCTTAGTGTGAGAAACGGAGTATCAGGAAACAGGGTCAGGGCAGATTATAAACTGCCTTTTGTAACAGCAGCACAGGGAGAGATCCACCGCTGCAGATAGAATTACAGCCTCTTCACACCTCCACGTGTCGGGCTACACCCAAACCACAGCACGCACGCACTCAACTCAATGTTATGTTTATTTAAAAAGGCTGTTATTATTGTAATACTCACATGACGCAAAGAAATCAAGATAATTATTTTAATGTCAATGGACAGAATGTTCAGGTACTGATTCAGTACAATTAGATCTGAGTAATGTTTTCATGAATTGATTTGGAAGCTACAGCATGTGAGAATAACACCTTCAAATACCTATAACCCATTCTCATTTAAGAACAAGTTCCTTTGTTTCCACTTCAAAAATTCTGGCCCGGCTTTTGCACCAGTTTATACCATGGCCACCCAGGTCTTGAGCAATTTAATCTTCAGTTATTTGACAAGCTAGTGAATGTTAACTGATAATAAGCACTGGCTCTTCTCTCAATGAGCAGCAGTGTAACAGCACCGGCACCAGCCCAGAACCGGCCCGGACCCAATAGCTTGGTGGCAAAGGGGTAGATAACGCCCTGTCCAGACAAAGATGAAACGTTTAGTTTTGAAACCGTGTCACATACAGACGGAACTCCTTTGTATCTAATAAAAAACAAATCCAAATCATTCAACAGAGAGAATTGGGATTGTCGGCTGGATGGTGTCGCTGTGAGGCTATGGCGAGAGGCATCAGATCAGAATAAGAAATGAAAATAGAAGGACAATAGAAAAGAGCAAATAAAGAGAAATGAGGAAGAAAGACCAATTATTTCCTGAAATGTGTGATTACTAACCAGCCTGGACTTTATATACTCATTGGTTCACTGGTTACAACTGACCTTCGCGGAATCCCTCCAGAGGATAGAAGAAAGCCACTAGCAGGTTCATGAGCACCGCAAGGTTGAAGGAGATGCTGCTCCAGAAGGACATGTTCCTGGAGCACCAGTACAAGATGGGCTGAGCTGGACACACAAGCAAAGACGCCATTCACTTTTATTTAAAGGATCATGTTTTGTAATATTATCATTGAAAAACACCAGGATGTAATTATAAACTCGATGTCTTACATCTCTCACTCTCAATCCAATCTCTCAGAAGGATGGACCAATATATTTTGAGGCACAACATTTATCTCATAATACGATGCCTTTTGAGCTGAATAATTGACTTAGATGGCTAATAATGGGTTTGATCTGCTGTTTATCATTAAAACATACACCGAAAGCCAAATTAGTACTGGCCCACAAGGCTTTCTTGTAATTGCACCAGTGGCACAACATTTTCAATAGTATTGTGTACAATCACAGTACATACATCTATATACTGTCCTTTTTTATTGTGACAGGCCTCTATAGTGGAATATAGTGGAATCAGATGGTTATATTTGTGTTGTGGGTAGTGGTAAGACTTTGCCACATTGACACACTTCAGACAGACAGCCAGACTTTGACCCTTCTTATGGCATAATGGAACGAGGAAAAAAAAATATATTGTGTGAGGATCCGTCTCTGTCTGGTTCATTCCTGACAATTGATAACAAATATAGACAAATACAACTAAAATACAAATAAATCAATCAAAGCAAAAACGTCAGAACCTTTTATTTCTATTGGATCGATTCATCAACAAGATTCTATAAATGATATGTTCCCCGGAGGACAATTGAAATAGTGCTTGTAATAAGGATGTATGGTAATGGGTCAGGCATGTTTTCTGCCTGACCAGGCAGAAAACAAAATGTTCTGAGTGGCAAAATGTTCGAGATTCTGAGTAAGTTCAAGACAGACACCCAGGGTTATGTGGGGCAAATCCCATTTAGACACACAAAACCAAGTCATGTGCCTTAAGACCATGAAAAAATTTGAAATATTTAAAATTTGCTCGGACAGTGAAAAACCAGCGAGAGTCACACTAGATGACACTAGAACTTTTCCAATTACTACAACAGTTATCTCGCCACTAATCAGTATAATATATATGATTAGTAAATAACATCAGTGCCAGCTAAGGCAAAAATAAAAGGTGGCCCAAAGTTGACTGGGATCATATTTATATTATTATTTCCAAATATAAAATAGATTGTAATATTCATCATAATACATAGAAATCGTTTAATTTGAGTTATCTATTGACTACAAGTGGCTTCAACACTATAATATGATAATGATTTGATATTTTTGAAGTTAGCGAAAGCTCCATAGCTCGAGCTATTTCTTGATACAAGCAATCAATATATAAAACAATAACTCTATACACTCAAATAAGTTAAGTTATACTTTAATATAACTATAGGGGCATTTGTCCTCTGCATTGGACCCATCCTGCAATGCCACAAAGGCCTCTGTAAGGAGCAGTGGCCACCCTAGTACAGCGCCCAGGGACCCATGTCCAGAAATTTATGCTTTTTACGCTTGGTTAAGACTACCAGAGCTGGAGCACTTTACCTATGGTACATGTTTTAGGGGAAACCAGAGCACCTGGAGGAAATCTATGTAGACATGGTAGAACATGTCCACCCATGTCTACAAAGGCAAAATGAGAAGTAAAAGCAAGAAACATGGCCCCAAATGCCTTGAAGCCTGATTTCACACAAAAAAACGTTAAATTGTGAAATGGAGAATTTGGAATCTGTTACCGTTTCAAGTAGTTTACACCTATGTATTAAACAAAATAAACATGCTGTTGTTGCTTTTCACCCATCCCTCCAGCGCCTCAAGTTTTCCATTTCACCCGATTCATTTTCATTCAAATAAATTATGACTCAATAACAAATAATCAACCTCATTATGCAATGCTGAAAAACAAGATATTGGGTCTAAAAAGTGTACAGATAAACTTGGGACTTGGAGCGATGCAAGAAAAAGCATGATAAAAGTATGATAAATATGATATAAAGAGAAGGGAGGAAAATCACCCACAAGGAACGTTGTTTGCGTTTCCAGTGGCCTCTTGAGTACCTCGCAGCTTCTTCTGCCAGATCATTTCATTGAAGAGGTCCTCAGAACGGAGGAAGAAATCATTGATCTTACTGCCCTGCTCGTCGCGCTCAGTGGTGTAGTAAATGCGAAGCTTGGACTCCTGCGTGAGAAACTCGCAGATGTTGGGCACAGGGAAGACTATCTGCTCCATGGTGCGATCAAGACGGACGATCTGGAACACAAAATATTCACACAAAAAAATGTTCCTCAACTGTTTCAGAATATGTGTATAGGGCTGTATGGATTTATACATTTGGTCCCTGAATCAGCCTGATCTTTATCCACATTTAGACAGTGGATGTGGCTGTTTTCAACTATGATAATGTAATATATATTAAATTGCTAGTACGTAACCAATTCCTGGCTCTAAAAAAATATTTTTTTTCTATCACTAGGTTTTCTCTGAAGGGCCTCTGGCACATCATTGGATCAGCTTTTTCCTGTGAGCACTCAGCAATCAGCACTCATTAGAAAACAATTGGTCATTTATATACAAGATGATGATACAAGAGGATTTATACAAAATTTTACTTAAAGCGGGAGTATCAAAACATTTTACAGGAAGTACCCTATCTAATACATACAGTAGTCAGACAATTATGGAGACAGATAAAACATGGAGTTAAAACGACAGACCTCAATTTGAGCAGTGTGTTTGGCGTAAAACTCCAGAGCCTCGTCACCCTCTCCATATGTCCCTCCCGTCTTCAACATTGCCTGAAGCTCTTTGTTGTGACGTGCCAACTGGAATGAACAGTTTGACAATGACTGCAACCACCTTGTCAAATAACTAATGACTTAAGTGAGTATAAGTCATTAGTATACTCACTTGATGTGCCAATATGTAAATGTTGTGGCCAACATTGCGAGGTGATGCAGAGTGCTCCTCTTCAGCATCTTCTCCTTCAGGAGGCTCCTCCACCTCAATCTCACCCTGCATGTACGCCTTCTTTATCACCTCCACCTGCAATTTACGACTGGTGTTACATTCGATGTTGTCAATAATTGATAATAACCTGACATCTGTATTGACAACTTTCCTTAAATATTTAAGTAACTTGAAGAAAGATTTTGTGCAGTTCTCAATGAAACATGCATTGTTTTATACGCACCAGCTCTTTTGGTCTCATGTTGTATAGTATTCTTTCAGCATTTTCACTGTCATGGCGACTTTCCATTATCGCAAGAAGAAGCTTGGAGGCATTGTTCTACAAAACATCAGCAAAGTTAAGACAACAGCATTATGTCAACGCCACCACTGACAATGGAAACACATTCTTACTCACTTTTAATTCAAGCACCAGGTCTATTCTCTTCTTACCAAGAGGATTAATATCATTGAGAATCAGTGCAATGATGATGTCAATGCCATTGCACTCATGTGTAGCAATACAGTTCTGGAAGAAGAATAATTAGGCTAGGTTATTATTGTTATCAGTATTATACAGCTGCCCTGGGGAATACTGAGAGAAACGAGGCAACCAGTATGTGCCATGGGACCCTCCGACCACCACCAGCCCCACACACACACACACACACACACACACCACCCTCATTTTAGGCAATGTGGGTGAAGGGTCTTGCCTAAGGACACTTTACAGCTGCCCCACTGTAGCACCTGGTGTTCCCAAAGGTCTCCCATCACAGTATTAACCAGGCTCTGCCCTGCAGAGAGGTCTGACGGGATCTGGCTTTCACATGCAAGTTTGCCCTTTACACACCTACAGTGTACCAAGCCATTACTAACACATCGTTTATGACAAACCATCATGAGCTCAAGCAGGAAGTAGTGTTTTAACCATTAACCAATACAGTCTAAAATAAAACTTGTCATGAGGCAGACGTATACAAGGAAAGATCCAAAATAACTATTGTGTTGAAAGAAAAACCTCATGTAGTCCACCCTTTTTAGATTAGGAGGAATTGAAATCTGTTCAAATGGGTCTTTTATTTATCCAGTTTCTCTTTGGTCACGCCACTTTCACACCCACCACCAAACAACAGCTGAAGCAGAAGAGCAGTCATGTGAGAAAAGATAGTGTTAGAATAATGCAGAACAACAGGCACGCTGGCTGGAGGAGACAAGTAACCAACAATCACAAAACCATGTGTCACACATAAGGACAACACCCAGGTAATGCTGAGCAGAGGAGGAAAACACGTGCAACTGTTGACAACATTGCACTGGCGCAATAATGCAATGTTCACTGTTAATGGTTTTCATCTATGACTGAATTTCCATAAAGGACCTGAATACTACAAGTCACCTGAAAGAAGAAAATGTAATCAAATACAAGTGTATTCAAGAATCCATTGTTGTAAAAGAGGTTTAATTTCACACAATGATCTGTAAAGCTGTGAAGTCAGTTCTGCATTACCTGGTTTTCGTGGCAGGGGCCCTGACAGTACTCAGTGAGGCTCTCCACAGTCTGGTTGATGAGTCCTACGTTCTTCTCATTGATGTAGAGACCGAGAAGTCCCAGACCTCCTGTGGTGCTGCCACAAATACAGTCCAGAAACTGGAGCGTCTCACACACCAAGTTGTAGTTGTTTTTGTTGTTCTGGTTGCGCAAAAAATTCTGTGAAATCAGATAAATGAGAATATTAACTCATTCACTGCCCATGACGACAAAAGTTGTTCTATTGTATAGTAAGTAAGTAAGCTTTATTTATATACCGCCTTTCACAGACCAGAGTCACAAAGCGGTTTACAATTGTTATTATTTTTGGGCACTTGTCCTCTCACTCCACACAGAGATCGGGGTCGCCGAACAGGAGGCGCATGCCTGAACTATTGTACATATTTTTAGTGGTAGGGGAAACCGGAGTACCCGGAGGAAACCTACGCAGACACGGGGAGAACATGCAAACTCCACTCAGAAAGTAGTAATCTTTATTTAGTAATCTTTATTTAGTAATCTTTATTTATATACCGCCTTTTCACTGCACATCGGAGTCTCAAAGCGGTTTACAATTGTGATTTTGTGTGGGGGTGCCAGTACAGGAGGCACATGCTAGAACTATTGTACATATTTTTAGTGGTAGGGGAAACCGGAGCACCCGGAGGAAACCTACGCAGACACGGGGAGAACATGCAAATTCCACTCAGAAAGGCCTTGGTCCAACCGGGATTCGAACCCAGGACCTTCTTGCTGAGAGGCGAGAGTGCTATCCACTCAGCCACCGTGCCGCCCGAAAGGCCCTGGTCCGGCCGGGATTCGAACCCAGGACCTTCTTGCTGAGAGGCGAGAGTGCTATCCACTCAGCCACCGTGCCGCCACTGTGACGCTCACTGCCCAAGACGACTTAGACGACTTTTTCGTGTTATTACACGGGAGGCTGCAGTAATGTCTGGCGCACCTTGTTAATGACCCACAATACTGATATATAGTGCAAATGTACCTGTAATGATAAATCACCACCAGTAGGATGCAGTATTGCACCACAGGAGAGGTCATAAGTCAGTGGAGAGAAGGAGGAGGAGTGTGGGAGTGTGAGAGAGCGTGCTGCTGTAGCATTGAGACGGATCAGCGATCTAGTTTAGCGATAGTATAGCAAGAGTGATGGCGAAAAAGAATAGTTATAAGCAGTATACACTGCTTCAGGGATTGACTCGCGGATCAGTGAGTGAGGTCGAGAGGGGAGAGAGCGGAGACCCGGGTGGAGGTCCGTATCTGCAGCCATATTTGCGCGGAGCAAGAGCCCCGAGCAGAGACACACCCTCCGCCTCTCTCAGCGTATCAGCTGCTGTTGTTACTGATGCCTCGGATTCGTTCAGAGAACCTGATCATGATTTATCGGACACACTCACAAACACTCACACGCACTCACTCACTCACTCACTCACACAGACACTCACTCGCACACTGACATTCACACACACTGACACTCACTCACACAGACACTCACTCACTCGCACACTGACATTCACACACACACACACTCAAATTCACATGCTTCATTCTATTTTATACATCTATAGTTTTATTGATCTTTGTGTTGTTGTTGTTTGACGTTTTGGTTGATGGTATAGAAGAAAGTTAAATTTTCTATCTGTGAATAAATTGCCAACAATTTGCCATCAAAAGTATTATTTCAGAGTCATGTTTTTATAATTTTTGTAATGGAACAAGTGTGGAGATGTTTTGAGTTGTCACTAAAGCAGCAAAAATGCATCTAAAGTCTCTTTTCTGCTTGATATGTTCCTGTTTACATACAGCTTGTTTTCTCTGTTTTCTTGCTCAGACCAGGTGTTATGGGTGAAAGTATGCTTTGTTCTATGGCGAATAACGCAAGAACCGTAAGAGGTAGAAACAAACTGTTTTTTTCAGAGTAAAGCAGAGAGGTGAATCTTTAATTTGGTGCCCTTGGTGTTTACATCGTCTAAAAAATGAATATTCTGTGGCACTTCAAAGTTGGGTCAAATCACCTGAAATTGCTGGCAGAATGCACTTCTCAAATCTGAAAATGCCTGGCAGTCAGTGAGTTAATATGCAACTGTACTAAAACAGTTCAGCCTAAATATTTGTTTTCTACACACAACAACCTGGTTCATATAAAGTGTAAAAGGTTTAAAATCATAATCATGAAAAGAGTGGTGTGAAACACCCTGTACTAACTTTGACAAAAATCATTCATACCATTAACTAGATCAAAATAAAATTTGAAAAGATAAATAACTTACTAAAATACACATTATATGAAAAACTATGTATACTATGCAAAAACATTTTTCAATTAATGCAATACATTATTAGTAATTTATGTTTAATTGGGTCAATTTCTCTCATAATTAATTAAACTGTTGTAATTTCAATGTGGGCATGAAATGCTGTGAGCTGGAAGGGTATAAACTTTGTGCTTCAAGTCAGACGACATTATCTGCAAAACGGAAGTCTCTTGTTTAGATCAACTGATCCATTACTAAACTTGCTCCTCATAGTGAAACCAGAACAGACCCTGAAGCAGCTGCTTTCAGACAAGTGTCTCATGATGCCAATTGGGGCAGTTCAAATTATTTATAGTATTCATGGAACCAGGGGTCTCCAACCTTTTCCCCCAGATAACTACTTGTTCTTGGAGGAAAATGGCACAAACCCACTTTAAGTGGTCGACAGAATGAGTTATGTGAAATTGAATCAATATAATGGTGAGCTTGTTTTTTGTGGGTAGCGTTGGCACATTCTAAACCAATTAATATACAAATATTGGTGCACAAATATGGAGGATGATTTTTTACAAACGATTATTCATCAGATATGTGATTTCTAGATCCTTTGAGGCAGAGAGATAGTTGCAGACACCTGCAGTAGACCTTGGGGGAGGGAGATATTAACAAATAATTATCTTGATTATGACAGTGAGACATTAGTGTCCAAAACAAAACTGAATAGGAACCACAACAATTCACAGAAAACAAAGCATTGAAAGACAATGCTGTCAATGGTTAAAAGAGTATTCCAGTGATATGGGTCCTGACCTGCAGGTCTCTGTTGTGGTTCTCACAGAGCAGCTGCATGAGCCGTAAGATGGGCTGCATGATGGTGATGATGACGCTCATCTCATTCTCGTCCTGGTTCTTGTCGGCTGTGGCCAGAGTGCCGCCTTCTGCTCCGGCCTGATGCTCCTCAGCCTCCACGTCACGGCGGTAAGTATTCATGGCCTTTTTGGTGACGATTGAAGCCTCCACAAGCTGCTCCTTCATCTCCTCAGTCACTACAGCCACCACAGGCACATCTTTCACTGGAAAATTAAAACATATTTAATTATGTTTGAAAGACTACTGTCCCCTGTTCCAAGTTTCATTGCTAATGATGAACAATCAGTTTTGCTACTTATTTATTACACCACACACTATAATAAGTGTATTTACACAAACATGCCTTTTTTCCGGGCTGGCGTGTCTTTGTCGGGTGGTTCTTCCTCCTTTTTCTTGCTGCCGAGGTCGCTGGTGTTGACTGTCACAGTGGCTTTTATCTCTTGTTGAGCGAGTTTCATGCGCTCATAGAAGACTTTGAAGAACTTCTCAGACTTATTGTCCCCAGTCAGACGATGATAGAAGGACCTCTGTTGAAAGTCGAAATTGGAACTATATTAATTGATACTCTTCCTCCCCAAGGACCTTCAAGCCCACAATTTGTCCCCCAAAATGTAAATTCCCTTTGATATGGAGAGACAACAGATATATGTAATTTATATGGCCTAATGACAAAGGCAATGGGACGTTTTGTAAAAGTATTTGAATTAAAACAAAAAATGTATAAATATTTAAAACAATCAACAAGTCAAAGTGCAAAAGGCCAGTCCAGGAGAGGAGTTCATGTTTTTCAGCAGCTCTCCCCTGTTCTGTCCCATTTTCCCATCGACAATCCTTCCTTACATAAGCGCTGCTGTAATCAGCTGAGTGGTTACAGTAAGGGCACAGTGTGCCTGAGTGCTAACCCTGTTACATCAGAGCACATAGGGCCAGAAAGAAGAAGAAAGGAAAACCCTGCCCTACTTTTTACTGCCAGAACGGCACGGAGCAAAAGTGTAGCGTGAGAGGTGGAGTCAGTGTGGAAGCAAAGGTTTAAGTAAGCAGGAATTATCACAAAGTTTCTAAGGCACTGTGGAAGTCTTACACGATAATCTTTCCAGTTTAGTGCAACTGAGAGTCAAAAACGGCAAGATAACTTCACGGTATTTTCTGGCTGGAATGACACTTGCAGATTTAATTAGATTTAGTTGTTTTTCTCCCTCCAAACTTTTATGTAACAGTTGTTTTTTTCCTGCGTTGTTGATAAGAGAGTCATTCATACAGATCTGATTAAAGTCTGCAGATGGCTTATGCAATAACACCAACCTCTTGAGATATAAACAACTCTGGAACAGAAGTGTCGCCGTACTAGTATTTCACCACAAAATATCAGAAATATATGCAGTTGCGCGTCAAAGTTTACACACCCAGCCAGAGATGTCCCAATTTTGGCCATATTTTGGTTAATAAACGATTCCTCTTAAATGTTCAGTTTTCAAATGAAAAACGACTACATTTCTGCCTGGGTGTGTAAACTTTCAAGCATAAATACATGCATCTTTCAAGTGTATGGTGTTTGATTTAAATTCTTATGCAATACATGTCATGCTCAACTGATTGATTAAGTACAAATGAAAACTTGTTCGTTGCAGAGAAAAAAGTGTTCCCATTAATGACCTAGTGCTTTAAGCCCCCTGGGAACCACACCGAGCCAGTCATATTGGTAACTTCATATTATTCTCCCTGCAGTAGATTTGACATGTCCATGTAAGTAGCCACAGATTTTCTGCACATTAGTAGCCACCCAGTATTTGGCCCAAACACAGCGCACTTACACAATTCCTGTTTATACCAAAAGCATTGCATCCATTTCTGGTTATCTAACCTTTCATTCCTTGATGAGCCAAAATAATAGATTGCTCCTTTGTGAAAATCTCTGCTTTTATGAAACAATATACATTAAGCCTCACGGAGAAAAGCTTTGTTTATTTGTATTCATATTTTCTTTATTGATGAGTGTTGATGCATGAAAGCCCTGTCTATGATTAAAGCAATGGAGGAAAGATACTTCAGTCTTTTTCCATTCCCAAAAAAGGAGGGTCTACTTTTTAGGTTAAATAAAAAATAGTTATAAGTAATGGTGACTCCGCCGGAGTGTATCCAGAGAATAATGTACATAATATTATTAATGTTTCACTTTCATAGGTCAATTTCAGACCTTCGTTTCAGACCCATGTACAGCCTTTCAAAGCTTTCTCGAAAGAAGCGTACACTGAATTTGACAGGGGAGCTGTAAGTCACGCTTGGAGGGAGCAACGGGCCACAACACGCCTATTGAGTAACAGCAGTGGCACCTGTTTGCTCTTGTGACAGCTCCGGGATCTGAGGTCATAAGGGTGGTGTTGAGTAGAGCGAGGAGGGAGGGGGGCTCTTTGGCACATCTTCTCTTATATAAGCCGCATAAACAGCCTCTCTATGGAGCAATTTTGGAAATGAGCTTTCAAGTCACTAAGTATAACCTGTGTGCATGTGCTGAACGGCTGCCGTTACCAGCCAGGATAGATTACTACTAAATGTGAGCTACTGGTCGCCTAGAGTAAATCAGGAGGCAACTTAGTTACTAACTATGTTAGTATCACTCACTCTTTTTGTTATTACCCCTTTGTTATATTTTGTACATGTACCTAAGTTGCTTGAACTAATTATTTCTATGCCCGCTTACTTGCTCGGAATGAATAAATAAAAAAAAAAAAAAAAAAACCAGTGGAGACGTGCTATCAAAACAGGCCATCTGCATGATTCACATAATCATAATTTAGTTTAAAAAAATACAAACTTTTGTGGTACATATGGAATCTTATTTTCCACGTTTAAATTTTATTTATACCAAAAGCACAGTCAATCAGGACTGCAACTCGATGCACCAAAAAATGTATGAAAAAAATACACAAGGTCAAGGCACAGTTCAATGTCTATAGTTTACACTTAGATTAGGTCAGAGTCGACACATATAAATAGGCAGTGTTCCATTTACAAGGAGCATAATAGGAGAATAGGCCTCAGTCCATAAAAGGCCATACAATAAAGTTAAGAGTGAAGACCACTCAATCATTTATGAGAGTTGCAACTAAAATACTAGTGACATACCAGCCAACAGAATCTACCTGTGCACTGTACTCTATGCTGCCATGTTACATTATCATCCTAATTTCCTTTAAAAAAATTGTAACATCCATAACCTATTCATCAAGGTTTTCAAAAAATAAATAACTATTCCCAAAAATGTTTTTGTTGACTGGACTCGCTTAACACGCCAACACACAAGTCTCTTTGAAGATTTCCCTGGGTTTGTATCCGAGAAGCACCGATTCCATTGAAATATAACATTAAAATTATACGCTGATAATCTTTCAAAATATGGCAGAAAACAGCTCCCTCTTCCAGACCAAAGAGGGTCAACAGTAAAAATGCATATCATGATACTTTCTGTGTATACTTCTAGTCTAAGTTTTGAAAAAAGGTGAAAATCATTTGACAGTGTAGTTTGTGTAAAACATGTTCCTTTGAGCGATAATTACCTGAATGACTGTATTGCCGCCCTCCAGCAGGGCGATGGCCAGCAGGATACTCTCCTGGAAGATCCGGTCACTTGTGGCATTCATGATGAGGTCGATGACTAGATCTGAGGCCCCCTCTCGGTCCAGGTGACACTGAACCTCAGCCAAACTCAGCTCTCCTCGACCACCGACTCCAGAACAAACCACTGAGGAAAACATTTTTACATATATTTAACCACTATTGCCCCCCAACTAAACACACACAGTAACTACTCTCACATCCACAGGCCAGAGACATTAGTTTAATATATGCAGCATCTTGCTAAAATGTATGAAGCGCTTTATAAATCAGTCCATTAACTGTCACTAGACAAATTAAGTTCTGATTCAGCTATATATTTTACATGTTCTAATTCATAAACATAAGATTGACCACACATTGAGCCAGTAGCACAACACAGAGTAAAGGCGCCCATCGGAGACGTCTCTGACAGAACAACACATCCCATTCTAGACACTGTCGCCAAGCAACAACACGTCCTTATGGCGAGGAGACAGTCTCCGGGCGCACGAGGAAAGGCAAAGGCCACGAGTGACTGTGAATATGATCACAGCATAAGCCACGAGATACAACTGTGATGAGACCGCGAAGAAATGTCAAGAAAACCATTAGGCATTGTGGATGTTTGCCTTCATTCAAATATAAAGCAGATCTTTTGAATGTGCTGGAAATGGCTGCAAGTCCTAAGTATCTCTAAAACAGTTGTTGTTTTGTGCTTTACAATTGTCATCTTTCTTGCTTTTTTCTACCCAATATGTTGCTGCAGCACAGTGTTCATGGTTTTGCACTGGACCAGACCAGAGCAAAGAGGGTTCATGGTCCAAAACAAGCGTATCAGGCAAAAATCCACTGGAGGAGGGCTAACTTTTTCAAAAATGCTAACAAAGCATTTAGCATTTTACTTTGGACCAGAGCAGAGAAAATGGTGCAAACCAAGCGGCACCACCTCTGCTGCTGTGACCCTTCCTGCTCCACCCAGAGGCTACACCACCTCTGCTGCTGTGACCCGTCCTGCTCCACCCAGAGGCTACACCACCTTTGCTACTTTGGCCTGATGTGCTGTTTCTTATTATTACAATAACTATTGCTAGCTTTTTAGATCAATTTAGGTTTTGTCTGTGTGGATGGATGTGTTTCTGCTGCAACTGGACATCTGAATTTCTCCCACAGGGATCAATAAAGTATCTATCTAATCAGAACTTTTTCACAATGCATGACTCTCAAATTACGTTAATAGCAGCTTTCTTTGAAGGTAGACTTAGCTCGCATTGTTATTACTAGTATCTATTGTGCAGGTTGGTAAAGAAAAAAATAACTCGTTTTCTTTGGATACAATGTTACTCTAAATTGTTGCAACAGGAAGAAAGAGGAGAAGGGCTTATACAGTTTGTGGAAAGAGAGCTTGTGTGGTTTGATGTTAACCTTACAAACACAGACCTGCTGGGGTCTTTCTGGGAGGAGAAGTCACAGGGGTATTATTGAAAGTGACGCTCTCTCGCCGCTGTCCAGGTTTGACGTTGCCGTAGTAACGATTGACAAGGATTTGCCGCAGAGCCTCCCCCTGTTTAGATCAAGTTAGCAAGTTACCACAGGTCGACATTTTATTGGTACAAATTTAAAGCATTGTCCACATCCAAAAGTACATGCAAGGCACACACATTTTTCAAACATTGCAGCGATATAAAAAGGTACATTTACGTTTCAAACCAAGCATATAATTGATTTTTCTTCCAGAAGTTGGCACATCCCTAAAGATTCGCATTACTCACTGCCATACAATATTAGATCAATGTTAAACTGGCTCACTCTAGATGTTTTGTGTAGCCATCGAAATCACAAAAACTAATCTTGAAGCGAAATATCTCCAACTCTACTCAATGACATGTTGATACTATTCATTCAATGCGTTTTGCACAAATATAACAAACTGTATAACAAACTGTTTCCAGATGGAACATAAGGAAAAACATTTTTTTTGAGGAAACAATTTTTTTTTTTTATTGTTTCGTCTTACAATGTATATATAACCAAAACTAAACCTCATGATTTTTGGGAAATAATGATATATTGAGAAATTTATAATTATGGTTTACATTTTGGTGAGTCTACTCTTTCGGGTGACCTTGGCCTGTAAAATAAGCTATATAAATAACCATTACTTACTTACTTCGTATTTAACGTCTAGGCAAGATCATTGAAAGCCTGCATTAGCAATATGATCATAACTGTTCATTCTACAATCTAGCAAATGGGGCTTTTAATAGATTTTCTAATTTGTATTGACTATACCAGCAACGGTAACATTTGTACTCTCAATCCACATCAAACAAACACTGACACAAAATTCAGCGCCTTCTTGATCGACATAGATAAACAGAAGCGAAACCATCTTGCCATTCATCAACCACAAAGACATGTAGCTTGTCAGTAGAAAGGACCTTAAATATTCTTGTTGAGCCAAACCAAAAACAAATAGTGAAAATCGTTGATCACTGCTCGAAAAGCAGCACGTACCCTCTTTTGATCCTCCAGTTGCTTCTGTGGCAGGTTTGGATCAAGCTCCTTAAAGGTAACGTGAGCAAGCAGCAAGCAGTGCAGTGAAAAGGGAATTGACAGAAGATCCAAAGAGTAGTCGTGAAGAGATTAGAAATGAAAAACAGCCAGTTAAAAACAGTGCACAAAAGTTAATAGGGACGCAGAAGAGCATTGGATTAAATGGAGAAAAGGAAGTATCAAGGAAACTATCAAGGAATGGGGATGTCATGCAAGGATTTGGTTGAGAGTGAAATATATGAGGGATTAGGGAAGACAAAAATCAAGAAATAAAAGCCGGGGTACCTAACTTTGTTCTCTTAAATAGAACAGATTATTTGTATTCCAACAGAAAGTCTTGAAAAAATGAAATGTTGGGAACAGATCAGACCACAACATGCGAGAAAATATGTTGCGTTTTGTCTGCTTTGGGCTTCTCTTTTTTACTATTCGGTCTGAGAAAAGCTGAGGCCAGAAAAACACATGCGTGGGAAAAATAGTGAAGGAACCAAATTGTTTTGAGAGCGATAAACAAAAGAGCACATCGTAACATTTATGGTGGTTGGAACATTAGGTACCCAAGGCTTTTTTTGTTGATTTTTATTCAGATTTTGAAAAATAAAATAATGCTTTCAATTGACGCTGCTTAGGATTCTGCACAGCATGTAGCCACAGTGCTTTGGTTTGTTAGTACGCACTCAACAAACAGCCACAGAGTACGAAGCAACTCATAACACTACACCGTTTAGAACAACAGATAAACCGTCCTGCAAACATCTCGACTTAACCGTGTCACAATAAATTCAATGTTCTTTACGATCGCAGTAATTTCCCATCGTTTTACCGTGACTTATAACTTAAGACGACTCTCTGGGGGGCTGCACAATTATGGCAAAATATCCAATTGTTATATTTCTGACTTACATTGAGAGTGTGATGCTATTTTTGAAATCCTGTATGTTTAATAAGTCTATTCTTGCACAGAGTAAAAGTAACCCACACATTACAAAATGATTCTACTATTAGGTCAGAACATGACATTTTCTGTTCAAGTAGAGATAAATATTGACTATGTGTTAAAAACGGCCTAATTCATTCATTCACATATTTAATCTTTTCTCACAAAATTCTTAAAGTCATAACCGACTTGTTCAATACGCTGACAGTTTCGGCTTCGACAAAGGATACAAGAGATTTGGAATGAGAAAATAATGCCTCTGCCCAACAAATAGATACTTTGTTCTATTGACAAATCTTCAAAATATATTCAAAGATTAATTTTTCTATTTCAGGTGATGTGTCGCTTAGTTTGAAGTCCCTTTTTTGTTTGCAAAGAACTTAAATAATTGTATTCTTAATAATTTGATGATTAGAACCAGAGTTAATTGTGCAGCCATACGACAATTTTATGCTATGCCTAAGTTTAGATTCAGATGGACCACAATAACAATTCTACACAAAAAACAGAAATCTATGACCCAACCAAATCGAGCACATAATTGACATAAAAACATGACAAAAGAAACATAATTGTATGGGAGGCTCAATTGAGAGTTACATAAGAGCAGGACAAATACAATCATTTCTTGCCAGGTAATTATGGGAATAATTTAGAGCCATTATGAGCACTCATCACACACTGAACACGTACATGTCATGTTAAAAGGGCACATTATTCAGGGTGAAATCTATTAGTAAACAGCCAGCTATAGTGAATGTTACCAGACCTCAGCAGGGGTTTCGGGCTCTGGAGGAGGAGCCAGCTGGTTAACACAGAAGGGTGAGGTTAGTCAAAAGTGTGAGTGTAAGTTAATAATGCCTCCTTTAAAGAAAAGTAAAAAAGTCAGCCACGTTATAAGATGCAAGGTGCGTTAAGTCTAAACAAGAAGCTCTTCAACTCTAAAAGCAGGAACACACATGCTGCTGTTCACAGTGGAGAGAATGGAGGCATGAGTGCTAAGAAACACTACTGTAGCAAAAAGCACAACAGGTGTTTGATTAAACACAAGAGAAAAATCACGATGTGTGCAGTAACTTTTCTGCGCCTTCAAAGTTCCAGAAAACCGCTTGTGTTTCTGTTAGGAAATGATGGTTACAGCTGTCGCTCTATAATAAGTTTCCCAAGAAGAAGGATTGCTTGTTTTTGCTGATTCATAGTGTAACTAACGGGAATTTCCCTATGATAAACATCCTTTTACATCAGCCCAACACATTAACTACAACACTTCAAATGCATGAGGATTTGACGTTATATTCTCGTAATAAAGTTTGTAGTTTATGTGACCCAGTTAGTATGTTTTTGAGCATGTGTCAGTGAAGCACGAGGAGTGTTCCTTGAGCTACAACCAATAATAGAGTGTCAAGATACAATCTTTAGAACTTACAGGGACAATGATTGTGCCGCCATCGAAAGAAGGAAATATCTTTTGATACTTATGTAACTGCAGTCCGGGACTTGGCCCAAGTCCATGAATTATATTGTTGGCCTTTTGCAGATAGGAATTTGGGACACCATTTACAGTTAAGAAATGTGTGTAGCGCCCTCCTTTGACAAAAAAAATAAAATAAATCAAACTACATGTGACTGTGTAGGCTATGCTGAAGCTGCTAAATAACCGGAAGTCTGAACCCGCTAAATAAAGTGAAACGATATGACCGATTAAAACTATTACTATTGCTAATTATAGCTTATTTTTCACAATCAATATATCAGTTATCAATTCTGAATAAATAAACTAGCGAGCTCATTGTAAAGACCCACACACCAATCAAAATTGTTTCTAATCATTGAAATAATGTGAAATAACATAGGGATAAGGGATAAGTTCTCAGACGTCCGCAACAGACAAACATACATGTGATTCCGATCATTGCATCTACGCAGACCACCACTCTCTAAGTTTTAAAATAGTTCCTTATATAAGATGACACATGGTCACGCATTCAGAAGCATCCTCAGCAAACCCCATTACATCACTAGAATAAGACATTATCCCACTTTGATCCCCTGCTGCACACCAAACAAAGAAAGAGCATCACACCAGGGCAGCAACAGTGGATAAGGACAAATCCAGCACCACAACAAAAGGGGACAGGGCTGGTCATGACTTGAGTCTCTATTGGACCATCTGAGTGAAAACCGGATGATTGGCTTTGAACCACTCTCCTTGGATTCACACAGTTGACATAGGCCAAAAACCCAGACGGATGAACTCATCCTGAGAATGATGTTACGTAATGCGTGTGAAAGATTAAAACAGGTTTGGCAATTCAAAAGTATCCACACTCTTCTATACCTAATCTCAGCACGGGTGAATAATAGGGCCAAAGATCGTGTGCCATGAGATTCCTATTTGCAGTAGGCACGCTGATTTCAGATCCACAAAATAGGAGGAGTCAAGAGGACAACGAATTTTTCACCAAGAACAACAGACTTGCCATTGTATTTGCTGGGGATTTCCACTGCAGCCAAGAGCTATGCAGACGTGCAGTTAAGCATCAATGGGCACGACTCATACCACGGCAAAATGGGAAGTGACTGCTTCCTACAAACTTCAAATTCAAATCAATGTAATATCTGCAAGGAAATGTGACATATTTCCAACTATTTAAGACAATGGAATGAGATATAATCCCAGTTTGATTAAGCTACATAAAGATAGTCGCACAATGATAGCCTCAGCTCTGCTGTATGAGGTGCACAAAGTGTGACTGCTTTAACAGCAAACCGTCTTATGACACATTTATAAGTAGCAAACTAATTTATGTTCTAGTTTTCAATGACATTCAACAAACACACACACACAATGCTCTGATAGGACTATGTGATTGACAAATGTAACTAATGACTATATAATGCTAGAGGCTAACACAAGCAACAAGCACATATGAACAATTGGTAGATATAAAAGACAACCTCAGCCACATCCATTTCATCATCAAAAGCAATCAGCTGCAAAAGAAGCATAGTGTTAGTAAAGCTGGGAAAAGATCAGACTGTTACTGTACAACAGTTATTTGTGACATCTGCCCACCCATTTTATTGTGTTAATGTACATTTATATAGTTTTCTACCAATTTGTAGTCAAATATGGTAGAGGATGAGTAAAAAGGCCAGTTAGTTTATTAGTGAATGGAAATGCTATATAACATGCAATAAGGGGCACATAACAGATGCTCTTCTGATACGGCCAAAGATAAAGATAAAGAGCAAGGTATTTTCGAATGCAGTTTTGGGACCCAATTATTCAACGTTTCCATTACCAAGGTACAAATGGTTGACTATTGAACTCTGTAGTTCAAACATTATCAACCTTTTAGTGAGATCGCACAGTCCGTGTGAGCGGATCCCTCTCTCAATATGTGAGTCTCCCCGAGGTTTCTAATTTTTTTCCCACTGGGTTTTTCTTATGAGTTTTTCCTTGCCGATTCAGGAGGGTCTATTCCTTTTTGTGTCTTAACTGTTGATTCTCTGATCTGTGTTGGTGATCTCAATGGTTTTGTTAAGTCCTATATCACAACACTCGTCATCTCAGAGGACTTAACAAGACTAAATTGTATTGTATTGTACCTTCACTCCGTAGCCGCGGTCTTTGGACATCATTTCTCTCAACGTCTGTAAGACTTTAATACACAGCCGCTCTTCATTCTCCTCCAAAAGTTGCTTGGTGTGTTTGATAAGTCTGGTAAAAGAAAAAAATAGAACATTTTATATAATTCAGTTTATATTTCACACACCTCTGTAAGACAAAACTAACATTTCAGAGAATTGATACCCACTTTGATATAAAGCCTCCACTTTCACATTTTCTACGGGCGTCTGTGTTTTCAGGGAAGAGCAACTCTGGACGATGCAAGACATCGACCAGTACAGAGAGTTCTGCTTGAACCAGTGGTCTCAGACGGTCTTCTAATGCCGACACAATATCCTGAGTGGGATTGAACTGATTAGTATCACATAACTATACATATACAGTACTAGACTTGATAGTAACTAGTTTGGTTAATATAATGAGTAGAAAATCCCACTTTGAAAAACATGTTTTGTTTGTGTTTAAACATGTAACATGTTTAGTGTAGGTGAACATTCGAGATGAAAAAGTCAATGTGAAAAAGAGTGTTCAAGACAACACCTTCTCCAAAAAAATAGTCATATCAAAATTCTACTGAAAATTGACTCATGCGTGGCAAGAAGGGTGGAACTGTCTGGAAGTATTTTGTGTTGACTACATAATATATAGAAGCAAACAGTCAGGGATAGTAGCCCTGACTGTGCCCTGACATCAATGGACGTCCACAGGAGGATGGCTGCTCCGTCCACAACAATACAGCTTTGGTATTTCAGCGAGGGGTTCAGGCAAAGTGGGGTTAAGCGTCTTGCCGAAGGAAACAACAGTGGACATCAGTGGGAATTAGGTCTTATGGGGGGGGGGGGAGAAGGCCAATGCTCTACCAACTGAGCCACTATTGCCCCCTAATGGATGTCAATAATATATTAAATGCATATTCTATTCATACGCACAGGACCATTATAGAACATTACTGACACTTTGGTTGTCACAGAATCAGGTTATTAAAAGAACATATAAAAAGGTGAGTGAATCAAATGCACAGTACAGTATATAAAAAGAAAACGAGAACACACCTGCAGCCTTTCAATTATATTTCTATAATCCTTGGAGGTGGTCAGGCCAGAGTCTCGCCGAGAAGTGCTTTTCGCTGACAGCCTCCAGTTGAGAATGCTCTTCTGCACCACATTATTGGACTTGACAAAAAGATTATTGACCTGACTGTCCAGGTCCACGGGGATGGCAATGGCTCTACTCTTAGCTGGGCAAAAACAGCAGACATGAATTGACTCATTGCTAATTCGATGTGATTTTGATGTTTACAAAATGAGGTATCTTACCCACATCTGAGAGAACTTTAATGCAGGCTTCAACTGAGGCCTTTTGAAGAGGATTTAACCAGTTACAGTGATAAACCCTGAAAACTCCCTGAAGAAGTTGAACAAACACTGGCTGCCGTGTCTGAAAAATACAACCATTACAATTAAATAAGAATTGCAGACATTTGACATAATTAACTAACAGTTTGCAGAGAAGGGAAAAGAACACCAAACAACTAAGGTCAGCTGTGCTCAGAGTCCAAAGGGTTCCCAAAAGGTTACTGTCCCACCACAACACAAATCAGTGCCTAGAAATGTAATGTAGGTCAGGTGATTACTAAAACCACAGAATCAGCTGTTCATACTCAATAGTACAGTAAATACCTCTGATATTTTTCCCAGAAAGGCCGTCTGTTACAAGAAAAAAGGGTTGTATGACATGCTTATGGAAGAGCCACAAAATTATGCAACTTTCTAAAGAAGAGGTCACTGAAACCTAATTAAGAGCATGAACATATATAATTTATAAAGTAGAACATACAAGGGTCTATCCCCCCTCAGTGTTCCGGGAAACAAAAATAATAATCATCTTTTATGTTTTTCCCACCCCAGTGACACATTGTACAGTCACACTCACAGGGTATTGATCTAAGCTATCACATGTCTGGGCACATGTCATAAAACTAAGAGTGTGGGGTCTTGACACTTATACTTACATACATATAGTACCCCAACTATGCAACAGAGAAGAATGCAAAGAGCAGATTTTAATGAACAATACATTATGTACTTTCTATAAAAATAAACAGCAGTTCCCAAGTTTTGCTTTTGTGCAGCTTCAAAGAACCACTAGCAATAGCGAGTTGGGAACCACTGGCAAAATAAATAGTTTAGGAACAATGAGTACTAGTATTATATACATGTTTACCTGAAGACTGGTGCTTTGGTCAGAGAAAGGAGAGCTGAAGAAACATGTGACGATGCTCATGACCGTTTCAGTTACATAACGCTCCAGCATGGTGTCCGCGTGTTTCCTGTCGCTGGTGTTGTTGCACACCTAGAAAAATAAAAAATAAAAAAACACACAATAAATAGATGAGTATGACCTGTAAGCAGCAGGTCAGACTTGCACATGTGCGCAGCAGGTAATACAGTGGAAGAGGCAGGGCATAAACACATAATAACACGAAGGACAATATGCTGTGTCCTACTTTGTCACAATGCACCAGGTCTTACCCGACAAATGTCCACCAGAAAGCTCTCGAACAGCTTCCACATATGGTTGGATGTATAGATCTCCTTCATTTCAACTTCTGTATCCACATAACAGTGGTTCAGGAAGTTAATATATGCAATCTTCACCTGTACAGATAAACAATAGCACATGCATAACTGCTGTAGGTGTCAATACAAGTCCTTGTCCTTGCCACCAACAATAACAACCAACCAGTTTGATACGAAATGGAGGATTTGCTTACTGGAGCAGAAGAAATACTTATTATTGAGTGTGTATTCCTAAATATTACTATTATTGTGGTGTTTTATATTACCCAATTATGGGTTTCCTCTCTTTTTGCATTTAATTCTATGGTTTCTGTTCTTAGTTTTATTACTGTGGATTTTAATTGTGTTGCCGTTTAGTCCCACTTATTTTTGAAAAATGTTAAACTTGTTAATGAGGACTACACTACAGTAAATATTTGTTAGACAGATTAGTTGTGACTGTGAGTGAATGAGTGAATGTATGAGTTTGGTCGGGTTAGGATGGATAAAGCCTTTTTTCGAAAGAAATACAAAAAAATAAAATGTCCTCAAATAAAAATGAAATAAAAGTCCTTGTTGGACCGACCTCAGGAATGCAGTCTTCGTGTGTAACAACTCGGACGATATCATCGAGAGGCAGCAGAGAGTTGCATTTGATCTCAGTGTAAACGTTTTTTCCTTCGGTGCAGACAGCCAGCAGCTCCACCAGGTGAATGTGGTAAATGAGCTGACTGTTTTGATCCAGACGGTCTCGCTCTGATCGCATCATTTGTACGAGAGTCTGGAACGACGCCCGGTCATTGTAGAACACCAGAACATCTTCACCAGAGTTTACAAGCTGAAGGGAAATAACATATTTTACAACAGCATTGAGACAGACCAAATAAAGATGTATTTTCTGACCTCAGCCATAACAATGTCTTGACATTTCTTGATGAACTTGTTTTCAGCCTTTACAATTGTTTGTAGGAACTTGAGGTACTGAACGTGTCGACCGTGAGACTCGATGCAGTGGACAAAATGTTGAACAACACGCTCATTGATTTCACTGCACAACTGGTAATGATTCATGAAGATGTGCTGCATGGTTATGGCCTCTAGAATCTGAAACACATAAACATACTGTTTAAAAAGTAGCTCCCACTTCATTTCCTTTATTGGAAACAAAGAATGTCCTTTATTACTCACCCCTGGGTTAAAAAATAGATTGATGTGTTTGTGGAGAAGAGTCTGGTTTTGTTGGTTCCCTGAGCAGAAGTTTTGAAGGAACTCATGAGCCACTTTCATAATGTCTTGCATTCTGACGTCCTCACCCTGACAGAGTACAGTTTGGGATCAATTATTTGGCAATGAATTCATTATATGTATTTCTATGAATCCTGCCTAATACAAATGAACAGTGAGATTTGTCACCTTCTCGTAGGGGATCTGCAGCAGCTCCAGCACCACACTGTGAGCTCCCATGTTCCGGAGCAGTCTTTGCTGCTGTTTCCGGCTCTTCTTTCCAGAGCTTCCCTCTTGAATGCACAGCTTACTGAGTCTCAACAGGATCTGAAATTTGTTTAACTTTAAGAAATAGCCACAAGGAAAACTTAGAGTATCTTTTCTCACCTCTTTCACAACTCTGTAGTTATAATTGCTGGTACTTTCAGAATTCTTTCCATCTGAACTTGAATCCCCCTATTGAAAAATTAAGGAATGTCAAGCTCCTTCACGGCTGAAAATAGTATTTTAAAACACATTAGCTGAATCTACCTTCTTTTTTCCATCAGATTCAGGGCCATCTCCATCCATTCCATCCTCTCCTTGCCTTTTGTAAACCCATAATTCAGATTTCTCAACAATAGATCGAAGCTGATCAAGATCTGATTTGATCTGCTTATAGTTGTCTACATCTTGACTGGTCACAAGAAGCTGCACCTAAAAATAGAACATACACAGGCTTTCAATAAAGAGTGTATGAAGCTAGGATTACCACAAGCCCTACCTGTTTAAAGGCCATGAGGACTTCTTGTCTCTGACTAAAATGTCTAAAGAGCAGATGAAGCGCTCCAGACACAAGTGGAGGGTAGTCGTGCATGGTCAGATGGAGCAAGACTCTGAGGAAAGTACGCCCTCCGTGGTCATCAAGGTCCAGGAGGGTATTTTCTTCACTATAAAAACAAATATAATATTAAAGACCTTATGACGGGTTTGATTTATTTAGAAATACAGTTTTAATACCATTTTATATTAGAAGAAAACTACTAAAGGTTTCAAAATCAGTTGTTGTTTTTTTTGTCTGATCCCCCCAAATCGAAATAACCCCATAGCAACGCCCTTAGAAACGAAAAAACTTCACAGCCCTTGGTGACGTCAGAACGGGTACGTTTCAACGCTGTAAGTTGTTTACAATTTGGTATTCGTTCTTTATTCGCGGATATTCAAGATGACAAGGCCGTGTACAGCGAGTATGAGATAAATACTAGAAAGTAACATTTTGTTGTCACTGAGATAGTCCAGTGGTTGTGTCGATGGACTGCCAATCCAGATACTTGGGTTCAAATCCCACCTCAGACACATTTTCACTCTCAAAACGGCAATTTATGTGTAGTGAGCAATTGTCACCTGTAGAGGGCAGTATTGTGTTGGGCATCAGTGGAGAGAAGCGAGAAAAGGCAGTCCTGTGGCATAGATCCATGGTTTTCAATGCATGGGCGTAACCCGCTATGACGTCACACACAGGTTAGAGCATAGACAACTTAAATTCATGAAAAACACGTTCTTTTTATAAAATATAGGATTTTTTTTGCCGGAATCTCTTTCAAATTGACATTGTCATGCAATTTTGATATCCGCTATTTTTTTTAAAAAAACCCGTCATAAGGTCTTTAACGCCCAATCCCCACATAAATAATACATCGTCACAACAGAAGAATTTTACTTCTAAAAGTGAAATTTTGTGAAAAAACCAGAACAAGCAGTCTTAATCTTTTAAGAAAAACCTTTCATCATCTTTTGCATACATACAGTATTTGACCCATAGGACTGAGATCTAATTGGCTGGGTGAGGGTGAACCTCTCTTGATCACTTGATCTAAGCTAATCTAAACATGACAGAGGCCTAAAAATAAATACATGTGAAAACAAGGGGCAGAAGCCAATTTGTGTTGACAAGGAACAGGTTAGATAGGGTCCCCAACATCACAAATAGATAAAGTGTATGCATTGTATGTACTGTATACACAGCATAGCTGTATATACAGTTTCCTACAGCATCCAAATGTATTTTTTACCTTCCACCAAAGATTCCTTCAGCTTGCTCTTCAATATTTTCAAAGTCAAAATTTCCTATAGTAAGAAATACATTAGAAGACCAAACAAACTGCAAAATCTATATGATATATATTTATTAAAATAATTATATCTAACCAGGAATTTGTGGTGGGATGTTATTACCACCATTTTGACTGACTGTGTTTTCATCTTGTTTGTTATTCTCGTCAAACTCCCTCTTGAAGATGCAAAGCAAGCAGGAAATACGGTAGTCCAGCCGCACGTTGAGAATGAACTATGGAATGAAAGACTTGGAATAAACAATTGTATAGATACAATTTAACTGATTTTATAAACTATACATTACCTGTAGGATTTCGATAACCTTAAGCTTTGTGTCCATGACCATGATATCCTCTCTCTCCGGCTCGTGCTGTTTTTTGGGCACGTCTCCGTCAGGTTGATGTGTCGGTGAAGTGGGCAGTAAACCGCCTCCACGCAGCACCACTTGTGTCATCAGCTCTCCCACTCCATGAATGGATTTCATCACATTGCTACCTACAAACATGCAGCCCCACTTTTCCTTCAGATTGCCATTACAAACAAATAGATTATCATTTAGCCTCGAAGATAAGGTACCTTTGTTCTCTTCACCCTTTTCTATCTTGTTGATGGGATATATCGTGTTGACATGCACACAGTCTAAAATATTCAGCAATATTTTGGTCAATCGAAGCAAGTCATTGAAGTTGTAAAAACCAAAGTAGATTAGGTTTCTCGCAAGGTTTACTACCTAAAAGGACAAAAAATAAATACATCTTAGGCTTTGAATCGCGAGGGTTTCACCAATGAGAACCCATACCTCAAAGGTAAGCTTGTTTTTTTCCTTGTCAGAGAAGGGGAGGTTTTGTGACACCACCTCTCGGAGGTAATTCTCCACAAAATCCATTGTGAGGGAGAATCGTTCCTTGATCTCATCTCTCGAGGTCCCATCATTGTCATAACTGGTTAAAAAAATACATCATTGAGTCAACATTTATTCAAGAGTACCGGTGAAATAAAATGTTAGGAAAACAATTTATGACATAAACCTACTCATTAATGGCAATCTCAGAGGGAATCTCAGACCAGAGTCGAGCATATTTAACAGGGGTGACTTGTTCCTGTGGGTCTCTGTCCACGTGCATGTGCAGCATCAGGCGGCAGAAAGAGGCGCGCAGGTCGAACGGTAAGTCCTCGTCAGACATGGAGCGAAGAATCAAGTCCACATCCAGCTGACCGGATATCTTATTGATGGCAAGGTATTGGCGATCCAAACACATTCTGGCAAACAAATTCAGTTGGCACCTGGAAAAAACAAAAATATTATGTATCAATGCTTCATAGATCAGGATTATTCTTCTAATACAGTATTCTACTCACCTATAGTAGCTGACCACCTCCTGGTCCTCTTTCTGGCCCTCCTTTGCATCCTGAGCCAGCTCACGGACGCTCTTACTCCTGATCTCTTTACAGTTGTCCTTCCAGAAGAGCCACACTTCTTCCTCATCCTCGGCCTCCATTGGAGTCTCTCCATTTGGTGAGATCTCAATCTCAAACCTCGACAGCACCAGTCTGGATAATAAACAAAGATGACTGTCTGCACAGAGATGATTACAAAGTATAGTAACAGTAGATCAGAGGCCAAAACAATGGCCTTTACAAAACATTCAGCCAATTGTTTATTACTCTAAAAGGTTGAAAGCTTCTTTTTTTAAATGTTATTGACTGGCACATCAGAGAAAATAAGCAAAAATAAGTGTAAGAGGGAAAGATGTATTAATAATCAAAGTAACCAACTTAGTTTCAATGAGGATGTCAGCGTTGCTTTGGTCCAGCACGGCGTTGCAGATGAGCTCTTGTGTTACAGGGATGGATTTGTTCATTGACACACACAGATCGGACAGGTAGTCCAGAAACCTGGTCACAAATCAAAATCACAGTTTTATGGAGACTGAAAGATGAGATACAAAATCAATGCAGAGTTGTGAAAGTCAATTTCTTTCCTTATTTCACTGTCTCACCTTGGTTCTTGGTTCTTTCTAACAAGTGTCACAAATGTGTCAATCTCAGCTGCAGTGATGTGTTTCTCAAGTAGTTTTCGGTTGTTATGCAATAAAGCAGTTATTGTGTCTTCTGCAAGCACATCATATCCAATTTGTTTTTGCATGAAGCGGAATTGTTTAGCAATATACTCCTGCAAACAAAACAGATATTTTGAGATGGCAAGTACATCATTGTTATTAACAGCCAAGAAGAAGTTGTTCTGCCCTCACCTGATTTTTTCTATAATCCTGTTGGGAATGTCGTAAGACTCTATAGCACAGTCTGCAAATATGCCTGAAGGGAGCATGGCGCTGATCTCCCAGCTCCTCCAGCCGTAGCATTGGTCCATCGCCGCTGTCTGTGAAAGGCGCTTGCAGAAGTTTGAAAATCTGCCACAAAAATATATCAGTTCATATATATTTTAAAGCAAACATTAAAACTAAATCAAAGGTAAATGTGCCAGACCTGCTTTAGAATATTTTGCTCTCGCATCAGTTTTTGCCGTTCCCTGTTTGGTTTGTTAACCATAATCTCCAAAACATCCTGCCCACTATTAGGAATGTCCACCACGAAAAAAACTAAATCTTCCAACAGTTTTGTAACAAATCTATAAAAAGAAAATCAACATCAAAACAGCAACATGAATACGTTTTATTCCTTTTGAAAATCTGTCACACCTTCTTTCATTTTGTGTAATTGTCCCCTTTTCAAGTTTTCCAGCAATAGATCCAAGAACTTTACTCGCATCGTTGGCAAAATCTAAATCTCGTACTTCTGCTGGGGGCACTGGCACAATGGCAAAAGCTTCTTTATCTTCTTTGACTCCAGATGTTCCTATCTTTAAAAACACATGTTTGTTTTATCTAATAGAAGTTCAAAACTCCCAAAAGTGTGCCATCTGCCAGCATCAGTTACTCACCCGTAACATAACAGGTTTCTCTTCCTCTTTATCAATGGGATTGTTTGTACTGTGAACCCATGTGTTTGTGCAGAGGTGTCTTAGCCTCACGTAGGAACTCCTAGAAATAAAACATGGTTAAGCATATTCTAGTGATTTGTTGTTTTTCAGCAAATATAGACTGAGAAACAATAATCAGCAGTTTGAAATATTTAACTGCAAACACAACATTTGCATAAAGCACCTGCCAGCCCATAATCAGGTCCAAAAATAGGAGACAGGGTTATTTCAAGGAAAGGTGTTTTTTTTTCTAGTTCAATTAAGTTTTATATGTAACAATTATAACAAAGAAATTGCAATGATATGTCCATAAACGTCCTGTATGACCACAGACAAGAAACTCATTGAAAGTTGGCATTCTACAATTTCGTTTAGGTCAGGCTAACTCCAAACTAAAGTCCCCCATTTCTGCTGGTGCCACTCGTTAATTACTTCTCTCAGCTTATTCTACTTCAAACGCTCAAAACAATTCTCCTCTGACTGGCCCAACAGCTGCAAACAGAATGGTTGCTAATGCTAACTGATGGATTCACTCACTCACCGCCCCACCTCCGAAGCACCAATCTCTAGAACAGACACCAGATGATACAACTGATATTCTTGAACATATATTAATGTTGTGACTATCACCCATCCATCTGAATTTATTTTCTTTAACTTTCATTATTGTCCTGGACCCGTTTGTGTTTGCACGTGCTATGTTTTTTGTGGAAAAAAATCAACAACAAAAAACATTTTAAAAAACCATTAGCACAGTATTATCATTTCCTTGATCATTTCACAGGATACAATGTGTGTTCTGTTTGCGTGTTCAGGGCCTAGTGTGTGTGTGTGTGTGTATGTATGTCTGTCAGTAAAAAAATAATCATTAAAATTCTATAATCCAAAATTGCCACCACCCATCGAAGTCGTAATATAATAATAATAATAATAATGCATCGGTTTTATATAGCGCTTTTCTGGACACTCAAAGACGCTTCACATGTGCCATTATTCATTCACTCCATACACGGTGGTGATAAACTACTACTGTAGCCACAGCTGCCCTGGGGCACACTGACAGAAGCGAGGCAACCAGTATGTGCCATCGGCCCCTCCGACCACCACCAACCATTCATACACACACCAGACTCATTCTAGGCAATGGGGGTGAAGTGTCTTGCCTAAGGACACAACGGCAGTTTGGCACTTTACAGCCGCAGCCGCCCCACTGTGGCTGGTGTTCCCAGAGGTTAAGTGTCTTGCCAAGGACACAACAACAGTAGTCAGTGGTAGTCGATGGTGAAAGTCCTGAGCGGGGCTTGAACCCACGACCTTCTGGCTCAAAGGCCAACGCTCTACCAACTGAGCTACTAGAGAAGTTATATAATATGCAAATTAGATGTGTGCATTTAATTCCTACATAAACTGTGTGCTTTGTGCCATCCTAATAACTTCTCTAATGTACATGAGGCCTCTATCCCTTATCACATTTAAGTTAAGAAATTAAGACGTCAAAATTGAGCCTTTTAGGAAAAAACCTCTGGCGCCTAAAGGGTTAAAGGCCAAAGCCCAGTGAGTACGTCAAATGTATTCATTAGTTATATGAATGACATCACTGTGGGTTATCTCCTAACCACAACAACATCATTTTGAGATACAGTAATTCCCCTGCCTATGCCGTTAACTGTGGCCTTTTTCAGCCATTTTATAGAGGAAACTCTTGAAGCCGTGCAGGGACTTTCCTTTTTCACCATTTCTACCAAACCAACATTCATTAATAAACATTTTAGCCTAAAACTGAAACAAGTTAACAAACAGGCATATTGTATTCTAACGTTGAACCAAACAGTGAAGTTTTGTAAATGTTTGCAGATTACCTTGGTACCATCGAGTCGCCTCCTCTCAGTGTCGTGGGGTCGAGCTCAAAGATGGATGCAATATCCATCCCATCTGGAACCGGGATGAGTGTGTACATGATCTTTTCTTGTGGAGCTCGAAGACGTGCTCTCAGGGCTTCATTATCTGCATCCAACTACAATAATCAAAGCAAGTGAAGGTGTGCTGAATAAATGTATTAGAAACATACATGATGGTAGAATGAGAAATATACATAATAGTAAAAGAGAAACAATCAAGCTGAAAATATTTATGACTCCTGATGTCATGTGGAGAAAAAAGTAGATTCTTAATCAGCTGTGCTCCTGTAATAAACATGTGACCAAACAGCAGCCTTTAGGTGGAGATTTTATCTGCTGCACTGCCCCCTAGTGGCTCAAAATTGAACATATTGACTCTCAAACTAGGAACACAGAAAGTAGTGAAATTTGTCTGTTCTGCCCATCTGATGAGAGTAATTATGAATCTTGAAATAAAATGTGAAGCTTCATTCAATTTATTAAAACCCTAAATTTCAATAAACTTTATAAAGGCTCAAAAAATGTGAAATTTACCTGAAAGTTAAAAGGTGTAAAGTCTGCCACCTGAAAAGAAAGGCAGTGGTCAAAGCATCTCTCTGTGCATTCATGGTTCAGAGATGTTGTTGCACAAAGAGCACTAGAAGCAGATGCATGATGATTTATTATAAATATCATGCAATGTGCACATTATTTACTGCATTCTTTTCAAACTGTCCATATTCATTTTATACATGGCCCTTTATAAGTGAAGGTACCGGTTTGAGGAATGATTGTGCTGTAATAATTATGATGCTATGGTTAATCTGTTACATATACGCCAACAAACTTCTCCATCTGAAAACAATGAATACTTATCTATATTCCTCCACTCCCTCTTTTAAAGATAAAATAGATAATATGGCACTTGTGTTGAGACCAATAAGAATACTACAAAAAAATAAGTGCTTTATCCTACATCTCTACAGATGACTTGGAGAGAATAGAGCAATAACTTACAGCAGAGCGCTGCTCCACATTCTCCTCCTCAAAGTCCTGATTAACCTGAAGGAAGAGGTAAAGTAAAGGATTGTACACATGGATTCTCCAAAGCCAAGAGCTGTCCATACCTCACCAACTTCTGCAGCCAAGTAGCACCCTGTGGCCAAGTGCTTAAACCTAAACAGACTGTTCCAATAACCTGCTCCTCCTCTGCAGGGATCATGGTGGACCACCTGAGAACAAAATGCTTAAGGATAGACAAACAACTACAGCGGCCTGAAAAAGTATCTGAAGCATTTGGAATTTCACATTTCTGCTCAAAATCCCCATATGTGATCTAATCTCTTCAAAATCATAGATAAAAAACATGTCTGCTTAACTTACATATAATATTTACAACATATCTGTTTAATTTGTGGCTTGCCTCTATTTCCCAGAGTGCTTTGCTGCTAGTGGCAGATGTCGCAGACTGACGCCCAGTTGTCCTCAGAAATACATGTTGACTTTTCTTGTAGTCGTCACAGGTCAGAAACTTCTCCTGTTCTGCGTGAAACAACCGGACAACATCCCCCTGTCGTCACATCCACTTTAGACACAGACTTTTTTGAACAAAGGGACACAACTCTGACATTACCCCTTTTAGGATCGTTTCCTTGTTGTCGCTCCACTTCATGAAGAGAACAACTTTCCAACTCGTATTACAATTTACAGAGTTAACCTAGAAAGCAGAAAAAAGTCAAACTTGTCTTATCATGTACCAGAAAAAATAGGTGGTGGTCTTGTACCTCATTACATCCAGGGTTATCCACAAGCTGATGGCTGCTGGCATGAAGAGGCTGTCCCGCATTGACAGGATTTAGGACTACTTTATCCCCGATCACCACCTAAAAGACACATTTAGAAAAGTTAAAGCTGAGGTACCTAACTTTTATACTTCCATAAATAATACTAAATAATACATTGCGTTTTCACAAAAGAGTGTTGTAAAAGTACAATTTTTCTGAACAAATCAAACCATAATGCATATGCATACGGAAGGCTGAGGGAGGGGGATTTTCTTTATCAATTAGCCCTCAGCCCACAGCTCTGTGCAAAACTTTTAGGTATCCCAGATTTAAACAAAATCCATACTGTAAACGAGCAAGAACTTATTCTGCTCTTGACTTTTTTATGAAGACAATCTGCCCCAGGGCCTTTTGTTTGTGTCATTGTAAATGACACACATTTTGCAGCAGCAAAATACCAACACTAGAGGGAGCTATCGGCCAAAGTGACAGAGCCGCAAGTTATTTACCAAATAACTTTTTTCTTCACACGCAATTGATCAAAATCTGTTTCTGATAGTAGTTACATTTCCTAAACGGTAACTTCTAAGTTATTAACACATTTCCAAATGATACATTTGAACTTTTTATGGAGTAAAAGAATTACATTGGAGACATTAGCGCAATGTGACTTCAAAGTGGCATAAAGTGTTCAGAATATTGAGAATTCTACAACTGAAACATAAGAATTGAGTTAAAAACAACTTAAAGTTGCGAGTGAAATAATGTTTAAATGAACCCAGAGTTGAACCCACGCTGTCTCCCAGAGAGCGCAGCTTGTAGAAGGGCTGGATATAGAACCAGGAGCCCTCGTTTCCTGCAGAGTCTAGAGTAACCCTCATGGCGTTCTTCTCCAAAAGTGCAGGCAGCCGTTTGTTCACTGTCAGGTATTTATTGCTTTTCAAATGTAATAACTGTTGACAGAAAATCAAACATTTTATAACACATCAGTAAATATCTTAACAGACAATGCTTATAAGTCGAACCTTTTAATCCTAAACATGCCCAGTTGTTACTGAAGAACTATAACAAAACCGGATTTCATAACTAGCTTGAAGTGAGAAGAGCTCGAGTACAGCAAAGACTAATCCAATAAATTATGCCTAAGGCCTCAGATAATCTGATTTTGGTGAATGCTGTTCTATCTTAATTTACCTGAATGACATTTCCATACTGGATGACTGTTCCCAGCAGCTTTCGATTCTCAGACTCATTCTGTTTCTTTTCCAGGTCTGCAGCATGCTGCAACACAAAGCCACAGCTGTATCGTGAAGAATGATCCTTTGAAACTTTGGAGGTGGTTAATTTTAGTTCATAACGTTCTATTACAGTAGATTGACCAAGTCTATTTTGACATTATTTATTTACTTTTTTTATTATTATTATTTTTTTCTTGTTGTAAAAAGTATATGTAATCTCTGTAACCATGTGACCTGAGATCTGGTGTACATATTGGCCGAAGAAAAAATGAACGAACTAACTAACATTGAATTGATAATGTACAGAAAAACCCAGAGGAATAATTACATGGAGTTTGTTGAGGAGGACCGTGTCTGTTGTGCTGTTGCCTCCAGGTTTAGCAGCTTTCCAGAACTGTTTCTGTGCAGAGTATCTGTTCATGGGACACAGCTTGAAAAGGCAATCTGCGGAATGTGAGAGGAGAATAGCATAAGGAGAAGATATATCACAAATAAAGCATCCTGCCAAGACGCTTACAGCCAGTGGAATTAATGCAGTATTTAAGGTCAATCAATAACTCATCTTATAAACCTGCCTTTAAAGTCACAATTTATGCTAGAAATCAGTATCCGTTGAACCAAAAGCTTCTCTTCACCGACTTAAGTGTCAGTTTTAAACAAGGTCATGGATCTAATTTGTGACAGTAGGTTATTTCAAATCACGGTCAGTTAGGTCACTTTCAAGTACTTGGCTCAAAATAGTGCATTGGGAAATTCATTGTGCCCAGAGGCCCAATGAGGCCATTTGGACAAAGAACAACAAATATTACTAAAGGCTCCTTTGCAATATGTTATAATATTTTCAAAAACGCTTCCACAGAAATTAAAAGTTGGGACAATCAACTCTTCTCGATTGACCTTGTGTTGTGTTTTTCAGTCACAGCCCAATAATTCAGACCCTTTTCAGAGGCTGATCAGTGATCACTTTATTTAGAGCAGTGAGTAAAAATAACCAAGTGAAGCGTATAAAAAGAAACACGGCCAACGTATGTGCTCCTGTGGGCAAAGGGAAGAGCAGAAAGAGAGAAATGGGGCTATGGGAGAGTTGTGTGACAGACTAACCAGGTTATACCAGTAATACTCTATACGGAGGGGGGAGATAAAGGTTTTATATACAGTATCAGGCAAAAGAACTAGAACTGAACATTTTGTCATGTTGACGACCAGACACCAACATTTTCAAGTCTTTCCACAGATTATCCATTAGATAGATATTGACTGGATTATTTGAACACACTTTAGTTTATTAAGAGTGTATATTATTGCAAGCTTTTCAAATAAATGAATGATTTTTGAATAAAGCATTACATTGTGCAAATGCTTAGGATCATGTTTAAGGTAAATCTCTGCCTCAAATGTTACACAATTCTCCTTCCATCTTCCAATCCTTATTTACAATCTTCCATGTCCCTCCTGAAAACTCCATAGCATGAAGTTGCCACCGCCATATTTGATATTGGAGATTTTAGCTGGATTTAAATGGAAAGATTGCAAATATCAACACCTCAATCAAATTGAAAATCACCGATCACAAGGCAGCAAAAATACAAAGGGTTGAAGAGGAGTTACACTGAAGTTATATTCACTCTTCATAATGAAAAACCTCAGCCCTACTGGTAATGCTGCAAAGTGAAATGAGCAGTATTAGTTATTGGCCATACATAAAGTTTTGAATTTGTTTTATTTGACCACAACATCTTCCTCCACAAGTTTGTCCTTTGTATGACTTCAGGGAAACTGCAGAGCTAACAAGATTTCATATCCTTTCTTTCAACTACGGCGGTCTTCTTGCCACTTGTTCAGAAAGATTGACGGATTAGAGAGAGAAAAAAGGTTTTCATCCCATCTCAGCTTTACACGTTTCTTTCCTCCTCCAGACAACCTAGGGCACAAGTCTGAATTTCTGATCAGTGCTCTCCTTGTTAGTTCAGGGGTGCTCACACCATCAACTTTTCCATCTCCAGCCAGCCGTGGAACTTGAGGTAAAGCCGAAAAGAGATCGGATGAAGCAAAAAACTGTATATTAATCTAATGTGAATGTAAACTTTATACCCGTGGGAACTTTGTCCTCTGCATTTGACCCATCCTGCAATGCCAGTAGGGCCTCAGTCAGGAGCAGTGGTTGTTGAAGTACATCACCCGCAAAGAAAATATTTGAATTGTCTAATACAGACTACTCTCTGTGTTCAAGTCAGTCAGATGGTTTTTACAGTGTCAATGACTATGATGCACACTCACAGTGCGAATAACTGTAGCTTCAACATTTCAGCTGTGACATGGAGATAGTTGTGATTACAGAGGGACGTCCGGTAATTACTGATTGACAGATATGTCTTCCCCAACGCTGCTGTACCTTACACAGTGCACAATTCTTTTGAATACACTTTGATGAATAGCGGTTTGAGTGTACACCTTCCTTGTTTTTTATGCTGGCACAAGGAAAAACACATGTATAAAGCAGAATGCCATAAGGCAGAAAGTGATGCAACCTACCCACCCGGCCTTTGCAATTAACCCGTTAATTGTGATCAATGTGAGCACCCATGGTTTAGAAAGACAGGCTTGTCGTGGAAAGTTTGTTTTCCAAAGTTTTGTGTGTATCTTCCATGCGTTCCTTGGACTTTGTGATACAATTTAGTGACAAATACACTCTGAACATACAGTACATACAACTGTAATATACAGAGAGTAGATTACAAACTTGTGCATTGTATTAGTTGTAATAGCACTTTCTCCAGACAAGGCCTTTCTGTGTGAACTTTGCATGTTCGCCCCATGTCTGTAAGTTTCCTTCAGGTGCTCCAGTTTCCCTTACACTAAATATATGTTCAATGGAACTGGCATGCACCTCCTGTGTCGTGGCCTCACCTCCATAACTGTGTTGGAATAAGAGGAAAACAATATAACTCAGTGATTCCCAAAGTGGGGGGCGCGCCCGATAGGGAGGACGCAGAGCCATTGCAGGGGGAGGCGAGGGACAAAAGATTGCAACCCAGATTTGACAAGATCTGCAGCATGAAGCAGGACTACATCAGTCACTGAAAAGATGTGAGGATTAGAAGGTGCCATTTTTGCACAATAAACCTTTAGGTTTTTGTTCTTCTCCTCATGTTTTATAACCCATTTTTGCAGAGGCGCAATAAAAATAAAAATAAAATAAAAAAATCATACTGATTAAGTGTTGAATATATTTTAAAAAACTGTTACACTGAACATAACACAGTTAAGGTGCTTGAATACGGTTTAACTTATTACAATCTGCAGTTTATGGCAGCTCACTTTTATTAAAAAAAAAAAAAATTAAAGGTTGAGGTTTAACACATTACTATCTGCAGTTAGAGCTGAGGGTTATATTAATAACAATGTTAGGTTAGGTCTCCTTCACTCACTGTGTGAGGGAGAGGTTCCGCAGGTCTTTCCTTCAATCTGTGCACAATGCGCCATGTGTTCAATTCTGACAGACGCTTTTTAAATAGCTTAAGTGGGATATAATTACTCTGTTCATCTACAGGGACCTGAGGATTTAGCTCAGGCTGCTTTCGCAAAAAAGGTCAAACAGCCTAAAACAACAATTGTCTATCACTAGAAATTAAACGACAATGTTTTACATGATTCTTTGCGTTTTCTAACTTAAAGATTTATGAAGCAGAAGAGTGTGTCCTCTGAGCTGAGAGTTGTCGGTTCATCTCCTGCTCCCGACGTAAAAATCATTGAATATATGAATGTATGTATGTAATGTATTTGAATGGGTGAAGAGTTCCTTTCATGATACTAAGTTCTTTGAACATAAATTTATGCTATATAAATATGAGCATTTACCATCTAACTTTGTGGGTCACATAAGTCTGTGCTTAATGTTTTTAAGGTTAAGAATTACATCACATTATAGAAATAACAATACCTTCATATCAGTGCAAAAATCATTAAAGGTTCATATAATAATCTGTTATAAGTTATTAGAAGTTAATAAAACAGTGCAGTTTATGCGGTTTGTGTCTCATACATATCACGTAGCTTCAACAAAACCACATGACCAGCTTTCACCATCAGGGTATTGTCAAATTGGTTATATTACTTTCAATTTGAGCAGAATTATAATTACTTAAGCTTTAAGACGGAATCAAGTGGACTAAAAGCTAAATCTTAGAGAATACAGTACCTTATGCATTTGACAACCCTCAGATTCAAGGTGGAAAACAAAGAAACCAAGCACGATCAAAACCAGCAGCAATTAAGTATAAATAGCACAACACTTAATGGTTAGTGTGGCATTTGCTCTGCTGCAAATTGAACAACACCAAACTATTGTATCCTCGAGTTTTTAAAATTATTTTTTAAAGAAAATAACCCAATCCAAAACTTAAAGAAGCAAATTTTCAGATAAACATTGCGATTATGTTTTGATTTGTTAGTTCTGTTAAGTGTCAGAAACTTAGTTAGCCTTTATCATTAAATGACAAGCAAATTCTTAACTTGTTTATAATAGTATCATCTAAATATATAATGCACTCAAAATAAGAGAAACACAAGGTGTTATTCACATGTTTTGCCATTTTTTTTCTATTTTATTCTATTTTATTATTTCCTTCATGAAACACCAAAGAGTTAGAAAACAATGTATAGTTTGGAACGTATAGAAAAAGTCTTCACAAAGTAAAAATATTAAGTAACCTAAATCTTGAGGGACATTTATCTGTAGAGCAGACAATCTCTGAAGTAGGATCACAGATTGGGCTCCGTTCAGTCACCAATGAGAGACAGATAAATATTGTCAAACTCTCAAACATGAAATGGGTCCATAGGGTCCAGATTGGGGACCAAAGGTTTGCAGCATTGGGTCATATTTGTTTCACCAAACCAACATCAATTGAATCAGACTCTTCGAGATCTCGAAAAGTGGTGCCTTGGCCTCTCTTGGTGAGGAGGGTCGTGTTCAAAAGTTGGGGAAGGATGGAGTGACATATGGATGGATAATTATGGACAAATTAAAGTGAGCTGAGGAGTCCTAGACGCCTCTCTGGGGAGTTATGTCCCATCAGGGACATCAGGGGAAGACTCAACAGAAACTGGTCTGAGAACACCTCAGGTTCAATCTGATGAACTGCGTGGACAGAGGTTTGAGCAATATCTACAGGTTTCATAATGAGGGCATTACCAATTAAACTAATATACAATAAAAGCCTATTTTGTCAACCTCACACCATATGTTGTCCATCCATTATGTGATCCAGTTGAATGAACAAACTGTTCCTTTCTCGATTACTGATCAAACAAGATGCCAGGTTTGTTTTGTTTGACACTACTGCGCTATGATTAGCTCATTGTACACCAATGTTACTTTTTAATTCACCAAACTCTGCACCATTGATGGCTAATGTGTTACCTGGATGACTGGAGAATTTGAAAAATTGTACACATCAAGAGAATTAATCTTTCTGACATGTCCTGGCTAGAGATGATATGAATGTAGAACAAATGCTCCCTCGTTATCAAGTTGTAATGCATTGAATAATAAACTCATATCAATGAATGATTTTGAGAATTCTAAAAAGGCCAATAACATGCAAATGCCACTGCCATGAAACAAAAGTTTAGAAGAGGAGTTTTCCAACATGGGCAATAACAGTATAAGTTTGTAGCAATGCAAAAAGACACTTACCTCTGAATTTTTTGGGAGGGTTATTAAGGTCACCAGTGTCGGGTTGGACCACACAGCGGTCATCCACAAGTCTGAAATTATTTAAAAATAGTAAGTACATTTAGAGACAAAAATTATTCAAATTAAAACTATAGCTACATATACGAAAACATTACACGTTTAGCATTTGGAAAAGTTAAGAATCTTCAAACAGAAAAGCACTATATTGAGATTACTCACTCCCTCGTCGTGATAATGAGTCTAATTATCCTCTGTTGACACATTAGCCTGATAGCGCGATAAAAACACTTAACTGCACAACTGAACACTGGGCACTGCACTCAGACCACTTTAAAATAAAAACTAAATAATTTTGCGATATTAACTCACATTTACTAACAGAGAAACCAAATGCAGAATTTTGTGCGTGTCATGATGTATTGTAACTGAAACCTCCACATCGCATTCTCACATAATACAGAAAAAGACACGGACAATGATAACGATAACACACACACACCCAAACACTCTCTGTCCATACACCCATCTCCTATTGCATGGTACAGACTAAGTCACCCTCGCTGTGTGAAGGAGAGGTTCCGTAGGTCTTTCCTTCCTGCATGCTGTCAGACTGTACAACGAGAATGTGTAACAGGAACTGCTGAGTCTGCACAAGTGTCACTGATAATTCACTAGTAACTTTGTCACTAGTCACTTTACCTGTTATCAGTACTACTGCATTATTACATATCTGATAATTCTCCCATTCAAGTCACTTTACCTGTTGATATTATTTCTGATGTTTATTCTGCTCATATTCATATTCTCATATTCTCCGCTGCTAATGTATAATACAGACATCTGTAAATACTTCCAAACCAAGTGCAATTATAGCCCAGAGTTTATCTCATTTTACTTTATTCTTAATTGTATTGTCTATTATCCTAAATAATAGTCTTATTGCCTTTCTCTGCTGTAAAGTGCGCAACGATGACACTGAAATGTCTCCACTGTGAGACTAATAAAGGTTTATCTTATCTTATACTTAATTATGTTTCCTTTTTAAGCATATATAAAAGAATGCACTGATACGTCATATTTGGCCTGAAACACACCAGCCCCTTGTCTCACAATCACACAGAGCCCTAATCTGTATACCAACAACCCAGTAGCTAAATCCTGTGTGGCTGCAGGTTTACAGTGTAACCAAGCAGGAGCACACTCTTTCAGGGCCGAGTTGAGTAGCCCTGCTTTAAAATGTATATCCTGCACTGTGTATCGGCAAGCGCTCAAAATAAAGTACATGATTATACTAAATATACTCAAAAACAGTAGAATCGTCCTACACCCATCTACTAAATTGAATATTTATCAACCACGTCACAGACTTGCAGGATCTACTTTGTACGACACCGTATGTTGTGAGATACGTGCACATATCCTCAACTGTGACGTATTTGCGGTGAAACCCATTACACGCAGCTGCATCCATAAATGAAAGGGCTACCTCCTCCTTTTCTCGGCTGGACAGATGCTTGTCAAGGGGTCACTTTTAGCAGTGGCAGCCTCTGCATCACCTAATGCAATGAATAATGCTATTTATAACCGTGTCCTCTACTGCGTGATATAGAAGACTCAACAGCAGAAGCAGAGGGGAGACTAATCAGCAGAAAAAACCACACAAGATGAGAGATTTGACAAGCAAGCAGCGTCACAATCTTCCAAGATGTGCAGTTTGTTGCCATGGGAGGTGACGCACAACATCCTCACACTGTGAAAGAGCAAGGATTCTGCGAAAAAAGGACTTGCAAGTGGTAAACAGACTTGTGACACAGCAAGAGGAAGGACATTCCAGCTCGTAAACAGCAATACAAAGGACAACACATGTGCCCTTCGTAGTAAAAACACATGAAAAACACACAAAAACAAAACATTTTCAACAAACATGGAAGAGTTCTGATGTGCTCAGTTTAAACACAATGATCTACTTCTGGGATGTAATTAGAGAGGAGGGAAGATGCTGGCAAATGGGACAGAGGAGATGGGGTAATTTAAGCCAGATGAAAGACTAATATCTAGCTGTTAAAGCAACAGTATGCAACTTTATTGATGGTGGATAATCATCTGTAGAATTCTATAGAAATAGAATTAAAGCTATGGACATTGATCAGTGAAATGCCTGAAAATGAGAGACGTTTTTCAGCAGTCTAAAAAACAAGATAATATACTATGCTTCTGTCGGTAGGTTCATTTAGTTCATAAAAAGATGCATTTTGCAACTTTTCTGAGAAGTCCACTGATGGCGATGTTATGTCTACCTTTGCTTGGAACGTAACTCAGTATGACAGAAGAATGATATAAAAACAAGCAAAAACGGACTCCTGCTCCCTCCAGAATGCACTATAATTTTCACCAACCACAGTTAACATATTTAATCTTAAATGTAATCCTTTAACCCCAATTGTACATATATTCTCCCTGGTTGTGGTAGATGTAGATCACGTAATGGGTTTCATAGAAAGTAGTAACCATGTAGTAACCAACTGTTCAAATGCACATATATTTCCAACAAAATGCATTATTAAAATATACGTTTATTTGTAAAGTAAATCATGCATGTGAAGTAGTTGTGGTAAATCGCGTCAAATTTATCATCATTATTATTATTGTGTCTATTTGGAGTGCGTCATCTAGAACTCTCCTCTATTTCCTCTACATTTCAACAACTTTTTCTTCACTAACTGTGGATTTGTTGGAAATGTGTCATTTTTTTTTGAAAAAAACCTGTATTGGTTTAAATTGTCAAGTTCATTGGTCCATTGACAGACCTCATAATAATAATAATAATAATAATAATAAATCGGTTTTATATAGCGCTTTTCAAAAACTCAAAGACGCTTCACAAATAGGATACACACACGTTTAGACACACAAAACTAAAGATCTAAAAGCTAAAAACCAAGAGTCATATGCTTGGAGGAAGAGGTGAGTTTTAAGCTGTTTTTAGAAGGAGTTTAGTGAGTCCGAGTTTCTGAGACGAGGCATGTGTATTTACTGACATTGATAACTGATATTGTCATTTTGTAAATAAAAAAAATCATAAAAGTTGATACAATGTGTAAAAACAAGTAAACCTTTTAACATGGTCCACATGCATGGCTTTTCTTGCTAAACACAAAATGTTATCAACACATCACGTACCCTAAAGTGCTGATAAATCCAGCGGTGGAGCCTTCTGCATACAGGGAGCACACGTCCCCAATATGGAGGAAGCTTGACATTTTGTCCGACATTGTGTTGAGGGATTAGACTGAAAAAGAAGAATCAAATTATGAATATGACCGGTTGTCTATTTATTGATAACAGTCAATGAGAACAGTTGTCATCTAAAGTTATTATGTTTATTGGCTCTTTCAAAAGGATAAAAAAAAACATATACAGTTCATTTCATTCATTAGATATATTCTTGTTATGGAGATTAAAAGGTAAACAAGACAGATGAGGCTATGGAGCAAAAATTGAGCACTTTGTATATGAAACTGGACAGAACATTGAACACACTCAAATTGATAACAAATATGCAGCAGTGACTTCAATAGGTTATAAAGCAGTTGTGGTGATTATATATCTGTAGTATAATTGTAGTAGCCTAGACATGTTGGAAGTCATGCTGCTGAAAGATATGACAACAATTACAGATCTGCCAGAGGAGATCGTGAGACTACACTCCTTGCAAGCTCTACTGTAAAACAACAAAAATACAGCCTACGCGTGGGCAACTTCCTTAAAAGGGATGCTGAAACCCAAAAGAACAATGCAGCTGAAAAACTAGGCTCTTTTTACCTGGCACGAAGCAAAGAAGACGGCAAAGACGAGGGCGTTAAGTGGGTTGGAGAGGGATCATTCCCGCGGTCCGCAGGGTAAATCCATGTCGGTGAAACTCAGGTACAAGCGACGCGAGCCTTAGCGCTACAGCTGAACGAACCCAAGGTAACAATCCGCTTCTAACCTCCTCCACATGTCACTGAGGGAACGCCCCTTTCGTTACTATTTATATGGACCGCATAATACCGCAAGGCTTTCTGGGAAATGTAGTCCAGAAAAAATAGCATTTACAATCTGTGTATTTGGCTAATGAATTCAAAGTAACTGTAAAACGATATAATAAATCTTGACTTGTGATTTAGTCTGACGTGACTAAGCATAGATTGTCTATCATGGTCCTCATGGCAATAATAGACCATTTAGTTATTACTCAAAGGGCTCTAACTAATACTGTATACTTTTGTATATACTTTGAATCTTTACTAAAAAAGATTTGTTTCTATGCTATTTATTTAAAAAAATCTATAAAAATAGCATAACATATACAATTCACTTTTTTATTGCATCGGTTTTATATAGCGCTTTTTTGGGCACTCAAAGACGCTTTACATGTCATTATTCATTCCCTCCATACACGGTGGTGATAAACTACTACTGTAGCCACAGCTGCCCTGGGGCACACTGACAGAAGCGAGGCAACCAGTATGTGCCATCAGCCCCTCCGACCACCACCAACCATTGACACACACACCAGGCAATGGGGGTGAAGTGTCTTGCCTAAGGACACAAAGGCAGTTTGGCACTTTACAGCCACTGTGGCTGGTGTTCCCAGAGGTTAACGACAGCAGACAGTGGGAGTCGATGGAGAAAGTCACGACCCCGACATTAGCTCAGTTGGTAGTTGGTTCACTTATCTTGTGTTGTGTGCTCCTCATTCCTGCACGTCTGTAAATTTAGATAGAACACTGAAATTTTGTCATTGTCGGACCCCAATGTTGTAGTCTCAATAATCTAACCAAATCTGATTATGATAGTCTGAAAATCTTTTTTTTTTACAGGCTACTGTTTTAAAATGTACATGCTACACTGTAATAAATCTATACATTAGGAACAATAAACAAAAAAACACACACATAGGTACAAAAAAATACTAAGCGTAGCACAGAACTCCAGGTTCCGGTAGGGGGCTTTGTCTGCTTATATGGTCAAAAACACAATAATAAAAAGATAACTGATAACAACATTATGTAATAAATCTTTGTGAGGGCTGTTTAGTGGGTGAAAGATAATTCATCCCTCACAGCTCCTCCCCTGCTTTACTAAACAACTGCACTCAAAGGCCATTGATTAAAAGAATGTCACAAACAGCGGCTCACACACTGTTTGACAGGAAAAGCTCTTGCTGTTGGTGTCACTGTGTGAATCGGAAAAACAAATGTCATAGCTGTGTTTAATCGGATTTGTAAGTATAAAACGTATTTGTTGATTTATTGTCAACGCTTTAGGCAAAATATCTATTCTATCATCTTAATCTATTATTGATCCTATATGTGATCCCATAGGGTCTACGTGTACTGATGAAAGTGTCAAAAAAGAGAGTTATGGCACCAAAAAACTTGTACTTTCATAATTGCACTGAGCTCAATCGTTCCGATTAGTAGAGGATGATTGGGTTTTTCCGCTGCAGACCTTCAACACCAGATGAGGAAATGGAAGCGTCCATGTTCAGATAAGTGCTTGTTCTTTTTTCACAGTGCACTTGGGTTTTCCGAAGACATAATGACCTCAATTAGATTGTGTTTTGTAAATGCAGCCGCTCATTGTGTTTTCCAGTGTGGCATGATCCATTTCCTCTCCATAAAACCAAAGTTTAGCATTGGAAATGCCTGGGAACAAAACATTTGCAAATTGCGAATGGATTCATGTACTAGAAGTAATTATTCCCTTGGGGAGAGCAATGTACCAATACCAACCTAACCTTTTTTTGTGTGCTCAAATGGGGATTTTACATCACAAAACCAAGTGTGTGTCACCAACCAAGTGTGTCTCACCAACTCTGCATTATATAGGTCAAGTTATGGCTCCATAATCAGAATCAGAATCAGAATCATTTTTATTGCCACGTAAGTAACAAACAAAAGTTACCACTTGGAAATTGTTTTGGCAGAGAGCGTTCCACTTTGCGTGCCATTTACGAACTGTAACTGTAAGGCAAATGTATATTGGGTAAAGGAAGTGAATTTACTGATTTTTAATATTATGCTTTAGAATATAAACTATACCCTTGTTATCTACATATAAACATGTCTTCTGATTAGAGCTGTACTCAACATGGGAGCACTCAAAGTTATTTTCACCTTCAGATCAATATCTGTGTTTTAGCTCGTTCCACCGCTAGTAATGAGACAACCAGGTGACAAGATCCGTTGTAGTTGCCCCGATGGCCCGAGGAAAATTCACCGCTTTCTGCATCACTGTGCAAACATGGTGACAATAAAAGCACACAGAGAGACACTGTATCCTCGTGCTTTTCATAGCAGTGCAGATATTCTGTCACAGTCAATGATTATTGGCTAAAATTACACTGGGCTAACCTGTCTGTGGATAAAAGTGCTGCTTGACTTGACGTAGCACTTTAGTTTAAGGATATCATCTTCACTAAAAATATGAACAATTATTCCACTTTAATGGCCTGCATATTCCCAGAAGGGGGCAGCTGATTAGACCAGCACTTATCATAATTAGGTCTTGCCATTTTGTGGTATATAATCATCAAGCAGGTTAGAAGAAAGTTGTTCAATCTAATTTCTGCCGTGCAACTTTTTATGATCAGAGGAAATTGAACTGAATAAATGGGCACCTGCGAGGAGCGAAACAGACAGCGAAGGATAATTTCCAGTTTACAGGATAATCAATGACACACTGTACACAGGTGTTTGGCCCCTGAGGTGGAGCTCCCTTCAGAAATGTTACTTTCAGTAATCCAATAGTATGAAACATACCCAATGTTGGTTGGCAGAGTCCAGGACATGTTGTATAAGCTGCTTTAACCTCCTTTAATCCAATAGGCTCAGTCGAGAGTGTGGGGGCTCGGCTTCACTTTCACGACCTTCATTGCCTATCCTGCCAATACTAAAAGTATGCATAACAATAGGCCTGAAATTAATGATTATATTGATCATTGTTTAGTTGGCGAATTAGTTAATTAGTTAATCGATTTATTTTTTGGATCTCAAAGAGCCTAACTATGGGGTAGGGATTTTTAAGAGATTCACCACAAAGCTAAATTGATGCAACTTGAGAACATCTTCCATAGATGTGAATGTGTCATTGTGACCAACCAATATTGGATTCATAAATTTTTTCGTTTTTCAAGTCAATTTTCTTTAGAGTGAAACAATTTCCAGCAACTTCCTTGAACGTATTGTCTGAAATAGTGTTTTACCCGTACTTTTTTCTTGAATGCTCAGACACAAATGACAAATTGGCATCTTTCTGTTCTTTCCAGGCAAGCTCAATAAGAGATTATGGTAAACCAGATGTGGAGTGAATAATACAAAGTACCTCAGAGTGTCAATAAAACAGATGATGATGATCTATCCCTTTAAATCGTAACATAGACATAATTTAATATTACTGTATTTTCAGTTATGTCCTGAGAAATAAAACCTACGCTTCACTTCCAGTAGATACTTCAGTAACAAAATATGGAATAGAATAAAACAAACTACATGCAAGCCAAAGACGTAGTCCTCAGCAGGCCGTGGCTGTGCCACTAACATTCACATGGTGTGCATCCTCAACAAAATGTGTTTTCATTTTTTTTATATCATGTCTATATTTCAACCTGAAGGTGACTGTCACGGACGATTCTGACCAAGCACTCAAAGCTGTCCGGAGCAGCAGACAGAAGTGAAGAAAGTAGAAGACTATCCCTGAACACAAGTGTGTCATAAGCCACTGTGCAGACTGTTGGCGGCATCATGTTGAGAGGATCATGCTCAATCGTGTTGTGTGCAAAGAGGCGGGGCTTTGATATAGAAGTTTGCCTCATGTGATTAACCGGAGGTTGCTAGGTGACCATTCAGAATCTCTGAACCAATCACAGCAGTCCTCCTGTACACACACCCGGTCACCATGGCGATTTCAGGGCCATCTACACACAGGAAGATGTGGAATAAATAGAATACGACATGGACAGTATCAAACACATTTGTACTTCCTTAATAGGCTTTTCTTCCTGTACCACATTACTTTACCGTTATGTTACAGTCACAGCTTGTTAGTTATAATCATAATCACTACTGACTGTGCAGCTATATGCTATAGCTATACTAGTGTGAGATTAAACCGGCCAGTGTTTGTCGCAGCAGTTACCACATGTTTTCACCACAAACTAAATAAAGGATGTCACTTTCTGGTCTTGTCTTCTATAAATCCTTGTGTCAGAAGAGAGGAGTTTGGTTGAAGGAGAGAAAGAAAAAAAAAAAGCAAGTACAATAAAAACTGAAAGTGGCCGTCACAATAGTTAATGTTATAAAGTCCATTTTGATACAAGTAAAAATGATTATTTTTAATTTCTTTTCAGACAATAAACTGTCATTTATAACCCAAAATAAGAACACTTTTTATGAGGTCACATGGTACAAGTTCTTTTATAATGTGGTTTTATTATAATAAATTGCTCAAGAAATGTGAAAGTTTATCTTAATATAATGTTGTGTGCGTCCTCTTTAATTTAGTGTATTTACTCAAATTAGTTTTCTAGTTAGGATAGTAGTTTTAATATGTTGGTGGCCACAGACCACAGCCCTGCAGAAAGCAGGCCGTCTTCCCAAAAGAGAAAGTGGGTCGCTAAAAAGTGTTGGAACTGGTTGTGGCTGTAGCAGCAGTTGTGGTATTAAATTTGAAAACATAATCTCCATTACCACAGGTGGGCAATTGTTTTCTCCTGGAACACTGATAGTTTGAGAAGGAGAGAGAATCCTGAAAATATCCATTGTTAACTTTGTGTAAAGTGAGTTAGCTGATTTTTTCCATTTTCTTTTAACTTTTTACTATGAGACACATTGTGAAAATGTTTAACTTAATCAAACATGGATCATATGTTTTAGTGGTTTTTATATTTAAATGCTTTCTTCGATTGAACCAAAGCTAAAGAAGTATTGTTGATAGATTACATGCCATTGTAGCGCTCAAAAAGTTGCAAACTTTCTGGATAGTTATTTAAATAGGAAGAGCCAGTACAAAGTTTATGGGAAGGAAAAGGTCAAAGAACTCTATACAGCGGGGAGGGATGCACCGTGCATCGTCATATTCAGGTCAGACCATGGATCTATTGGGCCAGACCCAGTTTTGGACGGTTTCCATTTCAAACGTTGCAAAACACATTTGCTGTGTGTGTGTGTGTTTTTTTACAAGCTATATCAATTATAAATCTAATTAAAACCTTAATACCAAATGAATATGCAAGGTTTTCCTTTTTGTTTGTTGAAACATAACCATATACTGTATACAAAAGATGAGTTATAATTTATTAAGTAACTTCTCCTGTGGACTCACCTCCTGCAGGAGGACCAGTGAGGGGCTGGTGCTATGCGACTTCCCCCGACCCAGAAATGGATTAAGGGTTAAAAAATGGATGGATGGAACTTAACCTAGGTTGGGCATTCAAACTGGTTTACTTAAAGGCCTATACATGATCAATTTTGGCCAGAAATTGATTAAAGGGGCTAGTATAATTATTCTGACAGCTGATCAGTTGCTGCCTCCATGTTTCCTGTCCCTCTTCAGTCTCTCCAGGCTGGGACAGCATGGTCTCCATTCTAATTAACCCAGATCTGGATATAAATAATCTGAAAGCAGGTCTAGACTAGAAGCAGGGCAGATTTCAGAATGGTCCCGTAAAGTAGGACATCACAATCCCCTGTTTGACAGTTCTATATAAAAACAGCCCTTGACCTGATTTAATTGGTCTCATGTCTCCAGTGGTTTCATCTTTATCCATCAAGAAACTCAATACAATTAGAGATAAAACCTAAATACAACAAACAAATGTAAGCATCAGCAATGATCATTTCAGGTCATAAACTGTTTTAATGTAAATATTACTTTACCAGCGATAGATACAAATCTCAAATGTCAAAACAGCAACATATGAGAAACAAAAATGAACACAACTAACTCTTTGAAAATGTAAAAATTGTAACATTGTAGTGAGTCATGTAGTAAAACTGTTATTTTATTCTAGATAGAGGCACATACAGTTTGAGATAATGAAAATCAGGCACATTTAAAAAGTAGAACATTTTGTGGAAAAAAAGGGTTTTCAGTGTCTGAAAAGTACGTGCAGTCTCTACTTAGTTTGGGCTTTTTTTGCCGATCTGTGCTATGCAATCTACAACGAAAAAAACCCCCTCAGTCACTGGCACATCACTCTTTGTTAGATTCTGCTATAAAAAATTGCATTATACACTACAAGATTCTATCTGATAATTGATAAATCCAGAGGAAGAAAGCCTGTGCAGTTGTTTGTATGGCATTGACAAACTTTTTGCTGCAGTTCACCTGTTCCACTGGCCTCAATAGGTTTCATGGTTGTGGACTGTGATCCTTGTTGAATACAATGAGCTCTGTATCCTCCAGAGTAGTCAAATGTTAGTTCCTCCTTTTCCTCTATGTCCCGTCCGGCAAACAAAGCCAGTCTGGGTACCATTGAGTGCACCCTCACTGGCACCATGGTCAGGCTGGGGAGGCAGGAGTGGTTGAGGAAGCGCCCTACATTTCCTATCTCAGCCGGGTCAACAAACGTTTCAGTGACGGTTGTTCCGGCATGTTCTCTCACAGAAATGATGTAATTGCAGTCTTTTGGTCCTTGAGCGAGCTGTCTTCGTCTGGCCTCGTCATATCCAATCACTTCTCCAGCATATTCACACACGAAAGTTCCACACTGGATTGGATCTAGAGTGCGCACACCCCAGCCTTTGTTTGTGGTCCAAAACACCTCCAGACTGTGCCTCACTCCATTCTGCACCACACGGTTACTGCAGGAGTCGCCACAGAGGCAAAAAGCATTGCATTCAAACACAGGCATAATGTATGGGCCCTGCAGCTTTTGAACCAAGAGCTTGCCTTCAGTGGTGTAAGCCTCTCCATGGCTCTGCAGACAAGAACAGCTTTCCAGAACACAGGAGTGGGAAACACAAGGGCAACCAAGAAGAGTGGCCTCACTTGGGTCATCAGAAAAGCCAGGGCCCTGGACATTCTCTGTGGAATACTGAACAAAATATAATGGAATTTAGAGTTTTATGAACATGATGCATAAGCTATCTAGGACATGACATGAAAGTTTGAATTCTGCTCGACACTGTAGAATTAGTATCATGTTATTGCGATCTTCTAGTAAATGCTATAGAGTAGACTACTTAAGACGAGCCTGATTTTAAGAAACAGCCACTGTAGTCAATGCCATCTATGGACCAGTGTGGACCACACAGTGTGGACCAGTGTGGACCACACAGTGTGGACCAGTGTGGACCACACAGTGTGGACCAGTGTGGACCACACCAGCGATGTAGCAACATCACTTGTGCTTTGCTGCCACTCTGTGGCTGTTATTCACACTGCACAAACACAAGCGTAAGACTGAATTAATACTAAAGAAATATTAATACAATAAACCAAAAACCCGTGTAGAAAATGGCATGCAAGACAAAGGCAATAAACCTATACACAGCATGAGGAGGAAAGTTTGGGGCTTACATGAAACCTTGGTCTCGCAGGAGCGACAACAGAGTTCTCAATTAAAACAGGAACATTTTCTAAGCCACAGGAAACATCAACACCCGGGGACAGAGCAGCCATAGCTCTGCGTCATATTATAGACTGTTAGACACAGTATATACAGATAATATAACACATCCATAATACAAGTCTGTTCTTTACTTCATCCCATTCTTCCTCCGCGCACACATCAGAACAAATGGAGAAGCATTGACTTCCGCAAGATCAGAAGAATATTACTCCCTCTAGTGGCGAAATGTTTTATTGTGGCTTATGTATCAGTTATATATATATATATGTATCGGTTATCAGTTGATATTTGTCTTGCATAGTAATTTGGGTGGGTGCTCTTAGGTATTCTTACAGTCATACACAGTCATTTACAAATGCAAAAATAATGTGCGACTTGAACTTTGATCTGATTTGATGGTGAAGAAAGTTTTGGAGCTCTGAGACTTGAGACGGCTTGAATTGTCTGCAATAAAATACTTACGCCTACTTTTCTTTGATCCATTTTATATACGTGATGGACAACATGAAAAGACAGTTCTAAAGGAGAACTTGGTTCCACCTCTCATTCATTCATATTTTCAGCAAAACAGACAGGCTCCAAGTGAAGTGTGTTTGACCTCATTTGTTTTAAACTCAAAATATGCTCAATAGGTAAAAATCCTCCAGCTCCAGTAGTCCAGACCAAACCGAGTATCAACATCTGGAGATGGTTCAAATGCAGAGCACAAATTTCCCTGGGAGGCCTTAAAGTGCACATTTACATTTACATTTATTATTGGTCTGCTTGTTATTCATGTCATGGACATTCTATTGTTATAACAAATGAAGAAATTGGTCCTAACACCATGGATCTATAATTATAACGGTCTTCACACACTGTAGCAACATTCGGATGGGCTGTTGCAGCGCCATCTGCTGGAGGAATTGCGATTTTAGCACTTTTAGGTAAGGGGCTGAAGGGTCTTTCAAAAAATGTAATAAGACACATGATTATTTTAGACATTATTATTTAGGACAGAGTTATTATTTCTATCACTCACACAATGCTTGGACAAGCATGTAGCAGCTTTCTGTTTGTCAGTATGTCACCTGCTGCTCTGCCTCTCTGCCCCTGATCAATATGCTCTATATTCTCCCTTATATTGATGTTTAACAAAAAACAAATGTAATATGCATGATGTACACTATAAAGTTCAGCATTGCTTGGATCAAACTAAACTCTGATTCCTTCGGATTTCCCTTTTTTCTGGTACAGAAATCTCATCCTGTGTTTTATTGCACATTCTGCATGGGGCTGTGAAAATAATGTTGTTTTTTTGTTCTTTGGTTGTATTTTGTCTTTGGGTGTACGAGCTTTTTGTGAGGTTAGATCTTTGCAGTGATGTTGTGTTGTCCAAGTGCTCTCTGTATCTGCTCTGTGTCCCCTCGTCTGTGTGCTATGGTTACTCTTGTGTTTGTTGTCATTTTCTTTTCTGTTTTTGTGTGGTTTGTTTTTTGTCTTCCTCGAGCAGCAGCTCGAGTCCTGACTAGAACCAGGAAGTACGACCATATTAGTCCAGTCCTCAGGTCTCTGCACTGGCTTCCTGTGGCTCAGAGAATAGACTTTAAAACAGCTCTGCTTGTGTACAAGTCTCTCCATGGCCTCGCACCAAAATATATTAGTGACATGTTAGTCCCATATGAACCAGCCCGGACTCTGAGGAGCACAGGGACTGGACTCCTGTTAGTGCCCAGAGTCAGGACTAAACATGGGGAGGCTGCTTTTCAGATTCATGCTGCTGCTGTTTAGCTGTGCATACAACTGAGGGATTTTATGTTTTTATCTTTCTTTTTAATGTTCTGTGATTATTTATGATTTTAATGCTATCTTGTTCAGCACTTTGAGTTGCCTTGTGTATGAATTGTGCTATACAAATAAACTTGCCTTGCCTTGCCTTGTATTGCTCATCTGGGATAGTGACATTCCTTCTGTGCTTGACTGGATCTTTTGTAACATTTTTGAAGAAACTATGCATACTCATTATGCCAGTATGCAGGGCTCAGTGATTTTCCACTTGATGTTTTGGTAATCTGAAGGTCGAAGTTAACATATCTCTTGGTGCCGTCACGAGGAGGAGAACCTTGATTCCTCCATGCTTTTAAATAAAATGCATTTTGCAAAACTCTGTTTGTGTCTTCTTTACCAACAATAAAACATGTCTTTTAATAGCAAATAAAGCATTTGCGAAAACCAGTCAAAGATGTACTGTATGTTTACATGTCTGACTTATGTTGGACTTCAAATACTACACCTGCCACACGGACACACACACACACGCACATGCAGGGTTGTATATGAGATCAATTACTAAGGCTACTTCTCGTTTCATAAAATATATTTTTGGCTTTAGATCAAACAAAAGAAAGCTTTTATTCTTAGAAAAAAAATGCAAACCAAAGTTTAAAATGAGGACATATTTTATTGAAGTTCTCCTCGATAAACATGTTTGTGTAAACCACAACAAAGCTAGTGATTGTTTATATTTGTAGCAAAACAAATTTAAAAAAGAAGAAATGTGGCTCATCTGCTTACAAGAATAACATTCATAATTCTACTGCTGGTTTACAGTAAAGTCATTGATATGAATTAAACATGTTCGTTTGTGTACAAAAGATCAGTGAATCCAACGTTAATACAACATTATGGCATTGAACTCTGAAACCACGTTTTTACCCTGTATTTGAAAAAAGATAATTCTTTCAAATGAAAACTGAATATATAGTTTGTCATTGTAAAAAAAGTGACATAAATAAATAATAAAAAAGAATAGCTAAAACTAAATGCTAAATGGTGAGCACCATATAATAACAAAAGAAGATTAACTTAACCCCCTAAATGTTCAGCTGGCTTCAGAGTACAGGGCCTCAAGGAGGTGGAAACATTTTATTTGACAGCATATTAAGTCTAACTTTGTCAGCTTATATTAGACAAATTAGCATATATATCAGTGCACAACAGTTAACAGTGAAACTGTTTTACAAGTAAACAAAGTTCTGCCAGAGAAAAGGGTTTGTTCCATTTCTCTGAAGCTGTGACAATACTCATGCTGTGTTCATCAAAACAGGTACTAAAAATAGAGAAGAGTGACTACTGAGTCCATGGAGCTACACAAAGCTGTTATTCCAGAGTTCAATTCAGACAAGAGGTAAAAAGGCAGTTTGCTAAACTAAAAATGGAATGTCTGCTCCACGCTTGCTACCATATTTCTCTCAGAGCAAAGAAACAATATTTAAAGAGTCACTCAGTTTGCTTGAGTTTGTGCTCCAGCAGCAGACGAGGTCTCACCACATGTAGTAGCTGCGAGTAGTGTCCACCTGGCTGGGTTTACTCTCCGCTGTGCCCTCCTTCTCTTTTTCACTGTCCACCTCCCACAGGTTAATCAGAGGAGGGTACAGCTCATTTAGTGGTATCGAAGATGTTTTCTGCATGTACTTTTTGAGGGAATGATGATAACTTTTCCTTTTCCATCTTCTAGCAATGTACACTCCTAGTGTGGCTAAACTGATGATGGCAAATAACGTCCCCATGACAACTGCCAGGGCAGTGTTCGTGCCCTGTACAGATATTTCCACTGCAAATGTATCTTGTTTTGTTGTGACATTGACACAGGACTTCTGCATTTGCTGTCGGATATTGGACACAGTGAGGCACACCTCATACTCTGTTGCTGGCTGTAGATGGGTGAGGTTGTATTCATGGACGTCCACCGGGACACGAGCAGTGTAGGTGATGTGAGGGTTATCTATTTTCATGGTGGCAGACGACCATTTCAGATTGGAGGTCATGACATTTGAGTTGATTTTCCAGGAGACTAATATGGAGTGTGATTCTGTCTGCTTGACATAAATCTTCATAAGCTGAGTGGTGTCTAACAAAGTGCCATTTACCTGAATGGCTATTACTTTAGTGTCAGCACCTTGTGAATTCTGAGCCACACAGGTGTACCTGCCAGAGTCCTCAACCTGGATATTTGTGATCCGCAGTGTTCCTTCCGTAGTGAGGCTGTACTTGCCAGACAGCATGTCCATCATTACTTTGTTACCCATTGGTGTTACCCAGTAAATCTCTGGTTCAGGCTGTGACATGGCTCTGCAGTCCAAGTCAACCGTCATGCCGATTTCCAAGTTCAGATGGTTGGGAAAGGTGTCATGCGCGATCATGGGCAAGCACTGGTTGACGAGCCCCTTTTGGACCACCTCCCTAACATGCAAACCCCTGACTTCTGGAGGCATGGCACAGAACATGGAGAGAGGTTCCATGAAGCGAACATTTGTAGAGTTCGAGCCCATCCACTGGATCACACAGTCACAGCGCAGGGGGTTGCTGTGAATGCTGATCTCACGGAGGTTAGGCAGAGACTCTACAGTCGATTGGTAAAGGGCATTCAGGGAGTTGCTATTGAGCATTAAACTTTCTAAAGCGGGAACATCACGGAAAGCTTGTCGATTTATAAAAGAAAACTTTGGGTTATTTGTAGCTTCCAATTTAGTTAGTTCTGGGAGATTATCCAATGCGTAATGATCAATAGAAACTAGTTCTCCCATGTTATTAATAGCTAGTTCTTTTAATTGCAGCATGTTCTTGAAATCGCCTTCTTCAATTTTATGAACAGGATTTTTATTTAAATCCAAAAACTTTAGATTAGGTAATTTCCTTAGGGCTTTTTGTGGAATTCTGACAAGATTGTTATCATAGAATGAAAGGCTTTCAAGATTGTCCAGTCCAACAAAAGCGTTTGGAGGAACATCAGTTAATTCCATACCAGCCAAAACAAGACTCCGAAGGTTAACCAGTGATCTAAAATTAAAGTCCACAATTCCAGTAACAGGATTTTCTCCGATCATGAGGATTTCCAGATTGGGTGTAGATTCGAACCACTGGCTGTTGATGCTTTGGAGCTTGTTGGAGTTGAGATGAAGCCTTAGTAGGTTCTGCAGACCAGAAAAAGCATTGGGTGCAATTGTGCTGATTTGATTGTGATTAATGTAAAGTTCTTGAAGATTGCTTAAATCCTGAAAACAGAAATCAGGCATTTCTGCGATCTGGTTCTCCTCCAGGTGAAGGGTGGTAAGCTGAGACATATTGATAAGGCCAACATCTTGTATGCTGCTGAAATTGTTCTGTGAAAGATCCAGTTCTGTGAGATTGAAGAGCTGCTCGAGTTCCTCGCTGGTTCGAGCAATGTAGTTACTCTGAAGTAGCAGAACCTGGGTGTCGCTGGACAGGTTCCCCGGAATGCGAGTTAACCGAAGATCATTGCAGTCCACGGTAATAGCTTCTCTGTAAGTTGACTGCGGAGTGAACCAAGGTCGGATCTCACACACACACAGCTGTGGACACTCGCTTGTCTGGCCATGAGAAACCCCGGCCAAAATTAGTCCACAAATTAAATGTCCCATAAGACGTAAATTTATCTTGAGTTTAGCCATGGTGTGGAGCGATAGCAGGCGACGTCCACTTGAAGAGTTGATGTATCTCGATCATCAACCACCCTGTCTGAAGTTGAGGTAGTGTATTGGGATGCAGTTTAATCCTGCAATCTCCAAGCAGCAGTAACACCTGAAACATAAAAGGTAACACTGTAAATAACATTTGGACAAAAGCAGACTTGGGGATAAATAAGTGTAATTGTATGACTTTTCCATACAAATAAACTTGCCTTGCCTTTCCTAAAACAGATCAAAGGATATTTGTGTTTAAATGGTCCTTATTAGTACAACACACAGGTCACAAGCGTTGTTTATATATGTGTAATGAAACCCCAATGACTCTGTTGTTGTCCTAAAAACGAAATGTAAATTGGATTCTCAATATTGATTCTCAGTTATCAGTTTCTTAAACACCCTATAGTATTATGTAAAAAATCATCAAATAAATTGCAATCTGCTCTAGTAATCCAGAAGATTGCAATTATTTAAAAAGATTGTTTTTGCAATTACTTATAATTTCCTAAAAACCTATTTTTTTCTCATTACTCAAAGGTTTTTTTTCAAAATCCATTTTAAAATGTGTGTTTTAAGATGTTTGGGATGTTAAGTGATGGATGTTCAGCATAAACAGTTCTGATGAAAATGCCTGATCAGCAGCTCATCATAATAAACATCAAACTGCACTGCGGGATTCATCGACTCTCCGACCCATGAGGAGAAAGCGTTTGTTTCTGTGAAGTCCATTACCCGTGCTGACAAAAGGAGAAACTAGGTGATATACTGTTTCCTAAAATAGCATCCCTGTATCTATGCAATAGTTACTACTGTCATCCTAATTTCTACTGGATCGCTCTGGAACCACTTTTGGCACAAGCTTGTACGCTCATACTATCCTACACAGAAACACTAAAAGCAGCCTATCACTCAAGATCTATTTACTGAAAGAAGGCACGCGTATGGGAAAACATATGCCCTCCCCACGTTGGCATGGCCCTGTCCACAACACCAGCTTAAGAAGATGGTGTCTAAGAGGATTTCAAACAAGGGAGCTGACTAATTCATGTGAAGACAAACTGCCTGGCAACAGTGACCAGGAGACGGCGAGCTGAGCGAGCACTTGTCCTATGCCGGGGATTCCCTTATGAGCCTGCGGGTGGAGCTCTGCAAGAGAGAACTGTCTCTAAGCTAAAGTGGGGTATATTGTGATGCCTGGATTAGCACATGGGATCCTGAAGTGCAGATTAGCTGAGACCCAGAGGACGAAAACAGGTCACACAGTACTTTAATTAAAATCAGAGCATCAGTGGTATCTATGGTCACTCTGTATAGAAATGGATGCACTATAATTTACACTTAATCTTATTACTCAAATGAGGAGGGGATTGGAGCAAAGCAAAAACAGTTATAGTCCTAATATGTTTACGAATACTCAAAGAGTCACAGTCCAGTAAACATGTTGATCAAGATGATTGCTACAACATAACGACACAACATACTGTAATGTGTGTATTATGATGTTCTGAACATGGTAAAGAGCTTTGGGTGACCTGGGTCTGTAAAATGATCTATATAACTAAACATTACTTACTATTTATAAGAACATGTGCATAAAAGGACTTTTTTTAGACTGCATTATATTTTCTTAATATTTGATGGATGGATATTTTATGTCAATATAAATCTAGATAAACGCCAGCAAGTGTGTTATGTCAATGTATTACACCATATATAATTTGAGAAGGACACAAAAGAGATCATTAAACCTTTTCTTGTGAAATAAAAAATATATAAAATCATTGCTTCAAGAAACTATAAATGTACAAAAAGTGGGGTTTAGCAGTGCTTTAGGAACAGAACACAGCAGGCACATAAAGGAACGCCTCACTACGGACGGAACTAGCAATATACATAATAATGGCTATTAACTTGTAGAATTTCTTTAGCATATAAAAGGTTCTCAGGTTTCCTTTTTCAAATGCCCTGTAACCAATGTTTTATTGTGGTTTCTTTACCATTTTCAGAAGTCAAAATGCACCCCTCTCTTTCTTACGTATTTGCATTTTCATACAAGTTTCACAGTTGACAAAGCACAGAGCTTTTACAACATAATACAGTGAGTGTTGCCCTGTTTTTGTGTTTTTGCTCTAGAGCCGGGGTTTGACCCCCTCTGCTCTAGAGCCGGGGTTTGACCCCCTCTGCTCTAGAGCAACATCACAACAACATATTTACGACATCCCAAATTTGGGTTAATCTTCCAGCTTTTATCACCCCCCGTATTTAAAGACAAAGTCTGTTGTTTTCATGTTCATGTTAATGTATTTACTTTTTTAGATATTGCCTCATGACACTAGCTGAGTGGTTAGCACTCTAGTTCGACTTGGCGGCACAGAACACAGAGCAGAGTGTAGCTTGCATATTCCAATTCCAGTTCCAATAACCACTAAAAATATGTACTAGGCTCCTTCCTTCTGGGGCCAGGACTCCCCTGAAAAAGAGATTCTGAAATCTAAGCAGTAGTATCCCGGTTAAATAAATGTCAATAAATGAAATATTAATTAAATAAATAAATACATCCTGTTGTTTTGGTCTGGTGGGGCCTCCCCCTGACATGAGCTGCATGACCACTGCACACTGAGGAACACTTTGAACACACACTGTTCAAACCACAGCAGGTGCATTAGGGTCACAACAACAAAAAAAAGCTTTGAACTGAGGTGGCCATCAGCTGCAGTCTCAATAATAAAACCCAGATCTGACCATAATAATTGTTAACCACTTTCATAACGTGGCAGACAGGTGGAGAATCAGAAAGAAATTATGATTATGGAGAGACAAAACGAACTCTGGTTCAAATAAACACTAATACTTTTTGTGTGCCTCTCTCATTGATCTACAAATGCAGTGACTGATTCTCTTACAACTATGTATACAATGATGACATAGTTAGATTATTTTCTATGCACAGCTGAGAGACTCCTCTCTGTTGTTGGCCGAACACTAAAGGGTCATAAATAACTTTGCCCTTAGAGTTACGCTCGGCTATAAACACACAGTTAATGACAGGTTTGTCAGTAATGTCCAGTAATGGCTGTAAATTGATTAAAGCTATAAGTTGGACTATTGTCTTTGGGTTTTGTTTGTTTTGAGATTTATTTATTTAAATTCTCGCCTTTTTGTGACAGATTAAATAAGGTTGATTTAAAGATAAGGTGAGATTTGTGCGTTCATATTATATACTTATTTATAAATAGCCGAGTCAAGTGACATTTGTGTTGAAACCCGTTGCACTGATTTCCACCTGGCAGTTGTCATAGTAACAAAACTTTGTCACAACCATTGACAGCATGAAGGACTGTCTTTAAGTGTTACCGTGTTTTGTGTCCATGTAATTAACACGCATGACCTAAAAATAGGTAATAACCATAAAAGCTGTGGGAATGTATCACAAGACATATTCGACATCATATCATGGCTTGCGTGTGAATTATCGAGAACCCATGTCTGGTTTGTTCTTAAGCCTCAAGCTCAGCCGCCTCCTGTCTTGTCTCTCTGGGGATCGGATGCAGTGAATGAGTGGGTGGTGTTTTTTTATTTTTTTTATCATGCCTCCTCCTCCTCCACAGCCCACACTCCTTAACATAATAAAAAAACTTCATGCCATGACAATACTGTGCACTCAGTTCATGATTTCCGAGTCACTGGGGAATACATCAGAATGTGGGCAATGAGTAGATTCTCCGCAGGGAAAAGGAGGAACAACTATCAGAATCAGAATCAGAATCATTTTTATTGCCACGTAAGTAACAGGAGGTCACAGACTTGGAAATTGCTTTGGCTCAGTGCAACAGTCAGAAAGAGATAAAAAAAATAAGAATAAAAAATACTTCTAAAGAATAAATTTAAATTTAAAATAGAGTTACAGTTACTATTTACAATATACAAGTGCACATGGTGCACACAATGTAAGGTGACAGCAGTACAGTGAAGTAAAGTGACGTATGATGGGCAGTAAAGTGACTTTATAAAGGGCGGGGGGACAGGTTACTACAAGACTATATAACCCCAAAATGGGTACATTTCTCACCAATCTTAAATAAATCAGAACTTTCAATGTTAATAATGTTTATATATGTGCCTAAAGCAAAGTGACAATAAGGGGACATTTGTAAACATGAAAAAGTTTCTATGGAGATGTCATCATAGAACAATTATGATGATTATGCGAGAAAGGGAACCACTAAGATCATAACTGTACTTGAATTAGTTTTAAAGATGACAGATGTAAATATGGATGGTACTAAATCTGGTGTAGCCATTTACCAAAACTTGTAAATGTGTTTTGGAAGCCTTTTTTGTTGTTCTTTGATCATCTGTGACTGTGCAATAACTTTGGTTCGTAATGTACACATCTTGTTGACTATCTATTGTGGACTAATCCTATCCGTCCTTAATGGCTGACAGCACATATACTTTTTTCTTTTTTTTTCTCTTTACGGTGGGCTGGGTGGGATTTTGTCTATTTATACTTATTTCCATGTGTACCTTTGTAAAAAAATAATAATAATAATTTTTTAAAAAATTATATATTCATATATATATAATTTAATAAGTATGTTTTACACTTGTCAATCAATTATTAAATGATATGTTCCAAATATGAATGCTGTGAGGATATGTTTAGGCTCTATATAGTGTATATTTTAATGTTAGTGTCAGGGGAGTTTGTGGGTCAGTGACAAGCCGCAAATTCAGCAATGTCTTTAACGTGACCTGGGGGTTCTCAGCGAGCACGTGCTTGGATATAATCAAAGCCCGTAAGTCAAACCGTCAAACTAAAAAGGACACAATCAATAATCAATTACATAATATTACTTCAGCAGTAGCTCATAGTGTGAGTCTGCACAAATACGTCAGACTACCCTTGATGATTATTTCATAACCTAATGGCTGCCAAAAATTACAACTGCCCCAGTGGCTCTCCCCTGACTTTGCAAAAAATAAATAAATAAACAAACAAAACTTTGCGTCCCATCTGCCTATTGTTAGTCTCTATAACTCATATCTAGAGTAAAGTCCTAAGAAGACGCCATCACAGAAGCGCAACAGCTGCAGCAACAGAGGCAGCATGACCGGACAGACCACAATGGACCCCCTGCCACCACCAGCGGACCCAGACCGTGTGCTTCTATGGGGGTTCTCCAGGATACACAGCGCTCCCCTCAAATCCTCGAGCCACACAGACATCTGCCCACATACTTGGATCATTAACATGCATATCACATTTATGGCTCCTCCAATCCTCAGGGCTGTACATCAAAGTTACTGCACTTTCTGACGCATTGGGTGAGACTGACGCGTTTTCACCACACGAAGGAAAGAGACCAGACAAGGCTCGGTGCGCTCAGAACAGATGCCCTTGGATACGTCTGCAGATCCAGTGATATCCTAAATGTTGTTCAGCAGAGATATGCAATTTCACAAGTTATATGTATGCACGCATTGAGTCACTAATAAAAGGCTATAATGGTTTTTTTTCTCCAAACGGGCTGAAGTTCTACAGCTGAAAAACGTTTGTGCACACATACAAGATGGTATCCTTCTATATAAATGGACGAGTGGAATCAAAACAAAAACATATTTCGCAGAGTACAGCCTAGGTTTGATTGGTCTAATTGCTGCAAACACAGGAATGTGACAATTGCGCTCACCTTGCTGAGATGGCTCTGTTTCCACGCCTTCCCCCAAACACACGGCTTCTTTAGATTTGATCAATATTCCCGTTGGGAGTTTTGCATCGGAGCTTATTTACAGAAATGCGCTGCTGCTGCTTTGTCTGAGCACGGAGCGGCATGGTGCACCTTTACGCAGATCCATCCCTCTCTCTTCTATCTCCTCAATCGCGCACCTCGCTCACTGCTGTTGCTGTTGCTGCTGCTGCTGGCGCCTTCTGCTGCGTGGATGCAGACGAAGCAGCAGAACAGGCATCAAAACACCTGGCGCTGAGGGAGAGGAGGGGGGAGAGGAGGGGGGGCGGTCAGCTGATCACACGGCGCGCGATTGGCTGAGAGCGGCTGTCTGTCACCACAAGCCACCGCAAGTGCCATCTGCTCTCGGCTTCTTGTTTGTGCGGAGAACAAAGGCGGGAGACACGGGGAGATTGGGGGGTGGAGTGGGGGAAGGTCGCGGAGGGGCTGGGGGTGGCAGTGGCACATGGCAAAAACAAAAAAACCCTCCCCTCTCGTTCCCCGTGGCCAAAAGCTTTGCCTTTTTGTGCGCGCATCACTGCATTTGCTGAGGCAGAGATTTAGCTTGAAGTTTCTGCTGCTCATTCTTTTGTTTCTTTGACATGACTCTTGGCTGGGTAAGTGATTGGCCGATTGAGAGAAGATATAAATACACCCGAGCGCCTTTATAGTTCAGATTAAATGTACAACACAAATAGGTTATATCATACATTTTAGCATAGAATTGCTAATTATGTAACATTTAGTAAAGTATTCTTTCCAGTTCACAGATGCCTGATGCAAAATTATACTTTCTCAAATAAATAAGACATTTCGGTTTTTTTGCAGGAAAACGAAGCCTGTCTGCTGTGAAATATTCAATGAATGTTAATACTTTTTTTTCTAAGTTGGTATCAATTTCACATCTACATTGTGAGACGATAATCTGATTTAAATTTAAATTATGAACATAGCAAGTTACTATATATTAGAGGGAAATGTATTGGTTGGATATTATCTCCATCGTCTACTCACACATTTGCATCAGAAAAGCCGGACTAAGGAAGATCACATGGTCACATTAAAGCACCATTAGCATAATATCCCTCAGCACAACATCAGTTAAGCTTCAGCACAATGTAAGATAGCAACCACATGGCTTCATGAGATTATACTGCATTATAGCATTTATGAAAGAGGTGTAGCCTGCAGTGCGTTTGTGCCGCATATAGCAATCCATGTCATAATATACAAACATAAGTTACTTGCAGCTGGTTCGGTTTAATTTTCCTTCCAATAAACACTTTTTTCACCAGATGAAAGGCAGCATTAATCCGTATTACTTTCACTTCACATGTTGTTGTGTTTGATTTTACTGAACTGGGACCATAAAAAAAACGAAAAAGGAAAACGCATGTTCAGTTTATAATTAATTATTTATTAAACTTATAAAATATTAAGTATACCAGATTTCATATAACATTTGTAAAAGGAAACAAACAAAACAGTTTAGTTTGTGGGTTCCTCTTCAAAGTTTGAGCAGATTCGAGTGCCCAGTTCAGCACCATGGACAGCACACATGCAGAATTTCTCCTATACATTGTTATTTACATGCAGCTGTGACTTTAGATGTTTGAAAAGGTAAAGAAGTTTAGTACAATGCAATCTCAGCTCAATAATTTTCTATGTATTTAGTTAAAAAAGTTGGTTGAAAGGATATGGTAGAGTCTTGCATAGCAGTAGTTTGCACACTGCCAGATGGATTTTGCATTTCCTGTGATCAGTTGATGCCCATTGTAAGCAAACCCCTTGAATTCCCATTTCTATAAGTTATACCTTCAAATCGGAGAAACCTTGCTTAATAATATGTTTTATAGCTGCAAGCTATCGTCATTACCATGCAACTTGTTGTGGTGTAAATCTATTGTTAAATGATATTGCACTCATTACCCATGATACTAAAACATTTATAGCAGTTGTATTGCAAATAACTATTGCCCACAGCCGCACAAGATACTGTATAGTCAATGATGTATTCAAAGTATTGATCTCTACTATGGATTTCCTGTGTTAACCTGTGCAATAAACACTGTGGTTTTTCATCGCTTGGGGGGGGGGGGGGGGGGGGCAGCTCAGTGTGTGTGTGTGTGTGTGTGTGTGTGTGTGTGTGTGTGAGCGTATACAGGGGCCTGTCATGGCTAATTGAATGGACAGTGTGAAGAGACAGTGTGAAGAGGCAGTGAGGAGGCGGTGTGAATCTGATTGAAGGACCAAAGAGGATGCGGCTGGGGCTGATGGCATTTTGTTGGCGAGCTCATGGAAGGTCAAACTGTCGGGACAGCCGGCAGATCAGGAAATAAATTGGATATACATTGTGTATGGGATTGGGTTCTTATAATGCAGTTATTATTTTTTTTGTCATCACATATTGTAGGCGTGCTTGTTTTTTGAAGCACTACAGATTGTTTCTTCGGCGTAGCTCTTGTAAAATACCACAACATGACATCTTCATAAGAACCTTTTGTATTATAGAGACTGTTGAGTGACTATTTGACAATTAGGGCTGAGAGCTGATTAGCTGCGATGCCCCTGGAGAGCACAGTCTAGAGATGACTTGTTACACATTTTTTTGTTTGGTTATAATACTTTGTGAACACACATTTGATTTCATTCTGAATGAATTGAAGAGTCATGAAACTTCTTTTCAGCATTTTTCAAATTATTTATGTTTCTCTGCGTTTACATGCAGTGAAAAATACAACAACCACTAAGAAGCCTGATCAGTTTAACGTAACAAGGAGCTGTCTCCTTCTCCAGCTCTGGACAAAGCTATCAATCAAAATGTAGTTAATTAGGATTAATGATATTATAACTTAATAGGCTTTAATATAATTGGATATGAAAGCAAAAGTTACTGACAAATATATTGTAATAGATTGTTATTGTGATGCATATTGATTTTTATAATATTATTCACCACATTGTTTTTTGACGTGAGGACAAACAGTACGTCTCCCACAGTAACAGACAGGTCTGACAGGTCAGCAGTGAAGGCTCACGAGGTTCAATGGCTTAAGTCCGTGATGGTTACTAAGCTAACTGTGGTTGCCAGGCAGATTTATGCATGAATAGTCTGCTTACTTCTCACTTAGCGCTTTTGCCACCTCGTTCCCACTTTCCTCTCAAAGTCACAGCTTCAGAAGGTGTTTCATTAGCATCACCTTCACATTCCCAGCATTAAAACATATGCACCCGGAGCACCAGGATTTATCTGAAAATATCTGTGATTGGGATATGAATAGCACTTTGTTTAAAAAAGAAATGCAGCTATCCAAAGTTGGCACCTGGAACATTTGAGAGAAGACAAGGAAAGCAAGTATAGATCACTTGGTCAAGGTTTAAACTAGGTTGGCAGTTTTTAAACACATCAGGTTAGTGGTTTTAGCAGAAAAAACTAGAATATGCACTCTGAGAGAAACTTCCCTGCCAAGGCCATAGCGATTTCCTGCAGCCTTACCCGTCATAAAAGCATATTATTTTGGTATCTGATGACACCCAATGAGCGCATGAATAAGAAAAGCTGAGGTAAGAGTCTTTCTTTGTATTCTGTCAAATGTGACACAGGGAACAGTCCCTTTCTCAAGGCGATGGCTCAGCTTTTACACAGTGAAATACTTGATTTTACAGCTCAGTATGCACAAGACGTCTTTAAATATTTATAGCATCTGCCTAGTAACCAAACAGAAGTCTCAGCCCACGGAGCAGCGAGACAAGGCACTAGAGACAGAGGTCAGCTGCTCAGTCAAGTGGAGGAAACCTGAAAAATCAGTTCAGTCCATTCATTTGTTGAAGCTACTCACCAGTCGAATGCTACTGCTAAGTGTGCAGGTAAAAACAAGGGGAAAATCTGCGAACTGATTGAGGTATGGCCCATCTGAGTAAAGCAAGAACAGAGTGGAACAGTGGAAACAATATTAAAAAGGTTTTAAGTGGTAGAAGCTGTCTTTATAATTGTTTTCACAATCAAAATGGTTTTTATTTTCTGTCTTGAGAAATATGATATTTAGTGTGGAGAATGATTCATGCTGTATATGCAGACATGCGTGGGATAAGTTGAAGGTCTTGCCAATGACAAATCAGGCTTGTTTAGTGAGGAGTTAAATGTCATCTGTGTCATATGATCCAACTCAGACTTTGAGGAGAAACTCACAGATGTCCTTACAGATACTTTATTGCCCTTCAGTAAAAAAGTACTGTCGGTACTTATTTTCCAATAATACATTATCCCTTACGTATTCTTGATGCATCGGTCAGATAGTATTATTTCCAAAACAAGTAATCAGTCTCTACTTTTAATGGCCAAACCTGATTCATAATAAATGTTCTTTAAATCTGGAAAAGTCTTCTTGGATACGTGAGACATGTTTGTAATCTGAACAACCATAAACCACCTTATCGAACTTAAAAGACCTCTGGTATTATGTTCACTATTTCTTGGACTGTTTTGTTTGGGACTTGATCTCCTACTGTGATCTGAATCTCCAAAGTGCTGCATGTTTATTTTTAGATAAAAGCAGCCGCAGAACGCTGCTAATACATTTATAAATGTTGTTAATATCACAACACCTTTAGTGCTGTGAAGGTTTAAAAATTGTGGCAGGGGTGAAAGAGGATTGTGCAAGTTGCCCTCCTCAAACCCACCCTTCATTGCCTCCTCAGACATAAAGAGCTTAAATGGTCGACCCTCTGAGGATCACAAAAACAAAAGAGCCTTCTGGTGGGTAACAGCGTGACAAATGTTCTGCATATGAACCCAAGCCAAACTGCTTCTGGTGATGATTATTTAACTTGATATTGAGTTTGCACTTAGCTGATAGGCAAAACATACTATAGAGAACTATACTCCTGCCACTTCATAATAATAATTAAGTATTAATGTATAGAGTTGTGCCATACTTCATATTCTCTTATTTTGTGTTCTGTGCTCCTCCTTTCTGTAACTTGTGATGCAACACTGAAATTTCCCCACTGTGGAGCAAATAAAGGATCTCTTAATCTTAATAATGACAATTAAAAAATGGATTCTGAGAAATTAAGATTGCAGATGAAAAGATTTATTCCTTTCCAAATCTATAGCAACTTGCATTGGAGTTTTACCTGTTACATTCACTGTACAAAATGCACCTCACTGCAGCTGTAACAGAATGGTTTGTCCAAATACGTTTGAGTTCTATAGCCTTAAAGTTGGGTACCTAACTTTCCAACCACAACAAATGAAACATGTACACATCCATTGGAATAGTTCCTTCCTCTAAAAAAAAGTCTGATTCTATTCGTCCGATATGTTACATCAGCTATTTCAGATAGAACAGTGGAAAAGC